TTTAAGAATGTCTAACGTTTAAGACAAATAAAAAAATTTTTTCCATGAATCCAATTCAATTTTATCAAAATCTTTATCACTTAAATCGGAAAGATTTATCAGAAAGATTAAATATTCTGAAGATTTAATAATAATTTAGTGATTTTACATTGCCTACACGAACAAGAAAAAACAAATCTTCCAAACAAATTTGACCATGTGCGTCGCGATGATTTTAAGTTTCAAGAAGATTTAAATTTTAAGTGGTGGTTTAGTGTTAATGAATTTTTTTTTAAAAAGTCCTCACCATTACTGGCTAAACCCGCTTCATTGGCTTGTGGCATTGGGCAATATGCCATGGAGTCCCTTGGCGATAGAAATACAGGTGAGTCACCAGCATCACCCGGATTTTCTCCTGCTGAGAATCGAAGGTGTTAATGAATATACGGATTGGTTTAATTCTCGTAATAAGCCTTAATACTCGAATTCAAGTGAATCCGGGAACATTCCAATTTCATGGACATCTTTTAATTATTAACTGTCGAAGTTATATTATAATTTGTGGTGAAATTATTAGTTGTAATTCATAAAAGTTACAATCACTATCACTATTTGATCACTATCACTATAACGTGAAAATAGGCGCACCATTTAATAAATTAAGCAATCAGCTTATTAAAACTATCAGATATCTTCATGAATATTTGCTTATTACAATATGCCAAACTATTTTTTAAAAAATTCTCATTATAAGATAATTTGTAGCAATATTTTAAAAATCATATTTTAAAAAAGTTGAATATAGAAATTGCAATTGCTGCACTCTTTTGCGATCTCCAAATGCATTGACTTCTATCGAGCAAAGTCAAAAGCTACATGAATGAATTAATGCTATAGAGATGTGTTCATCAGTAACTTTAGTATTGGCCATTCGATGAGATCTTTCATTTTATCACGAACGCGAAATATTGAAGAATATTAAAATTTAATTGTAAAAACTAATCAGAAATTGATAACGCTGCAGATAGTAGAATCTGAAGTTTCAGATTTTCATTAATCAACTCATTTTCTTAATCATTGAGAAAGTTGTGTGGGCAAATGGATGGATAACTGCTCTAAGTTTCTTCCAACTAAGGCTAATTTTGTTAATTCTTTAATATAACCTTTCCCTTTATAATAACATAACCATAGCAACCAAAATTAACGTATTGTTTCAAATTTGCCTTAATTGCGAAAGCTGTGGAAATAGATTTGCAGAAATAGATTTTTCTTCTGAAATCCTCTCGAATATTTTTAAAAAAGGAACTTTCAAATCACTAAAAATTATTTATTTAAAGGAAAAATTTAAATGAATTTTCGCTATGAATTTTCAGTTGATTTTTAAAATTTTACTATCGCATTAGTATTTACATTTAATGAATTTTTTGTTATAAATTTTATCAAACAAAAATTATCAAAAATTCTGCTATTGCTATATTGATTGCCAAAGTGATAAATTTTGGCTTATTTTGGCTTTTAACATTTTGATTGCCAACGTCAACCACCGAAGCAATGATTGGTATTATATTGTTATGCTAAAATAAGTATGGCGATATCAATGACCAATGTCCAGTACTGAATGATGACTGAGTCGATGCACTTACAAGATGCTAGCTAGCTATGCTCAAAAATTCATTCTTCAACCAGTGGTTGAAATAAATAACTTCTAAAATGCTTTGGTACTTTATAGTTAGTTTTTATTTTCGCAATTAACCTATATGCAATAATTCTAATTTTTGAAATTTTGTAATAAATTTTAATTCTACAATCATTTCCTATTGTTGCCTATTTATAAATATTATCACATGAATTGCAATTTTTTTTTAAAGAGTCCTCTCCATTACTGGTTAAACTCGCTTCATTGGATAGGCAATATGCCAGGAAGTCCCTTGGCGACAGAAATACAGATCGTCAGCATCATCCGGATTTTTGTATAGGCTTACTCCTCCATTCTAAGAACCTCAGCATCGACGCTCCCAATTGAATGACAGCCTATTGAACCATTCTATCCCCATGAATTGAATTTTTATAAATTCAATTGAAATTGAATTTTTATAAAACTGCAAAAAATTCGATTCGATTTGGGCGATATTACTCGATAAATTTCGTGAATAGCATCGTTAATAATTACTCTTCTTTCTAACTTATCCAGGAGACATCTGGAGAACTTCAACGCTATACGCATGTAAGCTTCACGCTATAATGGGATCAAATTGTGGAACAAATATAGTGCAACTTAATCAAAATCAAAACTGCGAATGGGGGACATGCTACAGTTTTTTCCATCGTGTAAATGGTTGTCATCGTTATGACTATGAATATATAAGTGATATAAGTGATAGTGATATAAGTGATAAAAGCGACAGTGATCGATGAAATTAATAGATAATAAAGGAATATTGTTCATCAAATATTGTTAAAATTTTCTAACTTTTGAGAAAAAATACTTGGTAAATATTGGTTTTTTCAAGGTTTTGTATTCGTTTCTCGCATCATTGAAGAGCAAACATTGGGTAGTGGATTAATGGATTTTTTCCGAGCCTCTCAGCTTTAAGCTTAACTGATAAATTGAATAAATATAGGTTTCGACCTGATCGGCGGTACTTTACAAATAAAATCTTTATTTCTTGAAAACTTGTAGTTCAATAGAATAAAACAACTGAATTCATCAGAAATGATAATGAATGACTTTGTTCGGAATAATCTGTTTTTGTAAGCGTGCGGATAACAATTGTTCGAATTATTATTTACATTTTAAGCTTCTAATAATGTGAATGAAATTTATCGACTAAAAACGTTTTATTTATTATTCAAAAATGTCATTAAAAATTTTGTATTAATTATTAGTATATTCTAGCTAAAGTGACGTGTTCTGCAATTAATTTTCCAAAATAATTAATTTTCTCAATTTTCAATTTTATAATAAAAATAATTAAAATAATTTTTAAAAAAATTATTGAAACATCAGATATGAAAAAAAGAAACATTTAAAATTTATCTGAAAGATTTTAAAAATTATACCGAAAAAATTGAAAATTTTGGTGTCTTTTTTTCATATTTAAAAAAAGAAATCAGCCAATTTTCAATCATGAATTTATAAATATTTCAAGGAAATTTCACAAAATTTCCTCCATAAAAATCTCGCTAAAATTTAAATAATGAGCATGCGAATAATAATTTTTCGAACTTTAATTTGGATCTTTAAGCTGATAACAATTTGGATAAGAAAAATGAAAAAGACAGCAGCACGGCGGCTCAGATAGGTGATAATAGGAAATTATTTCGCTTCCTCCGCAAAGCAGTCGAGAAGGGATCAGTGAAATAGTACGAAACATTAATGGAAAGCTGACCTATTAAAGCTATCTATTAAAACTATTAAAGCTGTCAAGGATTGCCTGAGAAGATCGAAAGAATTATTTGAGGCCAAATTAACCATGAACTGCCATTTGTTGCCCCTGATATAGCTGATACGTTTGCCGAAGCATACGTTTGCAACTGCAAGCCTCCAACAGAAGAAGAAATAATTTCAGTTATATATAAGCTTAAGGCCAATAAAACTCCAGGAAAAGATAGTCTTCGGGCTGAACTCTTTAAACATTGTCCATCGTCTTTCATAACACATCTTCAACAAATATTCTCTGGTATGGGAAGAAGATATATTACCAGATGATTGGGGCAAAGCCATTCTGCTCCAAATTCTCAAGAAAGGCATTGCCACAAGTATCGAGGAATCAGCCTACTAAATATCACAGTGAAAAATTTTGCTTCCCTTTTATTCAATAGACTTATGGAAGTATGATGCGCCCTAATTAAGCTGGTTTCAGACCAGGGTGCTAACCAGATATTTACATTAAAAAAGGTGTTGGAACATCGCTTCAGATATTTCCAACCCACTGTCACGTGTTTAATCGATTTTTGCGGCTGCCTTTGATTCAATTGATAGAGAGGCGCTCTGGAGGATGATGAATGCGATGGTGTTCCAGAGAAGATCATTCTGCTCATAAAGGCATTTTATAAGCATACGTTGGTACAGGTGTGTATCTATGTATATGGGAAAATTACAGGACCCTTCGAAACAAGAACTGGCGTCCATCAAGGCTATGTCTTTTCCTCCACAATATTTAACTATGCGATAGACTGGATAATGGACATGGCTTGACAGTACTTAAAGAATGTCCAAATCAATCCAGAGCATCGTATCACAGATCTTGAATAGCTGATGTTGTAGTCCTTTTTGCTGATAGTTATAATGAAATGCAAATAATGCTAAATAACGTATTAGAAACTGTAGCAAGAATTGGATTCAGAGTCAATGTAAATAAAACGAAAGACTTTTCGTCTTATGTGCAAAAAACTGATAAAACGCCTCTTTTTGTAAATTCATTGCCGGTTGAGGAAGTGTGTCCGATTTTAAATACCTTGGGTCCACTCTAATACCAAATGGCCAGACAAAAGATGATATTAAACCCGGACCACGACAGATAGAAATGCGTTCATCCGGTTAATGAAATCTTTATGGAGCCGTCCCAAAATTAAGGTCCATTAAAGTCCGTATCTATATAGCCGTGATCCTTTCGATCTTGCTATATGGTTCTGAGATATGGCCAATGAGAGTGGAGGATATTAAGAAATTATCTTTGACCACTCTTGCTTTTCAAAATTTCTAATTTGTTATTTCCTCTGTTCATTTATAATATTTAAACATTTTGTATTTTTCATATAATTTTTTATTTTTTATTTCATTTATTTTAGTGCATATAAAAAGCGATAAAAAATTTCTTTGAAATGAATTGGCAAATACTTTGTTAAAGATTGGTACAAATTAAATTTTATTATGGTACAACGATTGGAATTTTAGACATTTTATATTTTTATATAAAATATAATTTACAAATAACAATGAAAATTTTACGAAAAAATCCTTTCTAAAAACTATGACTAAAACAAATTGTATATAAAAAAATATCATTCGATTAATTCCGTTAATTTCCATTGCTGAGAAATGCCTGTAAAGCATAAAGTGTCTCGGCATTTCTTCCCGAACCATATTGTCCAGATGTCTCAATAAAATATTTATATAAATTAAATATATTTTTTAATGTTTTAAGTTGAAATAAAAAAAAATACAAGGTTTACTCATAATAAACAATGCGATATTCGATGGTTTTATCTTCGTAAGCCTATCAAGAAAGATAAGGAAAAGTAAGGAAGATAAGAATATTTACCAATATTGATACCACTTCAATTAGATTATATTGGGTATGATGACCTGCTACTCGATCGCTTTCAACGAAAAACGGCGTCATTTTAGATGTTCTCTGTAAAAAAACATAATATAGCCTCAATATTATTGTGATATGCATAAGAAAAGTTTACTCTTAAAATTTATTTAAAAGAAAAAAATAGTGTATATTACTTCATATCCAAGTTTGGCTGCAAATCGCTGTGAGTGAAGCATAGGTCCTGTTAAAGACAAATCGCCACCAAATAAAAATATACGTAAATTAGAATCAACAACCTCGGCGACCACTTCATAAATATCGTCAAGCATTAAATTTTTGTATGGAACTTTTCTGAAAATTATAATTCACTTCACCCTACTAAATCATACGATTATAGTATATAATTTTTCCAGATTTGAGCGATTATCAATTAACCATTGAAATCCATAATAATAAATTCCATGAAAATTTAGATGAAATCTTAGAATAAAATCTTTTCTTCCAGCATTCATGAAACATATTGAAATATTTACCTGTACATATCCCACGGTCGAACATTATCGGGTATATTCAAAGCTTGTCGAACATCTACTCTGTTTAAATAAGAACTATACGGAGTTTCGTCAATGCATTCGAGATCGGATTTCTAAACTAATTTTTTTGCAAAAAACTATATGATTCATAGAAAATCCTTAAAATCCTCAAATCCTTACAATCTTTAAATTATCAATTTCTTCTTTTTTTTCTTCACCTTATAATAATTCACCGTTTCTAGTTTTGGCTGAATGCTTATCAGATTGAAATCTCTTCGGAAGAAAATCATTTGGCGATGACTATTATAACTATTAATTCATAAAGGAAATTCAAATTCACCTCTATAAAATGATTTATAGTAAATGCCGAACTTGTAATGCTTCCAGAAAAATCGTTGTTCTTGGTAACATTCACGATTTCAGTATCGTTTTTACATTTTTCAATTAAATTATACATATTTAAACCAGATTCCCTTAAAAAAATTATGGAAACTTTTCAACCTTTTTATTAATTGTCTACTGAGAACTCACCTGTTTCTTTTTTGATCCTATCGCGTTATCATATCATAAATTCAAAAAAAGAAACGAAAAATGATTAAAGATAAATAAATTTAAAGATAAAATGAGTAAAGATAAATTTAATTATAAAACTTTACTTTCTAAAATAAAAATAAATTTATTTATTCAAAGTGATATTCAAAAATTTCAGAACTAAAGGTGAGAATGTATTGAAAATAATATTTCGTTTTTTTTTCTGCCAATTCTTATAAATTTAGGATATTTCGCTAATGAATTCACATATTTATGAAAAAATATTTATGAAAAAATTAGGTTGGAAAAAACCGTCTAGTAGAGATGATTTGAGAAATGAAATCACCGCAGAATTCAACATCAGTAGCAGAACTAAAATTGCATTCATCGAAAGTCCCATTACAACAGTCTCTTTGAGCAATTTGATAATCCCTACAATTTTTCTTGAAATAATTTCATGGTTATCGTTTTAAAACAAACTTTATTGTAGTATATAGGTTTATTGTAAAAATAGTTCATATTGCATTCGTGAAATATTTGTGAATGGATTAGTCAAAACTAAAGGAAATGAAAAATTATGTTAAAAAATAATGCAATCAGTCTTTGTTCAAAGGCGATATTCCGATTTAATACTTAAAGAAAACTAATAATTTCTATATATTTCATAAAAAAAAACGACCTTTCGTCGACTAGGCCAAGGCTGTGCATCTGCACTATTAAGTCAATGAAGCTCTCTACCAAATTAAACAAAGCATTCCCAATAAATAATCCCTGAAAGTACCATTTATCTATATACCGTTTGTATGTATGAGTAACTCGTATGTAAGGTCTCTTATAGTATAAACATCGTTGGTCTCATTTCTTTCATACAAAAGCCATACAAAATATGCCTACTAACATTTGTTATTTTTTTTCGATAACTTCTTTTTAATAACACACATCTTCACCAATTAAGATCCTCTCATTTGAGAATCACTTGAGGTTACATTAGCTTCCTAGGATGATCCAAATTTTTACTTTCCATGGTAAATTCATTTCTGAGACACGAAACAACTTATCATATATCTGATACCAGTGGAAAAAATATTCGACCACTTTTACTTATTTTTTTAATTATTAGAGACGGTGATTTTCACAGTTTGAAAATAGTTCAGAAATAGTTATTAATCGAAATTATTTTAAGAAATATTAAAAATTAAAATATATGAATAAATAAAATTAGGAAAATTAAAAATAATATATAAAATAAAATATAAAAATGTAAAATTTATAATCTTACTATAGGAAATAATTATTTGCTATTTTAATTCTAAAAAATTTCTAATTCTTACTCGTAGATTGATTTGATTTTCTGTTGTATTCTCTTTGATTTTTAATGCAAGAAGTGGTGCATATTGGGCAGTTCCACTAGAGCCGCCAATATAAAGATCATTCGCCTATAAAAAATCAAAACATTTTATATTTTAAATCTTTCCACTTTTTTTAAATTTCGTTAAATTTGGATTTTTAAACTCTGATCGGCGTATATTTTAAGTTAAAGGATATATTTTAAATAGGCAATTTAGATTTATATTAGATAAATTTATATAATTTCACCTTAAAATCTGGAAACTCTTCGAAAAATTGTATAAGTAACTCGTATGTAAGGTCTCTTATAGTATAAACATCGTTGGTCTCATTTCTTTCACGGCCATACGAGAATCTGTTTTATATATATTATTATTGTTTTTTTTTATTTTTTACGAAATATATTTATTTATTTTAGATAAATTTAGTGTGCAGTCAATTAGTGGTTGATTGAATTAATTTAAGCTCGAACCATAGCCTAATTCATTACTTGAAAAAAAACTGATCACGAGTGATGGATCTCCGAATCATTAATTGATAGATAATAGAATAAAATTACCCAGCGTGAACGGGATAATCGATGAAAAGAAGATTAGTGACCTTACTCCATGCATTATCATTTCTTACTAATGAGCCATTTGAAGTATTAATTATATAAGGACCAAACATAAAGAAAAATTGGTGCAATAGCGAGTATCCCAGTGAACTAGCAAACCAAACCACAACTGGTTTAGAATTAGGATCGCTTTCTGCCACCGTGAATCTAAATTTTCTTCTATTAAACAGTTTTCTAAAAGTTAACAGTTTTCAAAATAGCTAAAAGTTTTTAATTCCAACTCCAACTATAAAAAATAATTTTCATTTTAATTCGGTTTCGTTGAATTTAAAAAATCAAAATAGTTTAAAGCCTAAAAATTAATAGCAAAGAACCAAATGCTACCAAACTAAACTAAAAGCACCTCAGTGAAAATTAATTTTGATTAATAAACACAATAAAAACTTGCATATAATGAGCATGACGATCATCACTAACATGCAGGTATCCAGAATACTGTACTACATCATTGTCCGGCGCATCAGGTAATTGAATGGGAGTATGTGAATTTGTAACCGGAATAGCAACAAGGAGAAGGAGAATTGCTTGCAACATCTCATCCAAATAAATTTATTTCCATTAATTATTGCTTTAATATGCGGTTTTATTTAAACAAATGATAATTGATAAGACATTTTGGTGACAAATATTATTCAACTATTGAACAAAAGAAATCTTTGATGCAAATGATAGCTTTTTTTATCTTCAAAAGAATTAAATATAATTTTCAATATTTAAAATGAATATTTTATGGGCTATAAATTCTTGTTATTTTCTAAATTTATCTAAAAAGTGTTTCTGATTAAAAATTGACGATGATTTTTAAGGTATTACGTATAATACAACAATAAATTTCGACAAATATGATATTAGGGATTTTTTTTATAAATTACCTAATTATCAATAATTTTCGAGGAATAATGAGCAATTGAAAAATTTAATCTGATAAGCAAATGAAAAATCTTTAAAATTGATAAATTTGATGAATAGCTTTTGATAAATATTTCATGTAAGACTAAAAGAAAGAACATACGATCAAAAGTCATAAATTTTTTAAAATAACCATTTAATAATTATTTTAATAAGAATATTATAAAAATTTCTTCTCAACACTATCAATCGTTTCAATTCTTCTTTCGCATTTAATTTCTTCATCTAATAAAGTCAAGTTTAATTTTTGTTTTAGTAAACCTACCACTGAGTCAAAAATCCGGATGGCTGCTGGGGACCTACCTACATTTTCTATCTCCAAGTTATTCTGGTGAAAGGGTTAGATCACTTTGACGCGACGTCCGCGTTTTCCGACATGCAACTTCTGATCCGGTGGTACATGCGACAAATATATGATCTGCGCGTAATAATGATAATAATAAAAGTCCGAGGCACAAATATAGAATTTGTTCCCGAACCGAGATAAGTAATTAAAACCCGTCAAGAAATGCGAGAATTTATCATTTTGTGAGCACGGTGAGGTGATGGCTACAGCTGCCTGGATCGCTTATGGATGTTGGAAGCCAAGAGATGAATTTCAACAGTCCCTGCTAAAAAAGTCTCTACCGAAACATGACATAATCAGGGGAGACTGGAATGATCACGTAAGTCATAATGCTGCTACGATAACCTCAACAATTGGCAAATATGGCATCGGTGACCGATGTGCCAATCGGGAATGCTTTCTTCCAAAGAAATTAAAAGAGATCAATAAACGCATTGAAACCGTACGATATAATATATAATATAATATTGTATTTAAAATATATATACAATAGTACGACTATTGAAATGAATGACATCTCTGGAAAGGCGAATGAATACTGGTCTAAAGCGATGTCTACAAAAGTCAGCCGCTTCCATACTAGGATATAATAGTAGAAAGTGCACTAGTTGAATATCGGAAGCAACTGTCTGAATTGTCTGAAAAAGCTGCCATAGTCCGAATATCAGGAGATCCTGATTATCGAGTACTTCGAAGAATTATAACGACAGCAACACTGAATCAGAAATCGCTATTGGAGCCATATGGCCTCGAGAATGGAGATTGCGGTTCCGATAGGTGATAATAGGAAACTGCTTCGCCTTCTTCACAAAGCAACTATTATTTGCAACTTTAAGCTGATAACAATTTAACATTAAAGAAAGGGTTAGTGAAATATTAATGGTGTGCCTATTGAAGCTGTTAAGGATCGTCTCAGAAGATGGCCAAAGACCACGATGCACCAGCTGTTATCCCGGATATATCTCATTCGCTCGTCGAGCCTTACGTTTGCAACCGTAAAACGCCAATAGAAGAAGAAATAATCTCTGTAGTCCATAAATTTAAGACCAATAAAACTCTCGGAGAAGATGGTCTTCGGGCTGAATTTTTTAAATGTTGTCCATCATCGTTCATGACTCACCTTTAACAAATATATTCTCTGGGATGACAAAAGGAAATAATACCAGAAGATTGGAGCAAAGCAATTCTGCTTCCAATTTCTAAGAAAAATAACAAGACATATTGCGACAATCACTGAGGAATCAACCTACTGAATATCTCCGGGAAAATTTTCGCTTTCATTCTGCTAAATAGGCTCATGGTAATACGAGATTGCAGAATGCGTCTTAACCAAGCTGTATTCAGACCGGGGCGGGGTTGTGCTGACCATATATTTACGAGGTGCTGGAACATAGCTTCAAATACCAGCAACCCATCGTCACTTTATCGATTTTGCAGATGCCTTTGATTCGATTGATAGAGCAGCGCTTTGGAAAGTGATGGAATATGATGGTGCCTCAAAAAATCATTCGGCTCATAAAGGAATTTTATCAGCATACGCTATCATATGTCTATGAGGAACTGATATACTCCTACGAAATAAAAACTGGTTTCCATTATGGCTGCGTCCTTTCGCCTACAATATTCAACTATGCGATAGATTGGATAATGGTCATCGCTTATCGCCACTCAAGGAGTATGCAAAGTCCAAAACATGGCATCATGGACCTTAAGTATGCTGATGATGTAACCTTTTTTGTTAACAGTTATAATGAAATGCAAATAATATTAAAGAATGTGCCAATAACTGCAGCGAGAATAGACTCAAAATCAAAATCAATGTAAATAAAACGAAAGTATTTCCGTCTTATAAGATGCTGATAAAATGCCTTTTTTTATCAATTCATTGCCGGCAGAGGAAATCCGACTTTAAATAGATCTACTCTAATCCCAAATGGCCAGGCAAAGGATGAAATTGTAAACCGAATAACGACAGCTAGACGTTTTCCGGGCCGATGAAACCTTTATAGAACTGTCGTGAAGTTACTATAAAGACCAAAATCAAATTCCATAATGCTGCAATTCATTCGATCAATATGGTTGCGAAACATGGCCAATGAGAGTGAAAGATATTGAGAAGCTATCACCCTCTGACCACTCATATAAGATAAATTTTACATAATGTTATCACAAAGCGTCGCTTTCGGTGGTTAGGGCACGTTCTCCGTCGTCCACCACAAGAGTTGTCGCATATTTTCGTTACTTGCCGAACTTTGTTTTCGTTACTTGCCGAACCTTGTGATGGTTGGCGCCAAAAGCGAGAAGGGCCAATCGAGACTTGGACTAATACAGTCAGGAAGGATTTTGAATATATAGGGAGACCAGCGATATATGGACTTAGACGAAGGAAAAAGGAATGACTTCTATAATTATTAAAAGTCCGAGAAGCTTGGAGACATCTTACCCTTATAGTCAGCTGAGCCAGCCTAACCAATAAAGGTGAGAGCTTTAGGAAAAAGAAGAAAATCTGATGTGACTGTGATGAAGATTTCTTTTTTATTTATTCGCTCATATTATGCCTTAAACAAAAGTAACTATCAAGAAAATTTAATCGGATCGGTCGATTGTATTTATTTTACAAAATTTATTTAGTTTTGGCCTGCATTCATCATTAATTAATAAAAATATTTGACTGAAATTAATTAAATCAAATTACAAGAAAATAATTTTATTATAAATTATAGAACGAAATAATTTAAAAGAAATCATTATTTAAAACTTCAGTGAACTAAAAACGCTGAAAATAATCAACTGTACGCCTTATTCTTTCCCATAGAAAAAAATATAGAAAAAATACATAAAATATATTAATTAGATGATATTTCTGTCTAAATTTCTCCACACTTCATAAAGAGTTTAAATGTTACCGAAAATTTAAATTGAAAATTTTAAATGAATTTTTTCAGTAAGAAAAATAAAAAATCAAAAGAATTTTTCTGAATTTCTCTGGAAATTTGAATTGAAAAAAGAAACAAATGCACTTCAAAAATTCAAATAGCCTTTAAGTTTTTTATCAAAATTTCCATGAGAATAAAAAAATTCGAAAGAAAATAAATGCAATATCGTAAAAAATCAAATGAAATGAAACAATGAACGAATATAATTTTATGCCAATTTGCAAAAAAAAAAAAACAATAACTAAGAATTCAAATACTAAGAAATATGAAGTTTGAATGCTTCGCTAATTTTTCGATATTCATTCACGTTTTTTGCTTGCTTCAACACCAAGAACCTTTCTGCGCTGTGCAAGCATATAACAATAGAGTTTTGGAAAAGCTAAAAAAAATTCATTGCATTATTTTTTTCAAGCAATTTCTTTAAATGAAATGAAAAATCGTGGCAATAAAGAATCAAAAAAAGCAAACCTGGAATGTATAAAAGAACCATAAAAACTAGATACCACCAGAATGAGAAAGCAATATTGAACATATTCGGCATCTCTAATGTGAAATGTTTCTTTATAGAAACCTATAAATTTTATTGTGTATTATCTTAAATAACCCTTAAAAAAACAATTTATGAAAATAAAGCGAAATCTTAAGACATTCATAAACTTGATTTTAGCTTTTTTAAAGCCATTGATATTTTTTAAAGATTGGTAAAAATGCATTCAATCGGCCTATTGCACTTTTTTAAAAACATAAAGGAGTTAATTTAATTTAAATCAAAAATATCTCACAGAAAATATACAAGAAAACAAAACCTCATTAAATGCAGCGAAAATACACAACAATTCACCAGAAACTCCCAGCGGGTAAAGTGCAATGAATAGTGAATACCTACAAATACCAAATTGGTGACAAAGTATTTTGAAAGATAAAAAAATATTTTCGTCATTATAAAAAGTATTTCAACAAAATGTTTTTCGATTTATATAAAATAGATGAAAAATAGATTATAATAAAATTACTCTAAAGGTTTTAAAAGGCGCGAATTATACTAACCGCAACCAAGTGAGAAACTGTGGAACACACTTGAGTAATGTCAATGCATAGAAAGAATAACGTATAACTTCAGTAAGAGACCAAGCAAATAACAACATCGGCACACCTATACTGCTCCGAGTCTAAAATATTTAAAATTTTTTAAGAAATTTCAAAAAATATTTAAAAAATTCCATGAAAGATAAAATAATACATAATATTAATAAAATAAAATAATTTTAAAATAAAATGCTTTCATAATTTTACAATATACAATATATAAAAGGTCTTAAATATAAAAAATTTTATTTATTACTTGATTGTATCAATAAATTTTCTACAATGATATTTAAATATCCAAAAGAAAATATTATAGCTTATCCTTTATTCGAAAAAAAATAAACATACGGAAATGACTTTATACAGTATGAGCCACACAATCGATACACGCGAATAAACCTGAATTGCCGTGGTCCCAACAGGTGAACGAACAAATCCTAATGCTGCATGGATCACCTAAATTATAATAGTAATTTCAACTTTTTAGAAAACACAACTCGAGTACAACTTTTCTACGTGCGTATCTATTAACAGAAAGAATTAATAAGATTAATAAAATATAAATAAGGAACATAATATAAATAAGGAAATAAATGGAAGACAATCTCACAATTTTTATAATACTTTTTTATATATTTATAATATATAATATATAATTTATATATTTAAATATAAATATATAATAAATAAATATGCTTAATAAAAAGGTAAGATAAGAATAGAATGGCTCAGTGGGTTGTTGCTCAATTGAGAGCGTCGATGCTGAGGTCCGATTCCCCGCAGGAGTAAACCTGTACAAAAATTCGGGTGATGCTGGCGACTCAACTGTATCTCTATCGCCAAGGGACTCCCTGGCATATTGCCCAATGCGACAAGCCAGTGGAGCGAGTTTAACCAGTAATGGTGAGGACTCTTAAAAAAAAATACGGATCGACATGCTGGAGAAGATAATGAACTATAAGCGCCATATATTTGTGCTCATATAATGTTTCAAAATATTTTTCAATATTTCCTTCCATTTTCAGCTAAAACTTATTTCTTCTTTTCTTTCTCTTTATAAACTATATTAGTTCGTTGACTTAAAAAATGAGGCAAAAAATCGATCATTTTTAGTTAACTTTAGAACGATCCTGAATATCACTTGATTAATGCGAAATATTCTATCAAAATTCAAAAAAAAAAATGAATGGGAAGAAAATGTTAAAGATAAAGATAACAAAAAAAAAGAAAAAACTTGAAAATAATAAATAAATAAACAAGTAATAAATAAATAAGTAATAAAAACCTCAAGTATGGCTGCTGTTTGGAAAATCTGCAATTCGAATTCCACTGAATTATAACAGCGAATAACTGGTAAATTGGGAATCCGATAAGATAAAAGACTAATCAAATTGGCAACCGTTTTTATCAGTATTACACTCCAGCTAAACAATTATTTTTTAGTAAACAATTCGTTGTTATTTATTTATCTCTTTTTTAACTCCATAGCCTTGATAAAATTACGATAACAGATAATAATAGATTTGGCAATGATAATATTTGGTTTGGAAAAATAGGATTTGATCTCAATATCTCAACTGCACCTCAGATATAACTGTGGCAATAACGCGATGCTTCTTTATCTTAGGGAGATAGAATAGTAAGATGATTGTAGTTCAGATAACCAGCTCGATCTAGCCTTTGATGGAAATAAATTCATGTGGGAAACCATCTGCACTTCTATTCCTAAGTGATTCTTAGTAAAAATTTCACTTTTGTTGGCTAACTGAACAAACCTGATAGAAATAGGTTTAACAGAAATTGTTAACACTAATCACTTATTTATCTATTCAATAAAAAACCCAAAAGTAATTCAAGAATGATTAAAAAATAATTTAAATATAAATTTTATAATTAAACAATAATAACAATCAACAATATTAATAATAATATAATAATTAATAATAATGAAGAATAATAAATAATAATAATTATAATTTTATAGTTCTCTTAAAATTTTAATAAAAATTTCAAAATTTTAGCTTAATTTTAATCAAAAAATTATAATTTTTTGATTTTTAAAGTTTCTTTCACTTCAAAATTTAAAATTTGGAAAAAAAAATATACATTTATAAAAAAAGATATAAAATTACCCAAAGAATTGAAGCAAATTGTAGAGGAAAAGATAAGTTTGTACTGGTTTCATTGATAACAACCGCCAACAACTGATAAAATGATAAATGAATAAATCCAAAAAAAACAATAAATAAATAAAATTGAATAAAATTTTCATAATGGAAAGAAAACGATCCAATTTTTAAAATGAAACTTAATTTTTCACTAAATTATATTTTTAAACTTCCAATAAATTTAAATAACATTTAAATAAATAAATAATTTAAATTTCATTTTTATATTAAATTTCAATTGAAAAAAAATAAAGGAATAAATAGAAAATTTAACAAATTTAATAAATTTTATAAAATTAAATTAAAAATTTAAAAATTATAAGTTTCATTATTCGAAATTCAAAATTAATATTCGAAAATTTAATATTCGAAATTCAAAATTAATTTATAAAATTTATAAATCTATTTTAAGTAATTAAAATAATAAATCAATAAATCACCACATTGTAGTAATAGAACTGCTTAGCGAAAAGACTTTTTTTAAACTACTAAAATTCAGTTCCAAATTCTAAATAATCCGAAGTCTTTTGGTTTTTTTATTATCAACAAATCTTTTGTTTATCAGTGAACTGATAGATTATGACCTTTGACATTTAGTTCATTTTACTTTTTAAATGTGAAAAATAAATAATTGTGGATTCTCGACTTTTTGCTTTATGCAAGGGAATCTTTTGCATTAGATGAGTATAACCAGGATTTTTGGATAGATTTATTCCCCGTCGGGAGTAGAACTTCAGGCATCGGCGTTCCGAATTGAGCAACAACCTACTGAGCCATTCTATTCTTTGTTTTTGTGGGACACTGCCGATGAAGAGTAGTGCCACAGCGGATTCGAAACCAAGCTTTGATTCTCAGTGGCAATTACCTTACTACTGAGCAATCAGCCCACGGCGTGATGAATGAGGCCAATTAAAATACAAATAATAATTTTGATACTTAAAAAATTATTTGAAAATTTTTTATTCTATATAGCGAAATATATCTGAGGAATTATTATCATTATTGTTAGATTTATCAGATTTATCAGAAGCGAAATTGAATTCCAATTTTATAAATGGTTTTCTAACCAGCAATGGTGATGACTTTTTAAAAAAAAAATATCAAATTTATCAGAAGCAAATTAATTTATAAGATTTATCGATTCGATTCCCCGCAGGAATAAACCTGCATAAAAATCCGGGTGATGCTGGCGACTCACCTGTATTTCTATCGCCAAGAGATTCCCTAGCTTATTGTCCAATGCGACAAGCCAGTGGAGCGAGTCTAACCAGCAATGGTGATGACTCTTTAAAAAAAAATATCAGATTTATCAGAAACGAAATTGAATTCCAATTTCATAAATGATTTTCCTGGAATGAGAAATAATTTTCATTATTCATTTCGGGGGAAAATTAAAAAAAAGCAAAGAATTTATCAAAGAAAATTGGTGTATTCCATCCGTGTTGATCCGTGTTAAATACTAAATGCCGGCCATTGTCGCCATGGATTTAGCACTTATGCATTATATTTTGTCGTAGATGTTATCGATTAATTTTGTACAAAGAGTGTCAGAATTTGCGATTCACAAGTTTTAAAAAATCTTTTCTTCCTTCTTTTTTTTCTCTCTAAAAACCATGCACCGCGCTGGTTGATTTTACGAATATCTTAGCATATTTGCAAACGGTTCACTGATAATCAGTGATTTTAAACTAAAGCCAATTTAATTCTCAATAGATAATAATAAATTTACAAAAAAAAAGTTTTAAAAAAAAATAAAATTTTTTAAACTTTAATATGCAATTTTCAGTAAGAATTTCAAGTAAATTTTTTCGATTTCAGTGATAATTCGAGTGATTTAATTGATACCAATTTGTTATTCATCGTAAAAATAATAAAAATGACGAATTAATAGCGAAAACCCTTCTCGTACTCCAGACTATCATTACTTATACTTTTGATGAATAAGCCGCGGCTGCAAAATTTAAACTTAAATTTTTGAAGCCGCAGCTTCGAAATTTAATCTTAAATTTTTACGGCCATAGCCCCAGAGATTTCTCTTAATTTATGGTCGATTATATTTTTTCCCTAATAGAATCATCTTTATATAATTTCTTATAGGTGGGAAAAGAGGGGGATGGAATAGATTTTGTGGAGGGTTTGTAGAGTTTTTCACCATCATCCTGTTTTCAGCTCCGTTATTTTGCCGTCGATTTTTCCCCATTCACTCTTTTTTCTTCAATTCAACAAACCTCACAATTTTCCGTTTGCTTTGACTACGCTGATTGTTAAAGCGTTTCATTCTTTTATGTTAGAGAGTTGCGAGGATTTTGCCGGTAACCTGGTAATGGTACCCGAAGTGATTGGTCGTAACTGAAACATTATAAGATCGACTCGATTCTTCATAATAAATATTCAGAATAGTTCTTTACTCATTTTTTTTCTGGTAGTGCTTGGAAATGTCTTGTCCTTGTAGCCAATGGTACCAGCCTAGCCAGTAATGGTGAGAGCTACAAGAAGAAGTGGGCTTCTAGTAGTTGAAAATTTGATGAAATCTGACGAATGATAAGTGATCGGAATTTTGATTTAAATTAATTTCAGGTCATTTTGTTTTGTTTTTTGGAATGGAAGTGCGATCTCGAATGAGACCGTTCGTAAAGGATGTTGGTGGTGCGAAGGCAATTCTCGATGAATTTTCACCACATTTGATACAAACAAAAGTATTTTACGTTTTTTTTCTTTTCAAAATTATTTAAAAAAATTTTTTTTTGGTTATTTTTTCTTCCTTCCCTTCAACGCTGATAAGCGAAAAGTATTTATTCATTGTTCATTTACTTTCTCTTTAATTCCCCTTAGAATTTGTTTTTTTTATAATTCAACATTAATCCAATTTAAAATTATATTGAAACGTGTTAATCAAGTTTTTTCAAATATAAATTCATTTTTATTCGATTCGTTTCTAAATGAATGATTTAATCAGATTTTTTGAAAATTATTTAAAGTTTCGTACTTGTCGGTTATATTTTCCTCGAGGTCAAATGATGTGTGGTAGTGTGGTTGTTATTTATATTTTAAAAAATTTCTCCTTTTAAATTTTCATTTGCATTTGAACTTTAGCTGTCCTTATCTGAATCTATCCTTTTATGCTTGCATTTGCATTTTTTCACACCAAAATTCTTATTTCCGACAATTTATCTATAGCATTAGCTTTAACAATTTCGCTTTTCTATTCTTAAACTAAGATAACCAAAAAGAGAAATATTGAATAGGTTTACTATGGTTGTTTCACTTAAATTTGCTAGGTTATAAATTACGAAATATTTTAATATATATATTTAATAAATATATTTTTTTTTAAAAAAAAATTATATTTGATCAAAAACATCAATTCTAAACTTTACTTGTACTTTAAACATAATTATCTAATGATTTCAAAAAAATTTTATTTTTTCGCTTGTTATAATATGGATTCTATAAGATATACAATTATGAAATTTTCAGCAAAAATTGGTTGATTCATTGGGTTTTCGGCATTGGCTTTTAATACTTTTTGTCGTTGGGACAGTTTATGGGCTTGTTGTATATCAGGATAATCGCATGCCTTCAGTTATACCTGCAGGACAATATAAAAAATTTTCGGAAATTCGTGCTCGTCATTTACTTAATGCTCTTACTGATCTCGGTCCTCGTCCAAGTGGTTCAAAAGCTTGTGAAGTATGCATATTTTTTTCCTTTGTTTATTTCAACGTGACGTGTTGTTATTTATCGCTTTGTAGTGAATTTTTAACAAAAAATTTTAATTATCCTTTAGGTGGATGCAGTTAATATTATTACTCGTCGACTAAACAATGTACGTTATGAAATTAAATCTCGTGGAGTAAATCGCTTTGAAATGGATATACAGAGACCATCTGGATGTTACGATCTGAAATTTTTATCATCTTTTACTCTTTGTTATTCGAAAATAACAAATATTGTGGGTATGCTTTATTTGTTTATTTTATTTACATTATTTATTTATTTATATGCATTATTTATTTATTTGTAATCTAACTATTTTAATCTAACTAATATGAATAGTAATAATAAGTAGTAGTATCATTTTTAATATTAATCTATTAGTATTAATTTATTAATTTTAATTATTAAAAATTATAGCTCGAATAGGACCTGCAACGCCTGCGAAACATGCAATCCTTCTCAACTGTCATTTTGATACCCTTCCAGATTCTCCTGGTGCAACGGATGATGCGGTCAATAAATTTGTTTTAATTTGTAGAATGGGTTTTTTCCTGCTTAAATAGTTCTGAATAAATCGACGATGGAAATCGATCGGCTAGGATGGTCGAATATTGTTTATATTGACTATCACGGTTTAGGTCCATATCGTCCTTGCTTCTTGGTCGGAATAAATTTTTAAACCTTGTTATATCATTAAAAATGACTTGAGACACGCACTTTTGTCCACAATTCTGCTAACTTTCTAACCAAAAAATATATTCAGGCCAAAATAGCGGTCAATGGAGCTGGCAAATCTAGAAATAGTGAGACTTATAAGAAGAAATACAAAATTTGATAGCTAAACTCACTTAAGGTCTTTATTAGGACAATTATATTCGAATTATATATAAATATGGCTTTTGCAGGTGAGTTGTGCTATACTTATGGAAATTTTGGATTTATATTCGCATAAGACAACTGCTCTTCAGAATGACATTATTTTTTTATTCAATGGAGGTTGAATCTTTATAATTATCGGTTTCTGTTTTGTTATTTTCTCCTTTTAAGTTGTTCCGTAAAATATTTTAATCAAGCATTTAACCATTTTAAACATTTTCACGTTATAGCAGAGGAAAATTTTCTGCAAGGCTCGCATGGCTTCATAACTCAACATCCATGGCGGCATTCAATACGTGCTTTTGTTAACTTAGAAGGTTCTGGAGCTGGTGGACGAGAAATTCTTTTTCAAGTAATATAAATTAATATAAATTTTTCACTTTTCTTTTCTATATTTTTATTTTTATGTTTTCGGATAGTTTGTTTTTTTCGGATAGTTGCTATATATGCCTATTTCAGCTTATTTTTCATTTTTTATATTTGATTAATTTTTAGGCTGGTCCAGGAAATTCCTGGTTACTTCAGACTTATCTTGAAAATGCGCCATATCCTCATTGTAGTGTTTTAGCACAAGAAATTTTTCAAGCTGGAATTATTCCTTCTGACACGGATTTCCGTGTTTTTCGTGATTATGGGCGTATATCAGGTTTTTTAAAATTTTCAATTATTTTCAAAATTATGTGAAAGAATTGCTAAAAAATTAATATAATTAATTTTTACCTATTTTCTTATTTTGTTATTAATGCAAAGTCTTCGCTCTAAAATATTGATAATTTATTTATATTTATATATACATATATAAAATGAATTTATTATTTGGTTCGCTTCAGGCTTGGATATTGCGTATTTTCGAAATGGATGGGTTTATCATACGGAGTTTGATCTGCCAAAGTTTATTGCTGAAGGTTGCATTCAACGTGCAGGAGAGAATATTTATGCCTTAATTGAAGTCATTTCTCCTATTTTCATTTTACATATTTTCATATTACATATTTTACATATTTTATATTCAATGGCTGCATAAGTTTTTTATTAGATAGAATATATTGCGGCATTTTTTATTTTAAGTCGTTATTCATCATTTAATTAACGCTGTTCATTTAATTATCGCTTTCAAAAGGTGAATAAATAATCTTGCTTGTTCACAATCTGAATTAAATAATTTAGGCTCTGATAAATTCACCTTATTTGGATGATCAAAATTATTTCACTGAAAGTAATCAATGGGTCTTCTATGATGTTATTGGTTTGTTTACTGTATTTTATTCCGTTCCTGTGGGTAAATTTTATAATTATTTAACTGCTTTAATTATTCTGATTTTGGTTTTATATCGCATTAAACGGCGAATTTATTTGTTTGCTGATGTTCTTTATGCTCTATTTCATCATGCTATTGCTATGTCCTTCATGATTGGTAAGTGAATAGAATATCGTTAAATTTCTTTTATAATTTTATTTATGAAAATATTAAAATCAATTTTTGCAATTGCACCTGAGCGATGTTCTTTTAATTAAGCTTTTCAAGGAGATTTCTAATATTTTAAGGTCATTAGTGTTTTATTGAAATTTTGAAATGGAAATAATATTTCTTCATTCTGTGATATTATAATAATTTTAAATTATTATTTAAGCCGTTGGATGCATCGTGACTCTTATGGTTATAAAACTTGATTTAGTCATGTGTTGGTACAAACGTCCTGAACTCGTATTTCCTCTTTATATTTTCCCTATGCTTTTGTCAGGTTGTACTGCTCATTCGATTATGGCAAGGCGATCCATGGTTAGTCCAAGAATTATTTGGTCTTTTTCATCATCAGAATTTCAAAATCATTTTATATTTAATGATAATTAAAAGATTTTGAGGTGGTTTATTTTTAGTTACGTAATGCCGAAATGGTTCAATACGATAGTGTTTTGATTATCTTTGCATCCATACTTTTTATATTAACATGGAAAGGATTCGCTAGTGCTTTCTATTTGCTTATTCATTCGTTTTTCCCACTTCTTCGCGATCCACTTCTTTTTTTCTTGGGAAAGATTGGTATATTAAGAAGTAAGTTCAGAAAAAGTTAAAATTTGATATTTTGGCTTAAGGCTCATATTACTTTAAAATTATCGAAATTTTTCATTTTTAAAATTGAAGCACGTTAAATTGAATTGAATTAAAATTTTAAAATTGAAAAGAATTTATTTTATTTTTTAAATTTTTTTTCTTTTTTTCTAAATTTGATATGGAATTCAAACCAATTTTATCAAATTTTAATATAGATTTTTAAGTTTTTCGTGGAAATTTTTTAATAAACCTATTTCATAGGAGTGACGATTCGTTGGTTGTTAGGTACACAGCTGCTTTGTACGGTGCCTGTCATGGTATTTGGTGCTTATGCTGTGATGTTGCTTTTCGATTTCTTTGTACCAGTAGTTGGTAGGCTTGGACAGAATCTTAATCCAGAATTCATTGTCTTACCATTAAGCTTTCTTACCGCAATGTCTTTCGTATTATTCACTGTATGTTTGTATATTTTAAGATAATTTTATAATATCCTAGGATAATCCTATTTCATTATTTATTGTATTCGAGAAATTGTTTTTTACTTTCTATTTTCTTTTATTTTCTATTTTGAAAGATAATCATAGGTAAATCACGAACTAATTCATTTTTTTTGCCAATATGATCCATTATTTAAACTTATTTCTTTAATAGAATAATTTGGTTTATTTGACTCGACGTATGGATTATTTGATCAAATGTGGACTTGCATCCTTCTTATTTTTCTTATTAATACTTTCTACAACGCGACTTGGTTGGCCGTATTACTATTCAGAGTCTTCACCACGTTTAAGACGTATTATCGCTCTAGTTAGTTTTTTTTAGTTTTTTTGTTTGTCTTTTCGATTTTGTTTTTAACAAAATTTGAATTTTGTTTTTATGGATTTTTATGCGAAAATTCAAAAATTTTTTACTTTTAGGATACTAAACGCACAATTTTTCCATTTCTAAGCAATGAGTCTACTGTGGAACATGCGTTATTTGTTCAAGCATTAGACTATCGTGGTATTTCTGATTTACCTGAACATACCTTTCTATCAGGTTTTATAATTTTTTCAAATACGTTTCCCTTGACTTTTCAGTCTTTTTAATTCATTTTTTTTATTATTTTTTATTCGTTTTATTTATTACTTATTTTTTATTATTTTTTTATTCGTTTTATTTATTATTTATTTATTTAATGCTTATTTTAGAAAAAAGATTAAGCAGCTCAATAGTTAGTGGAAATACAATTTACTATTATATATATGATAATAAAAATCAAAAAAATAAAATTTAAATTATTATTTTAGTCACGTTAACAGAGAACACGATTGTGCAAAGTAATATCCTAGGATAATCTATTTGTTTTTAAAATTAGAAACTGATACTATAGGAGTAGGCAATTTATTCCAAAAGCTGTTAATGGTGTGCATGAAAAAGATATAGACTCTCTCTTATTCTCCCTTTTTTTCATTTCATGAATTATTGGTAATTTAGCATAATTTTAAGGCAATAAGCCTGATTGTCGAAATATCAGTGATGAATATTGTCGATTTCCGTTTTATACGGCTATTCATGAAATGTTTCCACCCGAGTAAGATTTACATTTTTTTGTCATTGAAAGTTTCCATTTATAAGTTGCTTAAAAATGGCGAAATAATGCTTTTTTTTCTTCTAGGGAAGCGCGTTGGATACCTTTACCAGACAATCTTGTTATAAACGACCCTATTACTTTAAATCTCGAAAAGAAAATTCCCATTTCTGCGGATGAATTGAAGTTAAGCTTCGTTTTGAAGGGTGGAGTTGATAAAAGTTCCTTACATTTAACGCCATTAAATGGCTTTACCCTAAAGAAATGGTCTTTTACTGATCTCAATGTTGAAGCATTTGGTAAACGTAAGACGTACTTCGTTTTTCTTACTTATGGGCATGAAGCGCCATCTGAATTCAAATTTTGGATTCATCTAAAACTTGTTAGTTTTTTTTGTTCCTTCTGGTTTTAGCTATTTTTTAAATCTCTTCATCTTAATGATTTCGAAAATTTGAATCAAAGCTGTTAGAAATCAAATTTTTCAGGAGAATGGCTCAAAGTTTATAAACATTGATGAATTACAAACTGTTCCCACCTTTGAAGTCTCAGTTGCCTCACATTATGCCCATGGTTGGTAATATTTATTAATTATTTTCATATTTATTTAATAAATAGGATTTTTTAAATTAATTGCAACACTTGTAAATGTAATTGACCACTTATATTTTATACACAGGTCCACATCAACATTCTGAAACGGCTAGACAGTTGCGTTCACTAATAGAGATGAGGCGAAAAGTGCCTCATATAGCTGTTGGATGGTGGAAGTGGGCAATTACATCAATTATCGGAGTCGCACAAATTGTTGTTTATACGTTTTAAATTTGTTTTTTCAACGTTTATTTCTTATATGTTCTTGTATTATTTTTTTTTAGCTTACTTTGTTCCGGCCATTGCAGAAAAGTATGTACAAACTGAAAAAGAATTTTAAAAAAATGATTGAGATTTTCGCATTTTCAATTTGAGATACGTGAAAGAAAATTTAATGTGATGGTTCAGCTTATGTAAATAACCTTTTAATCTTTTGTGTAAGTGATATTATCATTTCTTTTTTAGTGCATTCTTATTTTTATATGGCCAGTTTCTAAATGTAAAAAATTATCCCACTAATTTAATGTTAGTGATTTATGTTAATTCTTGAATATTTTTTTATTTTTCTACATTTTATTATTCGATTGTTTTCCATTTTCGGTTTTTTTAATTTATCACCATGAAAACTGGAGAACCATATGAAGAAAAATCTAAAAAAAATGACGATCTGGAAATAACCAATGAATAAAAGTAGAAAGGTTTTGTGGAAAAATTATATTATAATAACAACTGAACGAGTTTCCTTTCACTTACAAATGTTATATCGACTTTTTAAAATTATTTTAAAAATTTTAATTTTTCTTGTTTTTGATTATTTCTTTTCCTAATTATGGTTTTTTTTATTGAATTTTGCAGGCAGATTTTTTACGAATTGTGATGTTTATGTTTCTAATTTCTTCATATATTTGCTCATTTAACTCTTTAATTATTCATTCTGTATTTTTATAATTAGGAGAAATTTATAATTTTTTATAATTATAAATTTTAATTCATTAATTATTCGGTGAAATTTACAATTTTTTTCGAACTATGGGTTTTTTAAAATATTGCCGCAATAATCTTTCTGGATTTATTTATAAATTTTTTTATTAAATTTTAGCTTTTTATTCCAAATTTAGATTGGATAATTAGTGGTGATTAATCTAATTTTTGTTTTTTCCTATTTTTTTTTGGTTTTTTTTAAAAATTTCTCATTATTGATTTTTTGCATACATTTATAATATATAATAATATAATATATAACACATTGATTATCATTTTCGGTTTTTTAGTCAAATAAAACTATTAAATTTCATTTTTTTATGCCTAAATTTTTTAGTTATATTCGATATCAAACAAAGTTGTTTCAAATGGTGTTCCTATTATCTTTTTTTTTTTACTAAATTTCTAAATAACGGTGAAATATTATTTTATTCTATTGTAAGTACGTTTTTTCATAGGCAAATTAGGGGCGTAGAAATTTAAAAAATATTTTTTAGGGACAATAAAAAATTCTTTAACAGTGTAGAAATTTAAAAAATATTTTTCAAGGGCAACGAAAAAAATTCTAAGGCAATGAGATGTATCAGTTTCACTTGGCTGCGTTATTTCTGGCAAACATCGATTCGTCGATTAGCTTGGAATTGTCGCAAGAATAGGACATTTTTTCGACGCCATTTGTTAGTTGAAATTCATGAATAATGAATATATTTTTCCTAAATATGAGCAGTGAAATGGCAGTGATTATGTCGCTTGGAACTAAGATTATAGGTTCGAGCATTGTTCTTTGATACGAGGAAGAAAAATCTATTATTTAGAAGCAAACAGGTTCGGATGGTTCTGACGACAAATCTATCCGTGCACATCTATTCCGCTATTAGTAAAATGGTCCCTCAAATAATTGTAGAAAGCCACCCAAAATAGAAATGATGAGTACTATTTAGCAGAAATAAAAGAAATATTTATTCCCGTTTAATATAAATAAATAAATTTGTATATATGCAATTCAAATTTTGCAATTTTTTGCAAAATTTCGAATGTTTACTTTTTGTATTCTTCCAGAATAGTAGTTTTGGCCCAATTTTTTGGTTCGAATTTGAAATTCTGATTGCTCTGAAATCGAAATTTGCACCATTATATGGGATATGAGTCATTTTTTTTTCATTATACTTTCTTTATATTTTCTTTAGATTTCGTCCGAGGCTTCTTGTTGCGTTACCAGCTGGTTTATCGATCCATGATATGGCATCCAACGTTGACCATAGTGGATCGAAAAGAATAAAATCAAAAGATGAAGATATATTGGGAGATTGGGAGGTATTTTCCATTAGTAATATTCAACTTAATCTATTTTTATTTTTAAAATTTTTCAATTTTACGTAATACATGAAGACATATAGGAAAAGGCATAAGCAAAACAATGCAGATACATATTCATACAGATTCATGCACATCTGGATATGCTGTTTTGTATGCTGTCAACTTAAAGATTACTCATAATTTTTGAAAATTAATTAGAATTCAGATTTTTGAAGTTTAAAATTCTATTTACCGAAAGGTTTTTACTAGTTTCTTATTTTTTAAAGGTTGTTGTACAACAAGATGACGTGCAAGTTCTGCGGCGATTACATAACGAAACGGGTCTCTATGAATACAAATGTTCCGGCAGTTATAGGTTTTAATTTTTTAAATTCTCGAGTTTGTACTAATGTGCTATATTAAAAAGAATTATATATATATATATATATATATACATATACAGGAATAGAAGGGCTCAGTGGCTTGTTGGTGTTATTTTGGAGCGCCAAAGCTGGGGTTCTGTTCTCGGCTGGAATAGACCTGCCAATAATACAGGTGTTGTTGGCGACTTACCAATACTTTTCTCGCAAATTAATTCCCTGGCAAAATTTGTCTGGTCTGACAAGCCAGTGCAGCGAGCCTAATCTGAAATGGTGAGAGCTCTTAGAAAAAGAATTAAAAGAATTTTTGTAATAAATTGTTGCAATTAAGTGTTTATTTTATGCATTTGGTATTTTATTATTTATCTATGAAGGAACATTAGGGATGTTTGTGCTCGCGATTTTATTGATGCTCAAATCGATCTGGATTATCGGAAATCTTGGGATCCTAATGCTATAACACTGGAGTTATTAAATGAAAATATTGAAGAATGCTCGGAAACCGTGCGGTGGATTGTAAAATTTCCTTTTCCGTTTTATCCTCGGGAATATATTTTTCTCAGACAAAGGTTTCTATTTAATATATTCTTAGCTAAATAATGCCTTATTTTATATTTTCTTCATATAGTCACTCCTCATCCTATACTAGTCCCACTGATTATTAGATGAAATACTTTTGCCAGAAAATCATTTAAACTCTTAGAAATACTTGGATAATCATAGCACTATTTGGACTTCGTATTTGTTGTTCATTCGAATTCCTGCAAGAAATCCGACCCTTGATGCGAGATTTCAGTCCAAAAAATATACCTATTCCTTCGTAATATTTGAGTTAATGCGGAAAATAAGATATGAAATTTGTTCAGCAGTTATCAATCAAAATTTACAGAGCTTTTTGATCTTTTATTTTATTTATTATATGTAATCTTTTATTTATTTAAGATGTTATGATGCAGAAAAAGTAGTTATTTCAAGCTCTGCAGTTGGTCCTGAACAGTATCCAAGTACGGAGAACTGTGTTCGAGTTACCACTTACCAGTCAATTATGATCGTCAATTTTCATGGCACCATTGACGATAAAGGATTGGATTATATATTAACTTATTATGAAAATCCTGAGTGTAATCTTCCATCATATATCTACAATTGGGTTGTCAATAGTGCCGGTCCCTTTTTTCTTCAACGGGTAAATTGTTTATTTTGGAAATTTTTATTCCTTTATAAATTTTCTTATTTAATTTGCAAAATAAAATTTCAGAATTTGCTGATGATTTTTTATCTTAATTTTTTTTTTATTTTTTTTTAGGTTAAATCCAAAATCTGTGAAATTTTAAATTTTCTTAAAATCTAGTATCGATTGTGATATAAATTGCAGGCATATAATGCGGCTAAAGAATTGGAAATTCATCGTAAAAGCTTCCTTAATGATAATGAATCGGATGTGGTTGACCTAAATGAATTATCTTCTCGGAGTTTCCTAGCTGAGAGTGAACTATCTGAGGAAACTGGAATTTTATCAAAAGATAGTCGAAGCGCGTTTCAAAATAGTTTCGTTGTATGTCCAGAAATTCTAGTTTCAGATCAAAATGACTCTTCAAAAGCCCACTTAGATAATTCTTCTGATATTTGTACATTTTTAAATAATACTGGTAAGGAAATTTTATCAACCGATAACGAATGTTGTCAGATAGGTTCTTCAGAGATTTCTTCTTCTCATAAACCTGAATTTCAAGCGTCGCAATTGTTATACGGTCTATATCAACCGTCAGAATTTGTAAAATTTTCAGAATTTGCTGATGGTTTTTTATCTTAATTTTTCTTATTATTTTTTTTAGGTTGAATCCAAAATCTATAAAATTTTAAAAAGCATGAAAGAAATGCTTCACTTTGTATGAAAATATTTCATTTTTAAGCTCATTTTAAGCTTCAGTTTAATTTAAAATTGGTACGTTTCATCGACTTTCTTTCATTTTTTTGCATGAATTTCTTTCATTTTTTAGATTTATGCGAATTCACTTTTTGCATAATTTCTATATTTTATATGAAAGCAAATAATAATTATTATCTTACTGCAATATTATTTCTAATTGTTATTTAATTTTTTTTTATTTGATTAATTCTTGTTTTTTTTCGCTTTAATTTAATTTTATAATTTTTCTTAGATTTATTAATTCTTTTGTTGAATAAGTTTCCGGTTTTTATGCCAATATTTTTAATTTAATATGTTTGAAATAAAATAAATACTTTATTAATTGACCGTTGCTTAACGAGGATTATTCGCTAATTTGCTACTTTCTAATACTGTAATTTCATTAATCGGTGAATTTTTTCCAAAAATCTCAATTAAAATAATTATATGAAAAATAAAAATTTTTTTACTTAGCAATCATCGAAACATCAAAATGTAAAATAAAAATTCTCTCAGAATGGTTTCTCAGAATGTATTCTGCGGTGCGCTGTCGGTAGTTCCATCTCTCAACGTTATTACATCTTGTCCTTTTGTTTTCTCTCGTACCAGTACCATTCCCATCAATCGATTCAGTTCTAGAGAAATAAGCCGAGCTTCGTTTTTTGCGCTACAAGTTCAATATCCATTTTATTAGCATTGAGTTTGGAATTTTTTAACCAACTGGATTTTTTTGCGAAAATTTATTTTTTTTTATTTCAATAAATCGGTTGCTTATTTTCTAATGATTCGCCTCGTCTGTTGTCATGCCAAAAAGTGAATATAATTTCAGGTGAATGGACACGAAAAATTCGCAAGAATCGAGGCCTAATTTTTTTCGCCGTAAATTACCGAAAAGTTGTGTGGATTTTTCGAGTTCGGAAGGCAAAAAACTTTTTACTGAAAGTCTTCTTTCTGGTATTTTATTTATTTTATTCATTTAAAATTAAAAATAATATTTTTACTTATTTAATTTTTTTAAAATCAACAAATTCTGGTGTTTTTATTTTTTATTTGCTTATTTATTTATTATTTATTTAAAATAAAAGATATTTTCATTACTTTTTATTTATTTAATTTATATTTGTTTAAAATAAAAAAGCAAAAAATAAATAATTTTGTCAATAATTTTTATTGAGTTTCCTTTTAAAATTGGAAATAGTTTTAGTAGAAACAACATTCCTGGGTAAATTCTTTTTCTTCCAATAAATTCTTCCAATAATGAAAAAAATTATAAGGCGATATGTTGCGCTTATAAATTGGTTTTCCTAGCTTCTTTCTACATTACTTTTGGGGAAATAAGTGTTTAAATAAATATTATCATAATTTATTAAATTAATCACAAATTCTGCAAGTAAAAATCATAGCATTGCTTAATTCTTTTAAAAATAATTTCCATTATTTTTCATTTTTAATTAATATAAATTTTTAAATTTTAAATTTTTTTCAAATTATTTTTTAAAATTCTTTTATTAATTAAAAGTTTATTTTAAATGAGATTCTTAAGGTAGAATTACGATTATTGAAAGAAAAATGGTATTTTCGTGAAATGGCATACGATTATTTTATTAATACTAATTGTATGATTATTATTTTCGGAATTTCCTCAATTTATGGATAAAATTTGTGGAATTGCTCGTATATTTCAGGTCACGCTAATATGTATTTCAGGTCACGCTAATATATATTTCAGGTCACGCTAATATATATTTCAGGTCACGCTAATATATATTTCAGGCCATGCAAATATATTTCAGGTTATGCTAATACATGCTTAGGTCATGCCAATATATGTTTCAGGTTGTGCCAATATATATTTCAGGTCATGCTAATATAATTCAGGTCATGCTAATATATTTCAGGTTATGCTAATATATATTTCAAATTGGCCGCTCAGTTTTTGACTCAAGAAGAACCCGCTTATTGTGGCATATCAACTTTGGGTGGATTTTTTTCGATAACTGTTATTTCTTAAATTGAAATGGTACTTGGAGCATTTTTAAGTGAATAGTTCGATGATAAAGAGGAAATAATGAATATAGCATAATTTAACGAAATTTCGTAAAATATTTCTCTGTCATCCTATTTGATATTGAATAATGCTCTCGACCAGATGGTTTATATATCTATGAATACCTTGATTTCATTTTTGTAACTAATTTTAAAAAGATAATTTAGAAAGCCTTAAATCTTTTTCGATTGCTTTTTGAAAACAAATCCACCAAAGGAGTTTTACTCGAGACAATGGAGAATGGAGTATTTTAATTGATGGATCAATTGTATCGAAAAATTAGAACGAAATCATCCACCTTGTTTTATGGTCATGAAATTACAAAAATTAATGAAATTTTGTTTTCAGTTATGGTACTGAACGCATTGGATGTCGATCCTGGTAAAATATGGAAAGCGCCTTGGCGATTTTATCACGAAACTATGCTTCAATGTTGCGTACCTCTGGACATTGTTAAAATCAAAGGAATAACATTACCACAGTTTTATTGTTTGGCAAAATGTAATAGACTTAATGTTGATCTACATTATGGTGACATATCAGCAGGTGACATATCTGTTAGTAGTTTATCGTTAGTTTATAATAAAATTATGTTTTTCTCGGTAATCATACTGATGTCCATATTTTTTGTTATTCAACAAAATTTAAAATTTATTTTGAATTAAAATTTTAGATTTTTTAACTATGTTACGCGAAGATGTAAAAAAGTGCGTGGCATCGGATGATATGATATTAGTTGTTAGTTTTGACCGAGCAACCTTGGGACAGACTGGAACAGGTTTTTTCTTTTTCTTTTTTATTATTATTATTTATTTTTATTTTATTATTATTATTTTTTTATTATTTTATATAATAAAATATAGTTTTAAATAATTTCATTATATATACCATTGATGACGTATATACCGTCAGTCTCGAGTTTTAAAATTACTATAAATCAAATGGGATTATTTGGCATAAAAATATTCACAAATCCTTATCATCCTATTGTCAAATCATATCATATTAAATTGTTAATCGCATGAATGAATACTGATTGCCCTTTTTTTCTAAAAAAATAAAATTGGAGGTGTAAAATTTATGTGATTAAAGCGAAAAACTTTTTTAATTTCAGTTTTTATAGATTTTAAATTTTTTTGTCTTTTGTTATTTTCGCACTACAGCTTTTAAAATCCTCATTTTGCAGGTCATTTCTCACCGATAGGTGCTTATAATGAAACTTCCGATGAAGTGCTTATCATGGATGTTGCCAGATTTAAGTATCCACCTCATTGGGTTTCTTTAACTTTGCTTCAAAAGGCAATGTTACCGATTGATGAGGCCACTAATAAGTCTCGAGGAATGTTCTGCGAAATGTTCTTTTTTGTTTTGCAAATCTTCCTTTTTCAATAGCATTCCGCTATACTTATCTTGTTTTTAATTTGACCTGACTTTTCTTTTAGGATATTTGGTTATTCGTCTTCAGGATGGTGATAGACCGCTAACGTTATTTTCATTAAAGTTAAACGTCGGTAAATTGGATATTGATGTAAATTTTTTATATTTAGCGATTCAAGTTCATATATTCAATTGATATGGAAGAATATATGCAATCGTTTTTATGAGCATTTTTTATCGTAACTCTTCTTAGTCACAAAGAATAATTTATTATATTAAAATAATCTGTCGTTTTGCTTCAATTGAGAACTTAGAAACATCAGTTCAATTCCTATAAATTCCTCTAAGCCTATATGAAAGATTTAGTAACCTATTTTCTTCATTTTATTTCAGTTTTGGAATAGGGTGGATGATTGGGAGTCATTTTTGGCAATTGAAGCGGTGAAATGGGATCAAATTGAAATAGAAACGACATGTCGGACTTTCGAGAAATTTTTCGCCAATATCGTTGAATGTTGCATTATGGAGGTATTTTTCGTTTATCACGATAATTTTTTTTTCCCCCACATCCCTAAATATCGCTATTTTTTGTTAGATTCGTTCTGCTTGCTTGTCAGAGCTAAAAAATTTTGCCAGTGATTTGTTTCGTGATAGAAGTACAGGCGATTCGTCAGTATCACTCATATTTTTGAAAGATTTACTCCCGCCAGGAATGAAACTCCAACATTGGCGCTTCGAAATGTGACATGCTGGGTCATTCTATTTTAAACCACAATGAAAGTTACTACTTTCAATGAAAATTAGAGATTTTCGAAATTTAATTTTTTCGTATACGAAGTTATTAGCTAATCAAAAAGCTGTCTTTGGAATTGTCATCTTTTTATATTTTAACTTTTCGTATATTTTAAATATTAGAGATGTATAAACGATTCTCAAGACTGTTGTCTAATGACTAAATTGAATAGCTGTTGTCAAGAAATTTGTCAAAATATTCAGTCGCTAGAAATTGCCAAATTTATGAATTCATCAGCTATTATCGCTCTTCTTTTATCATGGCCTATCCAAGTAAAAAATTACTGTATGAATTCGATTTTTATTGCAAATTATTCGAATAACTTTTAAAAATTTTGATCGAATAAATTTTGGTTAAAATATTTTTTTCAACGTGGAATTTTTCAGTTAAATTCAAAACGTTCTATTTTTTTGGTCGATTATCTTCAAGGAATATCGAAAACTCTTGATGCTGCTTCTCAAAATGAAATCTTTCTCCTCAATTCACAACTCAAAACTCTTTTATCCATGCGATTATCTATTCCAAATTGTTGAAATTTTTTTAAAAACTCAATAAACCGAATAAACCATTAATGTTAACTCCAAATGAATTATTAATTATCTAATTTTTACAATAAATAAAATGAAGTATAGGTGGATCGCCACTGCCGCCAAAGTCTTTTGAATAATGCATTTACATCTGTCAGGACCAAGGAATTGAATTTCTAATGCAATATCGAAATAACAATGTTATTCGACTGTCTCTAAGCAATATCACCATGTGTATGTATATGTAAATGGTTGAGTGACGTCTTAAACTATTGGTCCAAGCACCATGGTTTAATTATTCTCGACAATTGGCAATTGTGGATATTTCTGGGAATTTATCTGCGCACCGATCTTTAAATATCTCTCTTCGAAAAGTTAGCCAGCGAATATGATGAATGCTGAAGAAAAATTTGTATATTGTATTTTTATAATATTGTGTTTGTACCGTTTTTCAAATATGCCAGATTTTTGATGATCAATATTGAATATTCGAGTGGATTAAATTCTTTTTGGAAGTGATCAGTCGTGATAAGTTGCAAAAAAAATTGCAAAGGTGAATTAATCAAATAATCAAATTATTATCGAAAAAGATTTTATAAAAATATTTAACAAAAATATAGAAAATATTTTCAAAATTCAAATTTATAGGAAATTTCACATACAAAATTGAAAATGAACTATATTGAATATATTAAAAGGCTAGAAAGCATTTTTATTTCGGTGAAAATTCGGGCATTTTACATTTATTTGCACTAATCATATCAGAAATATCAACGATCACACCACGATATCGAACCTGCAATATTGTTATCACCATTGTCATTAATAGAAAGTGGTACCTCAAAGGATTTAAGTTTGTCTTATCTTCAATGTAATTTATATTTGGTGAAGTGGAAAATCATCTCATTTCAACTGTAATAGTAGCGATGGTATTTCTTGAATACTAAATTTATGAAGTAATATTTGAATTTATTGATATAATTGTTGTAATTCTAATATAAATAAAAGTACTTCCATGAAAACTGAATCTGGCGAATCTCCACAATTCAAACGAATCCCTATAGGTTGACCCTGAATGACTCTTTGCCGACCCAAAAGTTGATCGCGATAGTGAACGTTATAAAGCACAACTTCGAAATCTGAATATGAACGTTTAAATTGTTGTAGTTTACCAAATCTTCATGGTAGAAAATCTAAAACCAATATAATAATAATTATGGTAAATTAATTGGCTCAGTGGGTTGTTGCTAAATTTAGAGGGCCGATGCTGAGCTCCGATTCCCCGCAGGAGTAAACCTGTCCAAAAATCCGAGTGATGCTGGCGGCTTATCTATTCTTCTATCGCCAAGGGACTCCCTGGCATATTTATCAAATGCGACAAGCCAGCGGAGCGAGTTCAATCAGTAATGGTGAGGACTCTTAAAAAAAAAAAGGTAAATTAAAGATAGGGAAGTCTCAACTAACTACTTAAATCGCCAAAAAATTGGGAATAATTCACTCCTTAGATAAAATATTTATAAACCTTTCCATGCTCCTGTACCAATCAGAACAACACCGTTATTATCACATCCGATATAGGCACCTTGTTTTGAATATAAGCGACTTCGTCCTATTACTTCAGCGTCAATTGGTGAATAGATATCCGGCGCTCGAGGTTGCTCAAAAACGATTATTTTTCCTAGTTTTCATCCCAACTTACTCATTATCTATGAAAAATGGATCCTAAAAAATTTCATACCTCTTCATCATCGTCAATCACCAATGGGCATTTTATATCCCATCCTCGAACTCCATTGAAACGACTAAAAAGAAGTATTATATGAATAAGTTCTCTTCCTCCTTTTGATTTTTTACGAATAATACCATTTTTATTTTCGTGAAAAAATTTCAGCCTTGTGTTTAATAAAATATTCTTTACCTATCGTGTTTAAAAGGTGGACCAAGTAGATCATTTTTCGGGTTTGATTCACAAATTTGACCTGTACACATACCTAAAATACAGAAATGATCACCTATTAAAATTTTTTTAGCAGTCTTTTTTTTAAAATTTGCATTCTGTAATCTGAACTGTCGATCTTTTAGTTTTTTTGATATAAATAAATTAAAAATTGTTTATAAAATACAAATTAAAAGCTCAAAAACTGATGAAAAATACGAAAAAATTAAATTAATCTGCAATAATTTTAACAAAAAATTAATACATTCTTGAAGATGATATGTGGGATCCACTGGACGACCTTCATTGAAAAGTTGAAAGCGTATATACGGTTCACCAGTACCGCCATGAATGCAACGATGATCATTAGCTCGACCAATCCTCTCACCTTTCATCACTTTTCCGCCAAACGTATTCGGTATAATAGAACTTATTAGAATATGATATCCTTTAAAAACTATGATTTTACATTGAAATTCTTAAATTCTTCACAATCATATAGAAATTTTATTTGAAAAATGACCTTGCCACTGCCCGGTTCCTTCAATTCGAACTCCTTCATCAGCACATTTGTAACCTTCAGTATTTCCATACGGTCTCCAAAAATACATTTCGCCATCAAAGGGCGCAAAAATTTCTGAGTTTGGATCACATCTGATATCAATGCCCTCCAAAAGTTGACCGTCTTGTCTAAAATAATTGCTCAGAAATTTTATAGTTTGATAAAAATAAAGTAAAAGAATGAAAATGTCAATTTTTTTATAAATTAATTAATTAATTAACAAATTACTGATCAGTAATGAAAACCTAGTGATAATATAAGTGATAACATCACAAATATGTTAACTTACCTTTGACTTTTAAATGCACCACAAAAATTACCATCGCATTCAATCAGTTTGTTTCCATCGTTATTCTTGCAAATATTTGGCATACAACCAAGACCGCATACTAAAAAAATTATTGAACAGCAGTGAACGAGTTTTTCCATTTGAATAAAATAGAATATACATTAAAAGTATTAAAATTTATTTATTTATTCATATAAAAACTTATAATTTATAATTTATACAAATTTAATTTAGACTTTTGCTCCAAAAATTCTCAAATTTTATATTTTATAAATTATAAATTAAAAAATAAATGATTTTATGGAATTTTATGGAATGATTTTATGAATAAATGATTATAAATGATAATGATTTTATGGAAAATATTTTCTAATTAAAATTATAAATTAAAATTAAAATTATAAATTATAAATTACAAAAATTAAATAATAATAATTAATAAAAATAATAATTTCCTTACAAAAATCAAATATATATATATATAAAACAAGTGAACTAACTTTTTGTAAAAAAAAGGCCAAAAATAGCAAAATGAACGAGGTTTTCCATTCGAATGTGATAGAACTATCAAATTATCAGTTGTTGTCTAACGATCCTTAAATGTTTGCTTAAAGCACTTTTGAGAAGGTTTAATTAGTTTTTAAGATAAGAAAATCTTAGATATGAACTAATCTATTTTTGTGGAACAAACGAAATAAAACTATCATTGAATGATGGGTTAGTATAATTCGTTAAAAAAAATATAATTTTTAATAATCCTTAAATCCGATAACTTATATTTCTTCTAAAAAAAATTATATGTGGTTCCATTTTTATATTTCTGTCACTTTTGATAAAGATGATATTTTGTTGTAATGCATGGGACCAGATAATCGAGTAGTATGTTCGTTTGGCCTAAATCATAGTGGACAATGACTCAAATTATCGTGTTGAAAGACAAGAGTTCGGTTCCATGTTTCGGTAGCAGAATTGAGCTTCCCGTTAAAAAATCTAGGTGTAGCTACTTACCCGCTTATAGTTCGAGCCTTGTGAATTTTGGGCACAAAATTTTTAACCATTCTAATAACCAACATCTAACCTTAACCACAAATAATACTTCACAACCAAATCAATAAAGCCATCAAAAAGCCATATCGATGCAAATCATCCAAAATTATGATGGATTCGTTAAATTGGACCCTCAAAAAACCCAAAATTTAACTATTTTGCCACTGCAAAGGCGAAATTATTTATCGATATTTTGTGATTAATAAAATTATTCAATAAAATAAGAGGGAAATAACGAAGAAGAAAAAGAAGATTCATTTCTAATTTTCTAAAAAAATTTGCTAAAATATGAAAGCAAAGTCGCTCGCTGCTCGAGGAAAAAACTCAAATTTGAGACACATTTGCGATAGAAAAGACTTCCCATCTCGAAATAATTGCCATTATTTAGGTAAATTAGCTGTGTTCGGAAACTATTTTTTATCAGAATTATTAGTAAAATATTCTTTTGAATTGCGTATTATTTTAAAAATTTCCTTAAAACTTCCCTTAATGTAATAATAATTTCTTTTCTTTATGAAATTTTACAATTTTATTAGTCAAATTTCCGAAAAGATTTTCCATATGTGAATTCTATAATATTTCAGCATTTTTCAAAAATCAACATTCATTTATTTATAAAGTTTGGTTTCTAAAAAGTGTGAGATTTTGGTTTATTAAAATATGGATGCTACCGGAGATTTCACCTATATTTTAAAGTGACTCGCTGTCGAAGAAATATACTGTAATGATTAGTGGTTTTAACGAAGCCGGAAATACTGTTGTCAATCATAAGAGATGAATGGGATAGGGGTGAGGGATGGCCGAGAATATTGATGAAATATTTCATTGAGCCTTATTTATATTATATATTCTATCTATTTATATCTATATTCAACTCCATCAGTGATTTATTCGATGGAATTTAAGGTTTACTTAAGGTTTTGCATTATTTCACTGGAGTGCTTCAGTGGATGGGTTATTCTTAGAGCGCTGATTCTGAGATTCTCTTCCCAATAGAAATAAACTTTTTATTTCAAAATTTGCCCTGTAACTAATTCTCTAGCAAACTTTATCTGAGCGGCCAACTTGGTGGAACTCAAACTTAATCAGATCAGAAATGGCTCTTGAAAAAAAAAAAATTCCAGTGTTTAATTTTTAATTCATTGAAATAAAACAATGAAACAAATACAATTGATATGAGAAATGAGTTTTGGTTTTCAAAAATAGAATATCGTTGAATTATTCTGTTTTAAGAATTTTTAAAAAATGTTTTATTTTTTTATTCATTTTATAATTTTGGAAAACGATGGAAAAACGAATGCTTTCTATTACTATTAGAGATGGCATCAGATCCAGCAAACAAGCGGCTTAGAAACGTTTGATTTTTGTAGCCGGCGAAGCCAGCCTAAGCAGTAATAATGAGTGGTGTTAAAAGAAATTCATAATTTTAAGGAATATCAAAACACGATCGAATATTTGTAAATTGTAATGATGCAAATAGTATAGTTCATAATTCAAACTGCAGCCCGAGGGGTCTTCCAGCACTCATTATTACTATTTAGGCTGGCTAGCCAGATCAAATCACTGGATATCTGTTTGCTTTTTCCAGTTTTTAGATTTATATAGATTCATTTCGCACTCAATAGGTTTACTCGCTCATGAAGTTTTTTATGAAGAAGTAGTTTAGTTTTATCGAATCCTATATATTTGCATTTATCACAGTGGTATGTCGGTCGTTTTGCTTCGATAAACCTGAAATAACTAAAATGAAGAAATTTTTCAAAACTTCAAGGGATTTTGTATAAATCAATTATTCAAGCGATTAAAGTTATATTTAATATGAAAAAGTAAGTTTTCACGGCAAAAGATTTCTGAAATTTTTAAATTTTCAATAGAAATATAAAAATTCACTCCTTATATTCGCAATCGAATGATTGCTTTGTTCCATTAATTTTGCGATCTTTTCTGAAAAATTATAATAATTATCTTCTGAATATTATCTGATAAATCTAACAATACAACAAAAAGGGTGAATTGGTGAATTTTCTTCAATGTACAAAGGGATGGATGACGCTTGCCATTTCCTTATGCTCAATGCGGTAAGAAATTTTTGCCAAAGAATTAGATAAGAGAAAAGTACCCCAATGCCACTCGGATTTATTGATAGAAGCATGATCTGAACTTGGAAATTTAAAACGATATTGTGAGCAATAACTACTCGGCTATATCACAACTCAAATATATCAAATTCAAAATACCATATATCCAATTGCAGCAACTAATTTCCTTCAATTTTATTTAAGTGGCTCAACTTAGAGCCAAGAATTTTTCCATTTTTCGATATTAGATTAGTGAAAAAAAAAACCTCGCGGCAGCTTGCATTGTTTCTACGGAGCAATCCACAAATTTAAATTTTTTTTCACTAAGCGCTTCTGATGATTGATTGATATCAGTTTGCGAAGAGTTCAGTAAGTCAGCAGAACTGGACAATGGTTGAATCTCATTCGAGGATTTCGATAAATACTTGTAGATTGAAAATGGTTGACCACTTTTTGATTCTATTATGCAAATTTTATTCGGTAAAATTGAAGATAATGAAATTGGTAATGCGACCATTTTTCTAAACATCGGTAAAAGTGGAGAACGATTTGCGAAATGCTTTCGCAAATGCGGTGTAAGACGCTCTAATTTTCCAAAACCTTGTTCACAGAAATTACAGTGATAATGTAAACGCCGTTTTAGCTTACAAAATGGTCGTCCACAATATTCAACTTTTATTTGTTCCTAGAATTTTTTCGAGAATCATAATTATGGATATGGAACATATGAAAATTTGATTTTTTCTATGATAAATATGAAAATTTGATTTTTTCTATGATATTCTATAAAATTTTAATATACATTGAAGTTACAATAGTAAATAAAAAATTTTAAGTGACCAAAATTTTAGTGAACTTAATTTAAAATTATTTGGATGGGATAAAAAAGATCAAATAAGCAACGGCGATGTTGGAAATGAAATTGCCTAACCTGAAGTCTTAGATCGAATTGAACCGATTTGTCGCCAATACAATAATCGCTGAAATAAAAAAATCAAAAAATTTATCAGCCTTCTCCTTCTCTGATTTTGTTTATTTTATTTGGACTGAGATAAATAATAAATTTTGATTTTTTCATAATTTTTATAAGCAAATATATTTTGTTGACTTTGCATAAATAAAGACCTACAAAACAGTATTTGTTTGCTTTGAACGCCAAATAATCACAAATTTAATTCAATTAATCCGCAATCATATTGTAATTTATAAAGTTCCATGGTAACAAAAAAAGCTTGGAAAATGCTGTTTTAGAGTTGGATTGAGCAAAGGATACGGTGAATTTTGCGAAAACAGTTTTATTTTGAGCTTTTTAGTTGAAAATATAAATTAATGTGGAAATAAAGCATAGTAACTTTTTTATTGGGTAGAATGGACCGTTATCGTATCTTTGTTTTTCTTGTTCCGACTGGTGAGGGAATTCTTTAACGTGGCACTTTCCAGGAACCTCGTTGGTAAGCTAGAATAGTGATATGATAATAGATGATGGAATGAAATAAAGAAGCTATCTTTTTTTTTTGATGGTGCCCATCCTCACTATTCTGACAGCACTTACCATTTTTTAGCTTGATTAGTACCACTGGATAATAAAATTGTAAGATTATTTCCTTAAAGAATCACTTACAGATGAAACACTAGTGGCTTGCTAGCATCATGCAGATTCTATTTAATTTCATAGGCTTTTTTTTCAAAAGATAGAAATTGGATTTATATATCGGATCTACAAACGAAAATAAAAATTTTATAAAATATAATAAATATAAAAATTTAATTGTTCATCATTATTACATTCCACCTTGCTAGTTTTTATTTCCTTATTTTATAGCAGAATGAAGTAAAATGACTATCAGTGGACTATTATTATTTGTCATTTTGAAATGTCGATGGAAGTTCCAATCCTGGCAGGAATGAACCTGTTTCATGCCATGATTTACCTGTATCGTAATTCTATTAACGAAATTCCAACAAACCAGTCTAACCAGAAAATGGAAAATGGTCTTAGAAAAAAAAATTTAAAAATATTAAAATTTTATTTATCAACCTAAAATCATCATGCAAAATTATCGAATTTATTTAGATTTCGATTCGCCTCAATGATTTTATTGTAAATATTATTAATTATATAAACATTAATGTTTTATGAAAATTTCATATGATTCAATAAGACTAATTAAAATAATTTAATGAATTATATAAATTAAAGTTTCAAATTTCAAAAATAAACCGAAAATTGAGAATAAATTTATGAAAATACAAATACAAATGCAATTTCTTTCTAATAAATAATATTGTAATAAAAATTAAATTTTATAAATTCAACCATAGAATTATTTCAATTACTAAAAATTATATGAGAATTCGTATGTGTAAAGCAAAATGTTATTATCGTTTTATATTATGCTTGGCTCTGTTCTTACTTGGCTTGGCAAAAGGCAAATTTGCTGAATATCCAACTAATTCTAAAAATTCTGCTGCAAATTCACCTACAATTCTATTTTCATCTCTGATAGAATTTTTCAAATTTATTAAAAACCAGCGCAACTAGCATAGCCAAAAATAATGAATAATAACCTATTTATTTATTTATATTTTGTCCACAAATTAAAAATTAATTCGAAAATTCGATAGAATTCTCAGAAAAAAAAGAATTTTTAGAAATTTCTATTCGCTGCTGGAAGCATAAATTCGAATGAAATTTCAAAATAAATTTCTGAATAAAAATTTAGAGGAATTTCAAATATTTTAATGGGAAAATTTAGAAAATTTCAAACTTGTGAGCATGTCGGTGATTGGTGATCGGTAAATATTGGTTCAATAGGAGCAATAAGGCTTAAAGGTGATCGCAAAATTTCCGAATTTATTGGTGAATATTTCACCGAATCGAATGAATCTATTGAATTACAAGCATTGATATCAATATTGTTGTATCTTTTCTGGGAAAAAAAATTAATGAAAAATTTAACAAATTATAACTAAATTATTATCAGTGCTGTCGGCGTTGCTGGTGTCTCATTTGTATTGTATTTTTATCATCAAGTGGCTCTCTGACAAAATTTCATAGCCCAAAAGGGCAGTGGAACAGAGTAAGGAAAATTTTCTAAATAACCAAAAATGATAAGCGTCAAAATTATCTTCTAAAATGATAAAATGATAAATGGAAAGTGAAAAATTATGACTACTAAATTCTTTTTCCGCTTCAATAGCACTCAACTTTTCTTGACAGTATTTTTTTTCATTAGAAAATCTCTTGAGGATAGAATTATAAAAATATATCACTAACACAGCCTGAATTTCATTTCTAACGATAGATTTACTCTTATAAAATAACAGAAATTGCTACTTTAAAAAAAGCTAACCGAAAAGGAGAAATCGTGAAGAGATCGAGGTTTACTACTTTTTCTCTTATTATTTTTATGATTAACAGTTTGCGACGAATATGATTTTGATGTTTCGACAACAAATGATAATTTCTTTTCTTTAAGACGAGCACAAATTTCATCCAACGATGTCTTCATTATCGTTTGATCAAATCGTTTTGTTACCACGACATCAGAGCTAAAGATTTGTTGTTTAGGGCAACGCCATATTCAAAATTTCTTTATACTTTTTATAGTCTTAAATCTTTTATTTGAACCAAAATTTATATAAAAATATTAAAAGCAATAATAATAAATAAATATTTATGCAAGTTGAACAAGTTTAAAATCATTCTTCTAAATTAATACAAGTACCACATTATACAAATTGGAAAAGTCTGGAATAGTTCCATATCAGTTTTTCAAGCCAGTACCACACCACATTACAAGTTGAATAGGTTTGAAATCGTTCTAACCCAGTATTGCATTCGCCGATATTCAGTCGTTTCGATGAGATGTTTAACGAGAACTTCTCAAAAATGCTTCATCATCTATCAAAAAACAACTCAAATTTTGCAAACTCCAAATTTATAATACTAATTTACAAATGTATAAAATTTTTTACTTACCTATTGACTTATTAATCTATCTAAATTTTAAAGCTTCATTTTTTAAGAGCCCTCACCATTAATAATTAGGGTCGCTTGGCTGGTTTATCGCACTAGGCAAATATGCTAGGGGGTCTTTTTGCGGCAGAATTACAAATGAGTCTTCAGCATCAGTCGGATTTCTGGATGGGTTTACTCCTGCGGGGAGTAGAAACTCAGCATTGGCGTTTCGAATTGATCAACAACCCACTAGGCCCCCAAAAATTCATTCCATGCCCCAAAAATTTTGAAGTTTGCCTATAAAATGTTTTTTTTTTTTGATGCAATATTACAAATATTTGTTTTTCTTGCAAATTAAAAATTATCGACTTTTTTCAAACAATAAAATTGATTTTTATTAATATTTTTAATTTTAATTTTTATTAAATTCAATGAAAGATTTACAATTCATCCCACATTTAATAACCGCAATCGTTATATAAATTTTTTCAAATTTTTGATTTTGTGAAAATGATTTTCATCAATTTTTTTTTAACCTTAAATTAATTTAATGATTTCGATTTCAACGATACAACAAACGATGGAAATTCATTTCCGTTTTAAGAAATTAAATTAACAAAATTGAAAAAAATGAGAAAAAAACAAAAAAGACGAAAAAAGATTTAAATTTTCCAGTGGAATTTACGAAAATTTGCAAAAATAATCGAAAATTTTGCATAATTTCCAATTGAAATACGAGAAAATAAGATTTCTTATCTGCTTAGACCAGAAAAAAGGAAATTCTGAACAAATTTGATTGCCTTATATACCATCGATTTAGTGCTAAATTTAATACTATTGAACGGTCAACATTAAATTTATATGGATTTGTCACGCTAAAAAAAATAAAGCTTAATCCATTCCATTTTTCATTCATCTTCTTTTAACAACAAACTTTTCTATTTTGCCCTATTAATCACATAGAGATGATTAAAATACAATTGGATCTTTGGATCTTTTGGTACCATCGGAAATTGGTACTATCATTTTTAAGGACGAATTTTTATTCGCCCATTCTATAGAAACAAAAATTCATCGAAAACGATGATAAGGATAACGAAGATATTGAAGAGAAAAAGAAAAAAAAATGAATTGATGAATTTCACCAAAAATTTTTTAAAATACTAATAATAACTATTAATAAAACTATTATTAAAATAATTATATAAAATAAAATAAAATTAATTATAGAATAATATACTATTAAAATAATTATAACATAATTATTTATTATATAAATAATTATAATATAATTATAAAAATAATAATATTAATTTAAAATACTAATCAATATTTGAATTAAAATTTATTCGGATTAAAGGAAATTTTCGTTAGAAATATGATAAATCGCTATGTAGTGATCGATTTATGATCAACAAATGAGAAAATTGATAAAAATGGATGATATTTTTAGAACAAATGTTGGCGAAACGAAACCAACGATTGTGAACGAAAGAAATAGGACGAAAAGCAATATTAAACAACAAAGAACAAGAACGATATGATAAGTTAGAGATTTTTGCTTCATCTTCCTCGTTTCACAGTTGAAACGCCGTAAATCCTTAAAATTAATCGACGAAAAATGCCATTAACCATTTAAAAATTTTGAACGATTCGTATTCCTCCTCGTATTCATTATAAGAATCGTCGTTACTTGCATTACCGTAATAATTTCCCTTGATTGACTGATTAAGAATAAAGTAAAATAAAGTAGATAAAGAAGATATCTGATAGCAGAATGATATGATAAGTACAAGTGCCTTAAACTCGATTCTTCTTCTCTGATAAGAATAAACGAATTATTAAAAATGGCTATTACTGAGGCATTTATATTTTTAACTTCAAATGGCTCTCTTATGAAGATACTTCATTCATAAATATTTAGAACTTACTAGCAAGAACGGTTAATGGTACCTAAGAATCTTCAAAAAAGCTCAAATCTTCCATTAAATATTGTTTTTTTCATTTTTAGCTAACCAATTTGTTATATTTTTCATAAGAAATAATAAAATTGAGCTTAGCCTCATGGAATATTAACTGGAGGCGGCCTAGTTGAATGTTGACTGAGTCGAATTTATTCCAGTTTCTTGCAATTCCACCTGTATTTATTCATAAGTAATTCTCTAATGAAGGGATCTCATTCAAAGAAAGCAAAGCAAATGAAATGCTGAATGCTATTACAAGAAAAATCCAAAAAAATTTACTAGAATTCATAAAACATTTATTTCAATTATATATATAAAATACAAAAAAGAGAATTAAAAATTAAAAAAACAGATTTTTTAAAATACGACATAAAACATTGAAAACAAAATTAAAACAAACACTGATAATAAAAATAAAATAAAATTTAAAAAATTTATCCTAAAAAAATAAAAATTCAAAAAAAATTATCATAATTTGGTGGGGTGATTTTTTTTAAATATTTAAAAGGCACAAAATAATAAAGGAAACTATGCAACATTACTGCGGTCAGACCCCAAATACAAAATTCCTTTTGTGGATATTGATCATTTGTACGGATTATATCGAAATTCGAAACATTGAATTTCGGTAAGACATATTCAAAGCAACCTGCAATATAAAGCCATAAAATAAATATATTTTTCATAATTTTATGGAAAAAATGAAAAAAAAAAGGGTCACAAATTAACTAAATGAGCTCAGAAATGGTTAAATAAATAAATAAGTAAATAATTAAAATACAATAATTAATAATAATAATAATGATAACAACAACATTAATTATTATAATAATGATAAATATAAATAATGATAATAATAATTAATAATCATGTAAATAAGATCGCCAATGCTGAAATTCTACTCCCCCCGGGAGTAAATAAGTCTTTCTAAAATTTCGATTATGCTGACCAACCCAAGTATATTTCAAAGTGGCCAAGTGATTCCTAGCAAAATATGTCCGACCAGGCAAACCCAGGGAAAGTTCCTAATAAGAAATGATAAGCGATGATAAAAAATAAGCAATATTCTTCAATAAAATTTACCATCCCGATGATATGTATATTGGAATTTTTCACAAAGTTCATCAATTTGAACTGTAAAAATAGTTTGAACTTCATAGCTGAGTTCTCGTTCTCTTAAATTTTCGATATTACCTAATTGACCAACGACGGGGTAAATACGACTTTGTAGTTTCTTATTATAGATTGGTGGCATAGTTCCATAAATTTTAATAGTTCTTGCATCTAAACCAATTTCTTCTTTCGTTTCACGTAAAGCAGCCTTAAATCTTATAGATAAAATTTTCCCTCTTTCAATTTAAAAATTTCATCCTAAAATTTCGATAAAATCGCTTAGATCGATAGTGTTAAATGTGAAATTCGTTATACCTCTAAAGGTAATTCACCGCGCTCGATTTTGCCACCTGGAAAGCATATTTGTCCACCGTAATTTTTTAAAAGAAAAGATCGTTGAGTGAAGAGTATGGAAAAATGTTCGCTATTATCAACTAAAGGTATTAAAACCGCATTATCACGTCCAACCGTTGAATTTTTATAAACGAGATAACGACGTCGATTTATAAGAGAGGAATTTTTTAAGCGTTTCAGAAATTCATCACGAAGTCGTTCAATATAGCGATAGCGATCCGTGCAAAATGTACGTCGTCCATTCGTTAAAATCCTCACAAAAACCATACTATTCATGTTTTAAGCGTAAAATGAATGAATGATCTGAAATAATGAAGAATAACGATTATAAAAATTTCAAATCTATTCGTCAAGCATAACCTTTATCTTCTATCTCGAAGTGCCATTCATTTTTCCAAACGCCTATTGCACGCTGGTTGTGCAATATGGCCGACTAGAATGGAGGATATTGAAAAGTTATCTGCCTTCGGCCACTCGAATACTCGTAAGAGACATTTTCCGAGTGGTTGAAATCTCATATAATTGCATTCCCCTTTGCTCAAATACCATCTGCATTAATACTACGATATGAGAATTTTCATTAGCTAGGACACGTTCACGTATCACGTTCTTCGTGGCCCATCACAAGAGTTGGCACATATTTCTCGCTAAAACCCTATGATGGATAATGTTTAAAGCGATAAGGGTCAATTAAAACCCACTAAAACTGCTATAAACTGCTGCTTTAATTTTGGTGAACTTTTGGTGAACTGGTGAATTTTGGTGACGTATAGGTGAACCAACGATATATGGATTTAGACGATAGAAAAATAAATGGCTTCAAGTATGGTTCGTCAAAGATGGCTTAGGATCGAACAATGTGCAAATGCATTTTAGTTTTTTTTACTGAACAATCAACTAGTTGAAACAAACAAACGTTGAGAACTATAATATAACTAATATAATTTATATAATTTATAAAATATCTAAATTGAAAATTTGTGGTTGATTACGAGCTAATTTCTCGGTTTCACACCATTTTTAAATTATTTTATATCGATTTCATTTTAAATTTTTAATTATTTAAAATGTTCTAACAACAACAAAGTAATAGCAAAGCCTAATCAGTTCACTCGCCTAACATGCGTAGTGAAGCGATTTCGATAAAAATTCGCCAAAATCTCAAATTTCTGGCCACAATTATAATAGCGATAATAGAAATAAAACAAGGCCAACTAAATTTTCAAGCTAATTTCAAGTAAGAACAATCATTAAAAAAATAAATTTATTCAAATAAAAAAAAAGTTTATAAAATCTCTTAAATAAAAATCTCATTTAACTCGTAAATATAACCCTCAAAAAGCATTGAATAATTTCTATAAAAAATAATTTATAGAAATTTAAAAAATAACCAAAAAATAAAAATTAAATCTAATACATATAAAAATATATTTTTATATGCACCAACAAATCAAATGAAATAAAATAAAATGAAAAAATTCTAAAAATTTTCGCAAAAAAAATTTCTATAAAATACACTTAAAAATTTACTGTAGAATATCAAATTATATTAATATTTGGATAGGCAAATTTTTTTCATTTTATCTCTTAAATTAACAAAAAATAAAAAAAATATATCATATGATTATTGAAAAAAATTTATAAAATTTTTAGAAACAATCAAATTTTTGAAGAAAAATAACAAAATTATTAATAATATTATAAAATATAGCAAATTTTTCATTTAAATATTATAAACATAGCGAAAAACGAAAACGAGAAAATTAATATAAGAAAAATGAGAAAAAGCAAGCAAAAGTTAAACGAGAAAACTAAAACCAAAAAATCTAAAAATATAAAATAACAAAAAATCCTTTCTATAATTTGACCATAAATTAAATGCCGCGAAAAACAGTACTGCCGCGATCAAAAATGAACTCACAACAAGAAAGTATAAATATTCATAAAAAAGAAATAATAATTTTAAATTTTTGGTCAACAAAAAAAAAGTGAATTACTGAATAAATGTAAAAAGTAGGTAAGTTAAGCTGAAAAAAAACGAGTAGCCAATTTACATGCAAATATTTCAATAAAAATAAAGCAAAAAAAATGCGATAATTTCCAAAATTACGAATTTTTTTTAGCAAAAGAAAAGAAATTACAGAGAATTTTCAACGCATTCCAGATGAATCCGTAAATATTTCGTCCGATATTTAAAAAAAAACGAAAGTAACAAAAAAGAAATAGGAATTAGAAACAATAAATAAAAAAAAATAAAAGATAGAGATGGATAGATGAACAAAGAATTTGCGATTAATTCGGCGGAATTCCATTGTACGATATTTCGATATATAAACCTTCCGACCAGAAAAAAAATGCCACTATGAAGCAAATAATCAGTGCGATAATACTGAAAATGGAAAAACAAAAAGTGGAACTGAAAATGATCGTTAGTAGTAAGTAAAGCAGGCACAAATATGGTACTTCTTGCAAGTAAGAATTCATATAGTGCATAATATTTCGCAGTGAATTATTGCTACTATTAATATAGTTGACAAAAATTATTAAAAAATAAAGTTGAAAGGGAATGGAGAAATTAGCGGTGACAATTATCGCAATAATAAAAAGATCAATGCAAATGATAGCCACTGGTGCTTTTGCACAAATTGTTGTGTAATAAATTAATACGACTGAAAACATCGAACCTCAATTCGCCAAAAAGTTACTGGAGACCGTACGTCTGCAGCAAAAAATATTAGATTTAAGAAAAAATGTTAAGAGATTTTTTTTTGTGGAAATATCAATAGTGACGGAATTGTTCTAACTTTAGACGACAGCTGAAAGCATATTGCTAAAAAATTAAATATACAATAACCTAAAGGCATCCTTGAAATGGCTTCATCTGTAGCAGAATTCTTAACCTCTTTTATGACATAAACGATTTTCGCAATAGGAGGAAGTCTGAGGGACCTTCTCCGAGTAAACTTTTAGACGCATAAAATAAAATGCAAAGAATGAAAATAACTATTTGACTGACTTCAACTGATGATAAAATTATAAATAATGCTAATGATTAAGGTGATTTGTTACTCATACCCTTACATCTTATAAATTTAGAGAAATATTAAATTTCAGCAAGAGATTTATAACTAATTTAGACAAAAACATACAGTTATAAAGACCTTTTCCTCATTAAAATTTTCGAATTTCCATGGGATCCATGGAATTAAGAACTTCTAAAAGTCAATTTCATATTTGTACCTTCTGTTTTCGAAATTTGAAAATTTTTGAAATGCGAAATAAAATAATTCTTTCATAAAAAGAAAGTAGCCAATGTTTAATTTAATTTCATCGCAAAAAAATATTTGCCCTAATAAATAAAACCAAAATGCTAATAAACTAATTAATTAATTAAAATTAATCTTATCGATATCCTCCTAATTACAATTGATAGATTTTAGGATTATACGAGTTACATTGCATGCAAAGGCTAAAAAGCAACTATTGCATGACAAAAATATCCACCATAACAAAAATAAATTTCGTAAAATATTAGCATAAAAATATCACTAATCTGGAAAAGGGAAACCCTATAGATCACCTTGATAAGTCCAAGCCCGAGCATGGCAGTCGATTAAAGAAAGTTTTTTGAATAGACGTTGAACCATTGCGTTCAGCATCATCATTATCTGGTAAATTCTCACGTTGAAGTCGCATCATCTATATTACATGAGAGAAAATTATTTTCAAAAACAGATTTTTAAGAAATATAAATAAACCAAAATGATAATTTATCGATATAATCCTCCAATATGATAATTACTATGGGCTTGTAATATCGGTCATTGCGATAATGATTTGCAGAGCTTTTTTTCTCGCCTTTTTCTAAAGAATAATAATGAAGCGATAAGCTAACCATATGATACGCATGCGTAGTTATAAGACGCTGTTCCTCTTCTTGCATAATACGACTTCTTTCCAGGGTTTCCTTCATTGTTTCAATCTAAGATAAAATTGTAAGATATTTCTTAGCTTTCTTCAATATCTGCATTAATTACTATTGGGAAAAAGTCTACTGAAATAGTTTAAGCTGGACAAAATTATCTTTAATATCGTTCAGCTCAAATACATTCCATGTTCATTGGTTAATAATACAATGATTCTTTTTTTTCTCTTTTTTATTAATATTATTTGGTATCAAGAAAAACTTTTATTATTCTTTTTTTTAATAGTTCCTTTTGTTCTTTTTGCATAAGCTAATGTTGCTTTTTGCTCGATCTTTGTTAAAATAAATTAACCACTAATTCTACGAAAAATCTTATACATAATAAATTAATATAAATACAAACATTTTGCTTATAAGCATCTCGTTCTTTTCGAATCGAATCGAATTCATGCCTACTTAAAGCTCCACTCTCCACCGCTCGACTTTGTTCTTCTAGATCAACAATAACTCGCCTAGCTTTCTCCATATATCGCTTCAATTTCGATTTTTCGTCTTGCAGTTCTAGCTCTAATGCCTCAATACGGCCTAAAATAACTTTAAAATATGCCTGAAAAATATTACAAAAATTTTTCTTAAGCATACTGAAAGTTGCGTAATAATATGTATGGTAGAACTTGTTAATTCTTTCTTATCTGCTACAGATGATTCTAAATCACGATTCGCTTGATTAAGTTGAGCTTGCAAATGTGCGACGAGTACACCAAGCTTTTCATTATTTTCTTGTTGCTCTGCTCGTTTATTGTCATTAACAAAAGTGGCCGAAGAAAGAATTTCATTAGCTTCATTAAGTCTGAAAACCACATTTGAAAGAAATAAGAACTAAACAAATTTCTAAAAACAGAAATAAGAACTAAACAAATTTTTTATTGAAAAAAAAAGAGAAGAAATCTATATATATTTTGCGAAAAAAGAATAAACCTAGTTTCAATTTCCACATTTTTCAGATAACAAAGACGAAGCTCCGTTTCAAGTTCGATTTTTTGAGCAGTAACAGCCTCAAGTTCCTCTTTCAGCAAATCGATTTTGGTTTTATCGCAAACCAATTGGCGTAAACGATCGTTTTCAATTTCTAATTTCGTGATTCGATCTCTGAATATTAGTAACTTTTTTATACTAAAATAAAAGATATTAATGAAATTCAACTGAATGGAATTTTTATTCGAAATAAGATTGCTCCGAAAATGGAAATTCAAAAATTTTCTCGTTAATTTTAAAAAAAATATTCAAATTAAAAGCACTTCAACATTGACGAGGATTCTATTGCTTCTAGTGTTTCTTCATGGATTGATGGAACGCTCGACATTGCATTAGCTGCTGGAAAAATATAAAATTTTTTCAAAACAGCACTATATGAGCGATGGCAAATGAACTGATTTCTCCATGGGTATTATAAAATAAAATATTAGAAATCCCACCACTGTCAAGAAGCATCTTTTCTTTCATTTCACGATGTTCCACACGTATACTGTCTCTTTCATTTGTAATTTCTGTTACTTTCTCAGACAATCGTTTGCATTCAAACTCGGCCTGTAATGATCGAAAATGAATATCTACTGAATAAGGAATAAATAATAAATATATAACATGGAAATTATGTCTGCATCAGGCAAAATGAGACCTCTAAAAGAGCAAAGCAAAATTTGCTAATATATTCATGATCCAGTGGTTAAAAAGTGTATAAAAAGAAAATAAGAAATACCTTATCACCACGACGAATTTCTTCGCGTAATTTGTTATTTAATTCATCGTTTTCCAGTCGTAACGATTCTATACGAGTTTTCAATACGCCATTTTTCATTTGCTCATCTTCCAACGCAATCACACTTTTCATATAAGTCGCCACCTTTTCTTCCAATACTTTTATTTCTAATTTTTGTGAGCTATATTCCTCTATAAAGTTGCTTCTTGAAAAAAGAAATCCAATATTTCTCATTCACAATAATTCTGAGATATAACAATAACTAACTAATTTTGTTCTTGTAAGATTCAATTTGCGCATTTATTGCTGCAGACTCCTGTGAATGTAAGCGAAATTCTTCCAGTTCATCTTTTAAACGACGATTTTCTTCTTCATATGGTTCCATCTCACGAATCTAAATTCAATAAAAAAAATTTTATGAATAATACGAAATAAGAGTATATCATAAAAAGATTTTTATGCATTATTTTTTTCGCAGACGCAATTTTTAAATGAAATTAAAATTTAATTGCAATAGGAAGTTTACTTTTGTTCTAAGTTCCGTATTTTCTGCAACTATTTGTTCTAACGATTCTTTTAAATGATCTCTTTCTGCTTCCAATCTAAAGAATCTTTTTTTGATGCAAAAAGAGAAGAAAAATTCAACAAAACGAAGTTAAATAATTCAGAGATCAAAATTCTAAAATATTAAGTACATTATTAATTTAAACATAAATTATTATAAATATATTATTGAAATGATACTTATAAAGCGATTCTTGTGTGCTTTCTTTGATCGCTTGTACGGATCTTAAGCGTCGTTTTAATGATTCTGCTTCAGTGCCACTATCAGACAATTCATCAATACGATTTTTTAAATTATCGTTTTCACGAAGCAAAAGTTCATTTTCAGATTTCAATTGACTTATCTGCAACAATAATAATTTTTAACCCATTAGAATATGAAAAGATTTCTAAATTTCAAATTTAATTCTAAATATTCAATTAATTTCAAAGGAAAATAATAAAAAATTACTTTTAGAAACCAATTTACCTGTTCCTGTTGTTGATTATGATCTTCTCGCAGCTGCTCTATAGTTTGCACAAGTGCGTCTGTACCATTAGATGTTGGTGGAGAGCACTGAACCTTACAAAATAAAAAAACAGTTGAGAACTAATTTTTCAATAACATTAAATAAATACAAAAAATCGCCATAAAACAATAGATTTTCACTAACTTCAATTGGTGATATAGTATTTGAGTCATATTCCGAAGTCACAGGCTGAATCAATTTAAATTCTTCAACTAATTTCATAGCCATTTCTACCAATGAATGAGACTGATTCACAAACATTGAGACAAAATCTGGAAAAATATAATGCATATATCGACCATAGTTGAAATATTAAAATTAAAACATGAAGAATCTAATTTAAAAATAAAACGAATATAAATTTAATGAAAAGAAATAAAGAAAGGCAAAAAAATATCCAATTAATTATAATTTAAAATTCATTAAATAAAATTCGATTAACCTCTATTATTTGGACCAAGTAGTGCAGCAGCTAACACTAGTTGAAGAAGTCGATATAAAAGATTATAATCATCATTTTCAACTAAAATTTAATATCCTATCAAATTTAAAAAATTATGAAAGAAGAATTTCATAACTTTATACAAATTGAATAAATAAAACAAATTAAAAGAAACTATAATCGAAAAAAATTAAGAGGAACAAGAAAAAATAAAGAATTAGATTAATTTAAAATGAAAATGAAGCATTTTCTATAGATATAAATAGACATACCCATTTGTGAAATATCAATATTCCACTGATCTTTAAGTTCGATCGAAAGTCGTTCTTTATAAAATTCATCCAAACGTCGATAAACTTTACGTAAATTATTGGCTCTAACACGCCAATTAGCCGTTGGTTCATAAGAAGCTATTTTTTCAAGCCAAGAACTATCGAAAAAAAATGGATCACTGAAAATTTCTTTCTCGAAATTATTTAAAAATTAAAAATTATTTAAAAATAGATTATTCTATATAAAAATTTATCAATTTTTTATAACAGCATGTAACAATAAGGAAAAGAGATAGTCCAGTGGTTTTATAGCATCCAAGTATCAAGGTTCGGATTCCATTTCAAACAGAAATAAACCTATTATTAAAAACCATATGGTGGTAGAAACTATGCTTTTAAGTGACTCTTTTAAAGCGAAAAAGCCAGTCAGCCAGTGGCTAAAGAAGCTAATCGAAAATGGTAAATGGACATATATATTTTTTAACTATTACTGTTCAACATTGTTGAAACACTTCAAATGAAGTAATCAAATCTTAAAATATGAACAAAGACAGGTGGTAAAAATTTTTTGCTTTGTTAAAATGATATTTCAAGATATCAAAATTAATAAAAACTTACATTTTATGAAGAATTTCGGCGATACATCGTCCAATAAAAACTGTTTCTTTGCTGAATTGAATTTCCGTGCTTAATGATGCCAACTGCAAAAAATAATTAGTAATAACATGTAAAAAAGTATTAAAGATAAGATTCTGCCTAAATGTCATTGTATTAAGATAAAATGGAAAGTCTACTTTTATTATGGGAAATGTAAATAGCGTAAATTAATAATGAAATTTCGTATAGATCTATAAAAAAATATTAAAAAAACCTCACCAACTCCATTAAAAGAACCAAAATCAACAGCTGAGACTTAAAGTCAGTGTATGCATAATATGAAAATGAAATAAAATAAAGTAAAGAATTTACCCAAGCAATAAGATCATCAAGCAGTTCTTCCGTCATGATTTTTTTCTTGACAAGAACCAACTGTTCGTTAAATTGCTCGTTTACAGAATAAATTTCCTACTACCACTAAAAAAAAACTATTAGAAGAAAAAGACAAAAAAAGATTGCCTCAAAATTAAGATGACATTTTACCATTTTTGGATGAGATCAAATCGCACAGAAGGTACTTGCGAACTGAGGTACTGATGTATCTAATCCACAGCGGTACTTGCTTAATGAGAAAAGATATGGGAAAGAAAAAATTATAAAAAATTATGGATCAAAAATTTATGATAAGAGAATAATAATGATGATATAATGAAAAAAAAGAGATATTTAACCAGTTTATGACCAAAAGAGGGAGGAAAGAAATTAAAGAGCATAAAGCTAAAAAAGCCAACGGGGGAGAGGCAGCCTCAACAAATAATGCCCGTCTTTCGCAATGAAATGGGTAATATCGTATTTACTGATATGCAGAAAAGAACAAATACCATTGGAGTAAGGCAATGCTATTCATAAAAAGGGTGACAGGGTGAGAGTACGAGCCACCGAGGCTTACTAGATTGCTATTTCTCGGAAGACTTTTGACTCCATTCTGTTAAATAGAACCGTGGTGGTATATAACATTAAAAATATCGTCAAAAAAAGATCGGATCGTTTGAGCTGATTAGCTCAGTTCTTCGTCGTTAGCTGCGAAAGTCAATGAAGAACAGCACCAAAAGCGAGAAGGACCAAACAAAATCTCAGGACCGAGAGCGGGTTTTGGAAGCACGGACGGCCGGCTCAGCAATATACTGATAGTAGAAAAAGAAGTGATTTCGGTTATTTTCAGGAACTGCATTGGATCCGAACCCTCGTCACCTGTGGAGCGAGCCAACACAACAATGGTGCAAGAAGACGAAAAGAAATTAACCGGTTGACACTGGCCGGCTAAACTAAGCTGTTGCAAGACACATAAAGAAAAAAATCAATTTCAGCCAAAAATTCTCTCAGGTTAATAAAGAGTTCACCTTATATTATGAAATTTTTCGGCCAAAAAAATTCATTTCCAAATGAAGCTGCAAAATAGGTTTTGGATTGGAATTGTCGGCCTTGGCGATTGGTATTCAATTTGAGAACTCGTAATTCTTAATTGAGGTGTCTTCAGTTCGTGTGGTTTCTTATATCAGGGATTTGGGTTGTCCAGAGGTGTTCATTTTGGTGACATTTGGTGCAATTTTAATAGTTTCGGGACGTTTTTGTCTCAAACCGACTTTAAGTAATTTTTAAATGCTCCATTCGTAATGCTCATCATTCTTGCTCAGCGATGTGTTCTTTCAAGTTGATTTCGTTTTTTTTTTTCGGTGTTCAAAATGGTCAATAATATGACGACATTCGGTGACGATGTACGTTTCTAGGGCGAAAAAGTAATCGATTTCGTCTATGAAACTTCTCTTTTGTTGGAATTTTATGCTGAATTTTGGTACAATTCTTGGTATCGTCCAGTATATTCGCATTTATTGCTTTTCAATAATCTTATTTTTCGAAATGGTTTTTTTTTTGTTTTGGTGCTAAGATTTATGCCAAAGACGAGGAGCAAGTTTGACGAGTTTTTCGCCGGCACTCTTCGCTTATCTGATCCACGGCGCTTAGTCGCTCTTAGTTGAATCGCTCTTTCGTACTAGCAAATTAAAAAGCATTTGTGCACCACAAATAGACGATTTATTGTTTTCGATTTAAAATACAGATTTTTTTTTGATATTTCCATTGCTTATGCCTTTTTATAAATTTTATTCCTTTCTTTTAGTTAATTATTGAAATTATTCGCGATGAGTGAACGAAATGCTGTAATTTCAAATGGTATTTCAGTCGTCTTAAATGAAGATCCAAATGCACCATTGGTGCTATTATTTGGTTGGGCTGGTTGTGTTGATCGTTATTTAGCTAAATATTCCGAAATTTATGAAAAGCAACGGTTTATTTTCAATTTTTTTCAAAATTTTTTTTTCATTCTAATTATGCGAATTTAGGATAATTTTAAATTAAATAATAACACTGGAATTAAATAAGAAATAATTTAATTTTAAATTGTCTACTAATTTTAATTACCAAGTTTAACTACCAATATTTTAGTCGAAATTCTATGAAAATTAGAAATTGGAATTGTTTGTGGTTCAATTTTCATATGAATTTTTCCTATATTTATTCATTATATTTGTTATTTTCATTATATTTATTTTTTTTATTATTAAATATAATTATTATTTCCTTTTGCAGGTAGGCAACACTATGTTCATTTGTTCTGAATTTTTAAGTTTCCATTAATTGAATTAATTTAATAAACTTATTATTTATTATTATTTATTTAAAGCTATTCAATTGTTCGATTTACCGCCGATGTTCGAAAAATTCGATCATTTGCATCATATCGCGATTTCGCATTGGAAATATACGAAAAAGTTGTTGAACGATCAACAACATCCGTAATAATTTGTCATCTTTTTAGTATGAATGGCTGTTTAGTTTTTTGTGCTTTATGGGATCTTATCGACACTGTTGTTGATAATGATTTTATCAAATCCAAATTCAGAGGCATCATTTTCGACAGGTTTATACCAATTTTTTGTTTCATTATTTTTTCTTCTTCTAATGGCTTTTATTATTAGAGGTTAGATTGATTCCGCTGGTTACAACGTTTGCAAGCTGCTTGCTTCGATGTCATTTCTAAGAGTAATGGAAGTCGTTCCTTTTTTCAACCATCGCTGGGCCACATTCACGTTCAAAATCTTTTCTGACTGTATCAGTTCAGGTCTTGACTGGCCCTCCTTTTGAAGCCATCCATAGGATTTAACAAGTAACGAAATATGTGTCAACTCCTGTGGTGGGCGACGAAGAGCGTAAGCTAAATAGCGAAGGATGACGTTCTATGACTATATTTTTAATGCTGTGATATGTGAAAGAAGATAGATGCAATAGATGCAATCGTGTGATTTTATCCTCTCGGCGAACCCATAAAATATATCATAGATATGACTGATCAAAGGTTGATAAATATTTAATATTCTTCATTCTCATCGGTAATGCCTCACAGCGATATAATAAGATCGAACGAAATGGAGCTATATGGACGCAGATTTTCCTGTTTTTGCGATGGTTTCATAAAGATTTCGTCAACCGAAAGAACATTTGTAGTTACCGTAATTTTCCGGATCGCCTTTTGCTTGGCCATTCAGTATGGCCATTAGAAAGAATCCAAGATATTTAAAATCGGGCTGGGATAGGATGGCTTAGTGGGTTGTTGCTCAATTTGGATCACCGATACTAAGGTTCTATTCCCCGCAGGAATAAACCTGTCCAAAAATCCGGATGATGCTGGCAACTCACTTATATGTTTATCACCAAGAGATTCTCTATCATATTTGTCCAATGCAACAAGCCAGCGGAGGAAATTTAACCAGTAATGGTAAAAAATTTATCGGATACTTTCTCAGTGAATTATTTATATAAAAGAGGCTTTTATCAGCTCAGCTTCTGGTACATATGACGAAAAGAGTTTCGTTTTATTTACATGATTCCAACTATCAGACGGTTTAGCAAATAACGAAATATGTGTCAACTCTTGTGGTGTACGACAGAGAACATACCCTGACCAGCGAAGGTGGCGCTCTGTGATAAGATTATTTATGCAAGTGATATTTGAACGAAGGTGGATGCGATCATGGGATATCTTATCCGCTCGATGGATTCGTAATATGTACCTTAGACAAGGCACTTCTTGATTGCCGACAAGCAGTTCCATTATCCAATCTGTCGCATAGTTGAATATTGTAGGGGAAAGAACGCAACGACACCAGTTCTTATTTCCAAAGAGTCTATCCTCCTTATACGCAAATATGCCGAGATACTCTGGTAAAACTTTGAGTCAAATAATTTTCGCTGTCGTATTTCATCACCCTCTAAATCGCCATTTAATCAGTTGAACGAATGCGACAAAATCGAAACAAATTACACTGGATTGCCGATATTTGTAGTGATGTTTCAATGACCGAATATCTGAATCCAGTTCGATTAGGGCTGTCTCATGATAAGTTTATGCAGTGGCTGAAACGTAAATTTTCACGGAGATATCTAGTAGGGTAATTTCTTGTCACAGTATGTCCTGTCATCTTTCTTGAGAACTAGGGGTAGAATTGTTTTGCTCTAGTCATCTGGTATTGCAGAAAATTCATTTTTTTGAAGATTTGTTATGATGACGATGGATAACAGTCCCCGAAGTCCATCTTGAAATTATATCCGGGACAGCAATTAGTGTGGTTGAATTTCAGGATTCCTTCCACTTTATAACGCGATCCTTAATCGCCTTAACGGGTTCTCCATTCCTATCCTGTATCATTTCATTGACCGTTCCCCGAGTTATAGTTACTTTATTAAGAAAGTGGAATAGTTTTCTAATGTCGCCTTATTGCGCAGCCATCTCCATTTTCAAGACCATATTCGTTCCAAGAACGAATGTTTTTTCAATGCATCCCATAGGTAGATCTTCTTACTCTGGACAGTTGGACAATTTACCCTTCTTTCTATACCCAGCTAGGGCATTTCCTACTACCGTGAAAGTGGGTGACTTTGGTATATATTTATGCTGAGATCATTTATCTTTATTCATATCATATGTTTCTCGTTAATTTAAATTTAAAATTTAAAATATAGTCTAAATTTAAAATATATTTAGCTTTATTCTAATTTTAATTGTTATTTTAGTTCACCCGCGAATGTAAACGCTTGGCAGACAGCTACCGCATTTTCAATAGTTCATATGCCACCCTCAAAGTATGGACGTTCCTTTCGAGAAATTTATAGAATTTTCTTAGCAAGTTATTTTTCGATTTATCGTGCAATACTGTGGCTGCGCTCACAATGGGAAAGTAATGTATACGAACATAATATTGCATATTATCGCTTATTGGCTATTAGTGATTTGCCAAAAAATCAACTTTTCATCTTCAGTTCAATCGATGGGATTTGTTCAGCTAATAGTATAGCTGAATTTGCCAGAATTCAAGAAGAAAGAGGTGCACAAATTTGTAAAATTATCTTTTCGGATACACCTCATTGTCAGCATTTAAGATTTCATCCTGATGAATATGAACATGCTTGCTTAAATTTCATTAAATCCATCGTTCAAGCTAATTAATAATTTATTTCGAAGAAATTTTTATGATCTCTGCTATGATCGATTAAAAATTTGTAAATTTCACTTCTGTTTCTTTCTTTTTATTATTTGTAAGGTGTTTTTTTTTTAAAGACGAAAATTAGAATTTTTTATTTTTGATCTCGAGAACTTGTTAGGTATTCCAATATTTTTATCTTTATTTCGGCAAATTATTTTGCAGTAATTTATTTTTCACATTTCTTCTGGCTTGTCTTTATGCTAATAGTGGTGAATGAACGGGTCTGGTCGAATAAATATTTTTATTCTCTCTCAATAACGCCAAATGATATCGCTTCTCTTTACATTTTTTTTCAATCATTTTATATTTTCCTAAAGCATTTTTATATTTTTTATAAAATCCATTAAATGTCAGTTTCCTTTAATATATAAATCGAAATATTCTAATAAAACCTTAGTTTTTTAAATATTGTTGAATAATAATTTTTCGATTGAATAAATAAATAAATATTCGATAATATAATTTTGAAAAATTGCTAAAATTTATAAAAAATTATTAGAATTTGATCCATTTTATTTTAAATATTATATTTTAAATATTATATTTTATATTTTAAATATTAAATATAATATTTTTTTGTAAAATATTCACCTTTAGTTTATATTTATTTGGAATTTTTTGTTAAAGTTTTCATTGTTAAAGTTTCATTTTTTCATTTTTTACATAAGAATCTTTCTTTATATTTTATAAAATTGCTACAGTTACTTTACTTTTATTTACTTTTACTTACTTTTTACTTTTACTTTTGACTTTTTGAAATCTTTTTGTTATTTTTTATTTTATTAATTTTCAAATGGTTGGCATTATTGCTGGTTTGGTTGATTACAACGCTGATTTTTTTTGTTTTATATTTCTTATTTTTATTAATTTCTAATTAAAATTCTCTTAGTTTGCTTGCCTACGGAAAGAAATTTGATGAATTCTTTCGAAACAATGGAAAGGAATTCGGAAATCGTTCGGAAATTTCTTAATTTTTTAATTATTGTTCAAACGCATTTTTTTTTTAAATTTTTTTTTCCCATTATCTTTTTATCATTGTAGCTTATTATTTGATTAGCTTGAAATAATTGCTTTTTTGCTTTTTTTTGCGGAAATGAAAGAATTAAAATCAAAAATGAAAACGAATTTACGAATTTTGAACTGAGGTGAATGGTGAGAGGTGCGGAATTCGTTGAGGTGTCCTCCTGTAAATATTTTATATAGGTGAAATATTTCATATAAATTTTAGCTTATCATTGTTAAATAATACAATTTGTTAGTACTACTTTTACTACTTTTATAACCTATAAAGATGGTACCAAGGAATTTGTAAATTTTTGTTGATTTATTGCCCAATTTCTTAAGAAGGATTTTTTAATATTTATGGTTATTAAGATATAAAAAATTATCGTTTATCATTATCATTATCAAAACTATTATTTTAGATTTTTAGTATTCATTGTTCTTCGCATTCACTTTGAGTCAAGCATTGTTAGTTTTTTTTTTTTTTCCATGAAAAAATTGAAAAAAAGAATGATTGTTAGGTGATGATAATTCTGAATTTGTCGGGTCATCAATGATCAAATCAATCAATCACTTAGCCAACCAGTTCACCTAATGATGAACATCCTTCATTAATTTTAGTTTAATTTAATCTATAGATATATTTTAAAGAATTTCCTTATTTAAAGTTTTGTTTAACTTATCAAATGTTTATCTTATCAATGTTATCAATGATTTATGCTGATTTTTAATAATAAAATGTTTTATTTCGTTTTTTTTTTCATTTTAAGAAATATATAATTGCGCAAATTTTGGATGAAAATTGTGTAATTTTTGGTAAGTCGGCTCAAAACTTGATGCAGAATTGCTCGTCGCTATCGGTCGTCATCATCGCCATCATCACTATCATCGTCATTATCATCATTATTATCATCATCATCGCCATCAGCCATCAACATGATCATCGTCATTATCATTAACTGTCGGCTATCTATAGGCGATTCGTTGAATTTTTCTCGTTTCTATCGTTTAATTATTTAATTGCTCATAATATTTATTATTTATTTATTTGTCTACATATTCAAATTAAATAAATCGATCCCAATAATATATTTAGGAAAATAAAATTATAAATTTTAGAAATTATAAATTTTAGTTTATCACCATTTTTAAAAAATTTAATCCAGTTTTCGCTGAAGATTTAATTCCTTTTTCTGATATAATTTTCCAGAGAATTAAGGGATTTGTGGGGATTTTTTTTTCGAAAAAAAGGAGATTTATTCGGTGGTAAAATTTCAAATTGTGTAAATATTTTTTTTTATTATTTCTTCCTCGTCTAGCAGTTCGCGTTTGTTGTTGGTTTGGCTCGAGCTAATTGGCGAACGATGTTTCGAATTTTTCGATTTGCCTCTTCCTGAAATTAGCTTAAAGAATAAATTCGTCTAGGCGTCCCCATACTTTTGCTTGGCCAACTATAATCAAACTATACTTTATTAGATTAATTTGCTTTCTTTGTTTCGTTCTTTTTTGATTTTTAATTTTATTGGAAATTATTTAATTATTGTTTACACAAAATTCCAAAATCCACTACACTCGTTATTTTTTTTTATTTAAATTGCCATTATATTTTGATTTATAAAATGATTTATTTGCTAATTTATAGAAATTTTTATAAATTTAAATAATTTATATAATTTATATATATTTAAATAATCTATATAATTTATATAAATTTATATAAATTTAAATAAAATACGAAAAATTTAATTGTTTTATTATTTATAGATTCAGCAAAATTTTTTAATAAATATTAATTTATTTATTTATAAATTATTTATAAATTTATTTTAAGTGAAATAAATCAAATTATTTTAATATTAAATTCAATTAAGCAAGCAAATTAAATTGTTGTAAAATTATTAAATGGTGAATCGTAAAAATAAAAATAATTTTAATAAAAAAAATAGTTTTAATTAAAATAAAGTGAATTATTTTATGAAATGAATTTAAGGTAAGAATTTCATTTTACAAATGCAACAACTGTTGAGCAATCAACACTAAGCAGCAGCAAAAGCTGTAGCAGAGGCAGTAACTGTAGTAGCGGCAGTAGATAGCTGATGCGGCAACAGTAGCTGTCTAGATTTATCAGCGACAGTAGCAGCGGCAAAGTGGCTGTAGCAGCGGGTAGAGTAGCTGTAGCATTGACAGTGGCTGCAGCTATTAGACCACAGTGCTCTAGTTTGCTATTAATTATTTTTATTTATATTTGGTTCGGCGAGTGGTTTCGTTCTTTTAAACAAATTTCGTTGCAACCAAATGTATTTTTAGTTTTCGAAATGAAGGAAATGAAACGGTCCTATTTTATTTATTTACAAAATTAACTTCCAATATGGACCCGTAAATGACCTGAGGGATAAAAAAATTTGACCTCTGACCTCAGAAATGAAGAAATTTTCAGTGGCATCAACTAGAACGACTAACATTCTGTTATTAATGCATCTTCTCTCTTAATTAGATGAAAATATTCCACTTATCATTCCTTATCAGTTATGATAATTTAATTAAAGGGAACAGGGAACAGTGATAAGAATTCGTTTCAAATAATGTTGAAGAGAGAAACGGGTTAAGATTGAGAAGGCAAGATAGTATTGTTTATATGAGATCGCTAAAGATTCAAAGGAAAAAAGAGTAAGAGAGAGAGATAGTGATGATTCATCGCGATTGATTCAGCGTTTGTTGCTGATTCACCCATGCGCTTTTCTATTCTCGGTTATTGTTCGTGTTCGCAAAATTTTCGCGGTAGATAGATGCCGCATTTATTATTTTGTAAAGTAATTCGTTGACCTTTTAACCTTTTGACCTTTTACTCCTTAAAATATTATTATTCTGTTTTAGTACGAAAAAAAACACAGGAATTATCATTAAAAATATGTGTTTCAGATTAACAGATTTTCCCACGCTTAACGATATATTTTTGGAATTTTCCCACGCCCCCTTAACCTTTGACCCTTTTCATGAAATTCTCAATTTTATCGCTTTAATATTTTTAATAATCTTTTATACATTTTATTTTATTGTCGTTATTGATTATTTGAAATTAGGCGGAGAAAAAAATTGCAAAATTGCAAAACTGAATAGAAATTAATACTATGGAACTACTCGAAGAATATTAATCATTGGATAATTTCGTTTTGCAGCATTATTTGAAAATTTTTTTTCCTTTTTTTGAAGGTCTTTATAACGATTGAACTGAAGAAGGAATAAAAAAAAAAAGAAAAAAATTAAGGAGATTAGTTGATGTCGACTGAAATCAACTTAGCAAGTACCGTTATAATACCAACAACAACAATAACAGAAACAGTAACAATCACAGCATGTTTGTCTACGACCACTGTTACTAATTCGACTACGTCAGTACCAGCAACATCACCAGCACCACCATCGACGACAACAACAACAACTACAACTACAACGAATTCAACTAATAGCAATAACAATAATATTAATATTAATAATAATAATAATATTAATAATAATAATAATAATATTAATAATAATAATAATAGCAGTTCATTAAAACAACTCAAGAATAGCCTTTATCTTGATTTATCCTCAACAAATTCATCGTTGAAAAAACAAAATAAAATCGACAATAATGATTTGTTGAATTTTATAAAATCGTCACCGAATTTCGAGAAAATCTTTTCACAAGGTTTGTTTCGTTTTTTTTTTTTCTCCTTCTTTTTCTTCGGTACATTTGTACTCGTTCGCTATCGATAAAACCCTCCTCTTCTTAATCATCGCACATAGAATTTTTTTTTTTCTAATATTTTCTTATAAATTAATTGGAGAATGAATAGTGTTTCGATTTTCGATGATATTTTGTAATTTTTTTTTCTTTTCATTTTTTATTTTTTATTCATTTTTTAAATAAAATGGTCGGAAATTCAATGAAAAATTAATTAAATTTTATTTGTTTTCATTTTTTTAATTTTTTAAAATTTCGAAGCTTTTTTATTTTCTATTAATTAAATTTATTAATTAAATTTTAATTAATAAAAAATTTTAGTTATATTCTAAATTTTAATTAATATTAATTTAATTAATTATTATAATTAATTAATAATTTAATTAATAATTAAATGTAATAATTTATAAATTTAGTTTAAAGTTTTGATCTTTTAAAATTTTAAAATGAAAATGAAAATTTTCGAGTTATTATTTTATACAAATTATTAAAAAAAATTATTAAAAAATTTACCATATGATTATTTTCAATATTTAAGAAATAATGCTAAATTTATATTTTAATATTTTTTATTCATAAAACAAAAAGTCGATGCTCATCGTTATTTGGTGTATTTTTTTTAGCAGCGTCAGCAACACCGACACCAACACCAACAAAATTATTGTATCCGACTGAAGTGTCATTGGCACAAAGGCAATATGCCCAAGGATTTATTGGTATCTATTGCGATATATTTCATTTCACTAAATTTAAAAAATTCTAATGAATAGTCAAAAAAGCCAGAGGTGCAGTTGTAAATTGTTAGTATACACCATCTTTATTTGGCTTTTAGTACGGTTAGAATTTTTTCCAGCGATAGTTTTTGGAGAGATGGAGGTAGAGATGGTTTGCCAACTCCACGTGGGTTATTTGTTAGCTATAGCCGAAGTACCCTTACCTCGTGTCATTCACAATTTCTAGTTTGGCTTTGGTTACCAAATGGTCATTTTGCAATAGAGGTAATGGCATCAGCTTTTGAGTCTCATTTTTAATTGTAGGTTTTTTCTCTTCGACCACCGTTTGAGAGTCTAAGCTATGGTGGCTTAAAGTCTTACTCGGCCATAGTCCTTTTAATTATTATTCTTTCTTAGAAACCGTATTTCATGCAGTAAAATTTTAGATGCATTAACACAAGTACAACAATTAAACGGTTTTGTACCGACACCGACTTTATTAAATTCACCTAGTTTCCTTGCTCCTCTTCTACAGTCATCAACATCGTCTGATTCGACCGTTTCAGATGTTGCGAAATCCATTTCAAGTCCAGTTCTCACCTCGCCTACTAAGTAGGTTTTTTGTTATTTTTTAAAATTGTTTTTACTTATTAAACTTATTTCCAAAGTACAATGCATATAAAAAATTTGAGACTCATCGCTAGGTAAAGTAAAAGCGTTGGTGGTACTTAAGTAGTATTTATTTGAGATTGCCTAGTTGTAGACATGAATTGGACGAAGATTTATGGTACGAAGACCTGAAAATTTCTGGTCTAGTCTCTCTATAGTTTCTCTACATTGATAATTAGTAGTACGGTTAGAAATTTTTTCCATGAAGTTATATGGTGAAAGAAATACTTGTGGGTTACCAACGAATCCGCCTACTAGACTTTCAGTGACAATTTTTGCTTCCCTTTCACTCAGTAGACTTATGGATGTACAGGACAGGGTGGGATGCGCCCTAATCAAGTTGGATTCAGACAGGGCGTGGTTGACCAGTTATTCATGTTAAGGAAGATGTTGGAACATCGCTTCAAATATTTGCAATCCACCATCAAGAGTTTCATCGACCCTTGCGGCTCTTCGATTCAGCTGATAGAGCGGTGCTTTGGAAGGTTTGAAATGCAATGATGTTCCAGAGAAGACCATTCGACTAAACTGTAAGCGCACATATATCGAAACAGGGACAATTACCGAATAATTAGCCTACAGTATATATGGGGAATTGACAGACTCCTTCGAAATAAAGAACTGTCCGTCAAGGCTGTGTCCTTTCCCCTACAATATTTAACTATGCCATAGACTGGATAATGGAACTGATTGTCGGTGCTTGCGCTTAAGAGGTATACAGTTCATTGCAGGTTGAGGAAATACCCGATTTTAAATATCAAGACTTGCTTACTGTAGACGATGGCATCAGATCGCACGGTTTGGAATTGTCTTAACCTTCTAGCCAGTGGAACTAGCCTAACTAGTAATGGTGAGAGCTGTTAGAAGAAGGGAGGTCACCAACGTTAAATAAACTTTTAAATAAAAATTTTTTATGATTATTTATGCTTGCGACAACAAACTCGCAATTAAATCTTTTAATGATAATCAATAAAATAGTAATAAATCTACTCGGTTATCGTGTCCACAATTTCTCCCTTTTTATAAATTTATGAAAATAATATTTTTGTATAAAATTTTATAAATGGAATTGGATTGGCCTTTTCATCATTTTTCTCCTCGTTTTTTTTTTTCGTGTGAATTTTTGTTCCTATCGGAAGACAATGAAAATATTTGTGTGCATGTATGTATGTGTGCGTATATGTGTACGATTCGTACACATATCACCAACCATCCATCCCATTGGTAATTGTGGTTTGTTAGTTGGTCGGTTGATTTATGTTTGCATTTGAACCGTTCGTTCGTCGTGCTATTCTATTGTTGAACAATTTTTTTTTTTCTCTCACCTTTTGGCCATTCTTATTTCTCCATGATTCGTTGCTCTTTTCGATTTAAATTTGTATTTGAAATCCATTATCATAGCACAAATGATAATATTTAAATGATAAATGATAATGACAATATTTTTTTCTTATCAATTAAAATTATTGATATCAGTTAAATTATTTAAAATTATTAAATTTTATTTAAGGATTGAAAATGATATCAATTTTAAAATAATATTAATAATAATAGGAATTATTAAATTTATTATTATTTAATTTATTAAAGATATTGAAATGTTAATTTTAAAAAAGAATTCTTATTTTTTTATAGAGAATCATTCTCGGTTATAATGCAAGCAGCAATGAATGGTATGGGAACACTTGGTGGTTATGGTTTTCCTCAATTAGCACCTAATCTCACCTATGCAACACCACATTCCGTTGTTGCGCATTCACCAACAACATTACCATCAACAAGCGCATTATCAAATAATAATATAAATAGTGGAAGTGGTCGAAATGAAATCGTTGTGCCAAATACAACCGGTATAAATCTTGGTGTCGGTTCCAGTGGTACCATTATAGATGAAATTAAAGAGATGTCTTATGAATTATATGCAGCAACAACCGAAAGCAATAATGACGTTGATACGAACTCATCGATACGATCGAATGGTAGTCCACGAAGTCAGGAAGAGATGCTCTCGTCATTCCCTAGGTTATCTCATTTTTTTCCACCTATTTAATGTGGTGGACTAAACTGACTATTGTAATAACTGATAATTTCTAGGAAATAGAAGTGAATGCGACAGATAGACGAGTTCCTCCGAAAATTCTAATTACATTTTTCAGTAAAAAATATATTCCCGTTTTAGGAGACACATTTGGAGATTGGAATTTTTATGATGTAAATTTAGTAGTGCCTTCAGTCCTGCTCGGTCCATCTCATCTTTTCACTCTTTGGGTTGGAACTGTTTTTTATTTAACCAGTTTCGGCCTTTTCTCCATCTCAGCAATATTTCAGCCCTCTATTACATTTACTCGAAACTCGAAATACTCGAAACTTATCATCAATTCTATATTCCAAAAATTTATTTTTTTGGTCCTAAAATTGACCGTGATTTTAACCTCATTTTTATATTTTTTACTCTTATTTTTTCTCAATTGAAGAAATTTAATAATAGAGATAAAAAATAGTGATTAAATAAATGCAAACAATATAATTTTTCTTTAGTGTTTATTTCAAAGAGCAAGATTTTTCCCATTTTAAGCTCAAATTTTTTTAGCGTTCTTTGCAAAATTTATTTTTGGTTTATTTTTTTACAGAAATTATAAAGTTTCTTAATATTTTTTTAATATGTATTTTTTACATGCAATTAAAATTTTGCAAAGTTTAAATTTAAATTTAAATTTTGCAAACTTTTTTGATGATAAAAACTACGTTTAAAGTTAAAGTTATTAGTTAATAGTTAAATTTGGTAATAAAAAAAATTATTTGCACTTATTATTGGGTTCACTTTATTGACTGTTGGTACTTGTGAATTAATCACTGGGCAGAGAAATACAGGTGGATCCGTTGAATTATTCGAATTTCATAATAACTTTATTCTTAAGTTTGAGTTTGTAAAAGGTTGACACGCATAGCGATAATTCTGGCGACAAACACTCGTCTCTCGCCTATCGTTTTGTCGTATTTGATGATAAAAAGGTCGAAATTAGTTTGGAAAACTTTTTTTTTTAAAAAATAGCAAATTTTATCCATAAATAAAATTGATGTTTATTTAAGTGATTCATTTGATGTGATCGATCAGGAAAGAAAAAAATTGGAAAGGAAAAGGGCACGAAATCGTATGGCTGCAACAAAATGTCGTCAAAGGAAGCTGCAAAAGATTTCAGAACTCGAGAAACAGGTTTGTCGCTTATTTTATCACCACGGTACTTCGTTTGTATTGATGAGATCGATTCAGTTTTTCTATAATATTCTATAATATTTTTGCATTAAAATTTTCCTATTATTATTGTTATTATCATTATTTTTAACATATTGTATTCTTACAATTATTATCATTATCATTATGCTAAAAAAAAATAATTGTTCGAAATTACAGTTTTTTTTAAATAATTATTATAAATACTTGTGAATTTCCATGACTAATCGTTCAGCTCCTTTTTCCAAATCCTTCTTCAATCATTGGTACCGTTATTTTAATCGCATGCACCATTTCTGATTTGGCTGGCTCCACTACTTATTAGACGTGAAGCTCTTATTGAGATTATTGAGTCACCTTAGGAATAAAAATAGGCAAATGTATCCTCAGCACCACCAGAATTTCGCTTTTAATTCGTTTCCTTTGAGTAACAAAAAATCAAATTCATGGCAATTGCATCTTATATGTTATAATTTTTATTTGTAGGTATGTGAAGAAAAGTCGACAGGTAATAGACTTTCGCATGAATTAAAACTTCTTGAAGCATCAGTCGCTCAACTTCGACAAACACTTCACGAACACCGTACACGTGGTTGTGTGATTTCTACAAAATAATTATGATCTCAGAATTTCTTTTTTTTTTTGTAAAATATTTTGATGAATTAATTCCATAAGCCATCTTGCCTTTTTTTCTTTCTTGAACTGTTTATAATATTGTTTCAGTGGATTTATAGATTTTTTGAAAAAAGGTTGGATTAGTGCCTTTAATGTTTCGAACAAATTGTTGGTAAAATCAGTACCAAAAGTTTCAGCAAAGTTTTTTAATACTGCCACTTGGCAGGTGGAGGATGATAGAATCAACTGGTATTACATGAGTCAAGCATCATGGTTTCGATTGTCACTCTACGATATTAATAAATTTACCATTGAAAGCGAAATCTGGATGGCTGTGCCCGGTGCATCTATTTGCACAAATAGATGGCTGTCTAGACCAGCAATTAAGTGCTTTTCGAAAAAATATAGTTGCGTATTGATGTTCGCAGTTCCATTTCTCATAATGGGCATTATGTGTCTTTCCATATTTTTTTTAGACTACAGGCTTGGCTTTATAGGCTTGAAAGAAGGAAAATTCTTCTGACCATTGCTGGTTAGGTTAACTCAGCTGGCTAAAAGGGACGTTTCCAAGTTGTTCGATATTCGATGCCATTCTCTTTTCCATTATCTAAGTTCATGTATCGTTGATCTTCCAATATTTTCAAAATCTTCCCTGATATATCAGTCCAGGCCTAACTTGCTTAATTGGCCTAACTTGCTTTTGATATGACCCAACACATAGCTAGTATGTGTCAGCTGCTGTGGTAGACGACCATAAGGAATGTGCTCTAACCAGCGAAGGCGACTTTCTCTGATGGTACTGCCAATGCAAGTGGTATTTGAACGAAAGTGAATCATGTGAGATTTTGTTCGCTCGACGGATTGGTAAAATGGATCTTAGTCATGAATGGTCGAAGGCATATAACTTCTTAATATCCTCTCATTGGCAATGTGTCATATAGCAAGATTGAGCGATTTGCAGTTATATAGACGCGGGCTTTCGTCTATACTGCGATTTCACGACAACTCTACAAAAGTTTCGTCAACCAGAATAACACATTCTTAGCTACCATTATCCAGGTTATAATTTCGTTTTTCGCCTGGTCGTTTGTGATTAGAGTGGATGTTTAAAATCTGAAATTTCCTCAGCCGGTGATAAATTGGAGAAGGGAAAATTATATATATTATCAAATGGACTAATGGATCATATTGGTTTAGCTCATTTGTTTGCGGTAGTTTGAGTATTTTGCAGTACTTGGCTAAAATTTATGTAGACTTGTAAAAATATGTGATAATTGTTTTTCGGTTTTATTTATGAAATTTAACCAAATCATGATAGTTGGTTTCATATTTTGAGCCATTTAATTATGTTATTCATTATTCCTCAATTTAAAAGGTTTGATAATTGATAATAGATCTATGTATCATTCTTAGTTTTTATTAGCTAAATGAACTAAATGATAAGAACCGAATTGATTAATTAGCGCATGTTCGATTTAATTTAACTTGATAATCTGAAATCGCCTAAAAGGCTTAAAAATGTAATATATATTATCTAAGATAAGATTTTCTGATGTGATTATCATTTTTCTCTTATTTTGCTTAATAGTGATTGTTTGTAGATGCCTTGTCGTTTTTATTATTGTATTTGGTACTTATGTTGTATAAAAGCGACAGAATTTCCTAGGAGTATGTTGGACATTTCGACTAGGGTCAAGGTAACTAGGTGAATTTGGCTTTTGTCGTTCGTCTTATTAAAAACGGTTCTATGGACCCATTTCTGTCTTTCAGGTGGACTCGTTCTAATATACAATGTGCGTCCAGCCAAATCAGAAATGATTAGTGCTGTTTGTTTGATGAAGGAAATGAAGTTTCTAGTTTTCGCGTTTACTTTACGGTTATAGTAGAAAAAATTTAGGAAATAATTGGTTGATTTTTATTGCTTTCGTACATTATTTTTAGATTGCATTGTAATCAGTGGCAAATATTTTTTTTTTGTTGATTTTATCGCGTTTATCGGAGGTATCGTAAATATTTCTACTTCATTCGGTTACCTATATTTTTTCTATTTTGGTTGTGATTTGATAAAAAAGAAAATTTTAATGTTTATCGTATTCCCTTTGTCCTTTAAACTACATAATAAATAACAAAGAAAAGAGGAGGACGGAATGGCGCAATGCGTTTGTATCCTCATTTCGGAGCGCGGATATTACGGTTCTACTTCTGCTAGAGGTGAACTCGTCTCATTCGGGCGAAATCTGCCTAATTTGACGAAAACCAGCGGAATAAATTCAAACAAAAGTAGGATAGTCGCTATTTTAAATCAAAAAAAGAAAAATGAATATGGAGAAGATAAATATGATTGATAAGTTTAGGGATTAAAGAATAATCGAGCAAAAAACTGAGGTGAAAAGAAAGAGTAGAAAGCTTTCAGACGTTGACACTTTGATCTGTTAGAAAAATTAGCCAATTTTAAATGAACCATAAGGCCACAAATTTAAAGATATTATTAAAAAATATATAAGATTAAAACTATTATATTGCAATTCATATAAACAAAATATGCCAGCAATAGACGGATTCGACCTTCTTATTCCCTAATCCCTGGTACTTAGGGGTCACAAGGTAGTGCTAGTTCCAACGGCTGACGTGATCTAATTTTAGAAAATTGATAATATGCAAATAAGTTGGATAAATTAGCTGCAATTTTAAAAAAAATGAACAGAAGCAAGAATCAAGGAAAGATGAAAATTCAGCATTAAATATTCGAATGAGGATTTCTTGTGGAGCGCCAATCATTCTGATTCAATTGTCATGAATTTTAGAATTCTTTTTTCTGTGATTTGTCAGTGATAATACTGTAATCAGTGATTATTCTATTCGAATAACGAATATTAGGATAAGAAAGGTTTAAATTTAATATTACTTAATATTGTTGATCATTTTTGTCCATTTGTAATTTTTCAAATATTTTCATTTAAAATTTTATTTTATGCAAAGAATTTTAAATAAAAAGGAACAAGAAACTGAATAGCTGGATTGTTCACAATCTTAAGGAGGGCAGAATAGCTCAGCAAGCTGTTGCTCTCATCTCGGAGCGCCCCCCTGCAAAGGTTCTATTCAAGGTGGAAATAGGTTTATCTTCTAAAAGTTCGAGTGATGGAGGCGACTCATATGAACTTCTATAATTGTGTGCGAGTGCATGACGAAATTTGTTTGACGCGATAACTCGGTCCAACCAAAAACGTTGAGTGCTCTTAGAAAAAAAAGAATAATAAAGAATTTAATGCAATTTTCGTTGTTTGTCGTAACAATTGATTCTGGCGATAAAACAATAAATTTGTTGAATTTTAATGAAACCAATTTAATTTGGCTAAAATTTCTTTTCTTTTTTTTAAATTTAATGTCAATTCAAATTTGTTGAAAAATTACTTTGGTATAATTGAAATATTCGGCTAAGGCTAAATCATCATAAGTTATCAGCTGATAAGAGCTATCAGTTAATAAGAATTTATTCATTATAAGCGAAATTCGAGTGGAGATATCCATTTGTACTTCTGTTCTCGAGTGTCTCTCTCTTTCTCTCCCTCTCGCGAAATTTCATCCTATAGAGCCAATTAATAGAGTCCAGCCAAACGAAAAATGATAAATTTTTTGAAAAAGAGGAACTGAATTCATCGCCTTAGCTTAGCTTAGCTATTATATTTGCGTAACGTTTTGCCAATAAATAATTTTTTTGATTATTTAATTATTCATCTTATGCTTCAAAATCTTAGTTAATCCTAGTTTCATATACTTTATCAGTCAGTGTCCTATCAGTTTATCAGTATTTTTTAAAGAATTCAACAGTTTTATTATCTTTTATAATTGATGGATTGATAAGAAATTATTTGCCGTAAAGCTTATAACGTTTAGAATTGAATTGAATTGAACTGAACTGAATTGAGTTGAAACTAATTCGAGGTTGAGAATATTCTCATTTTCCGGCTTACAATCGCTTAAATTAATTAAGAAATTATTTTCGAATTTTTATAAATTTAGTCGAAAATGTAAAAATTTTTTTCCTAGACTAAGAGATTTAGAGAAAGAAGTGCTTTGCGGAAAAATACGTCTAAGCTTGGCGAACACAAATACACAAATATTGGATAATAATCAATTGAGACTTTATAGACAAACCAACGAAATGTCGATGAGCCAAGCTAACAACTACAACGAAATCTATAATGACATTCTACGTAAGTGGTATGATCTTACGCCATTCCTTTCACCACAACTTAAGGTTGGTTCGGTTTTTATCTAATGAAAATTATTCGCTTATAAAGGCTTAATTTTTGCTTTTTTTTTTTAAAAAATGAATATTTAAAGACTAAATTTTTGGATAATAAATTTCTAAATATTTCGAATTTCGATTCGATGAATCAAACGAAACGAATAAAGTTTGAGAAATAGCAAAAATTTAGCACCATAGGCTTGGGAACTTGAGGGTTCTGCGAGGGTTCAGCTGTTCCTTGCCATGCGTTCTTCTGAGTCCTTAAATAATTGTTCCTATAATTTGTTGGAGCCATTTTTCTAACTTAGGAATCACAACTTCGAATGTTCCAAACACCACTGAGACCAGTTCAACATTAGCTGTCTCTTCTTTTAAGCACTGACACTTCCTGTCACTTAATATTGCTATATCCTCTACTGTTTTCTAATTCTTATCAGCTATCGCGATATTTAGTTGACTGGCCATTACTATTTGTAAATATATTTGTATACAAATTTAGGATTCATTAAAGATTCAGAATATATTGAAATCTATTCCGAGGCCTAGTTAGTCAGTAAGATGGTTCCACTGTGGACGCTAGCCATGAATTAATTGAAGCGTTGAGCATCTAGAAGAATTATTGCGAATGGGGATAAATATTTTCTCAATGGAAACATTTATTTTGGCTAATCCTCCTATTCAACTTTCTCTTTTCTACATTAATTATTGGAAATGATGAAAGATTACGTTATTACGTTATCATTCTTCTATTACCAACTATTATCGCGCATCACTTTGCAAACTGTTAATCTATTTTATTGAATAGGAAAGAGAAAGGATAAATAATCGCTAAAATTCATAATCCTTACATTTTTTATTATTTTATTATTTAATTTATTATTACTTATCAGTCAAATATCTGTATACATTTCAAAGTTTGTATTTTGAATTTTTGGAATTTTTAAATTAAATTTATTTTATTCCCACTGCTGATAAATTTTAGGAATCTTTTTCCTATCATTATCACTTTTTTTAAAATTTTATTTGGTCAGAAATTATCAATAAAATTAGTTGATTATTTAGAACATTCATTGCGTGAAAGGCAGACACCATCAATTTTAATTTATTGAATTTTCTAAAATTAAATTTATTTTTTTGTGGAACAAAGTATTTTTAGAATTTTAGAATTAGTTGAACTAATCCCGTCCTGAGAAAAATTTTTCTTTATTTTTTCCATTCGTCTATTCTTTATAATCAACAAACTTATATATATTTTAAGAGCACTGGTTAGGCTCACTCATCTGGCTTGTCGCACTGGACAAATATGCCAGGGAGTCTTTTGGCGATAGAAGTCGCCATTATCACCCATACATATGTTTATTATATACAGATTTATAATATTATATACAGAAGAGTTTAGCTGATTAGCACTAATCATTTATTGTTAATTTCGTTGATTCTTAGTGATCTTTTGCAAGAATCACTTACGGATAGAAGTGCAAGTGGATAATCATTAGCACCACCTGTAATTTACAATAATAATATTTATAATAATAAATATTGATGATGTTATCATTCTTCATTTATCAATATGATGATGATATTATCATATTGATGAATTTTTATAATTTTAGTGGTATTTAATAAAATTTTGGGTGTGGTGGTGTGCATTTGCACAAAAATTTCTCATAATCAAAAGCTAGCAAAATCCTAATCCTTCTTCGGCCTTTATCATTAACATTAACAACCATTATCATTAATAACGATCATTTGAAAAACGGCTGACAATGAGAATATGCGAAAGAAATTTCTATCGATTAACACCCAATCCAGTCCATGTTTTGCCCAATTTCGCAGTTTCCAAATTTGTTATTTACGCTTGGAAAAATATTGCATCACATTTCAGTTGATATGAAAAAAATCAAGATTTGACGTGTTTTTCCCTCATCTCGATGATTTTAAATTCCATAATTTTTCTTGCTGTATATTTATATATGCTTTTTTTTATTGTATTTTTTTATGCCTAAGCTTATTTCATTTCATTTCATCGCACAACATTCAGCATGCAATATTTCCAGAAAGCATATAATTAAAGATGAAGAAAATTTTATATAAAAATGAAAATAATTATAGGAGAAATGGTGGAAAAGGCTAAAGGAAGGATATGATGGAAGGCCTTTTCATAATTTCGAACACTTACATGAGATGCTTTGCCTATTCGAAGAATATAAGGATAAATTGAAGGAGCGATACGCTACGGCTTTTGCTATATTTTTTCTTCAGTATTTCTTTTTTTTTCCTTTTTCTAAGAGCGTCCACCATTTCTCGTTAGGGCTTACTGCACTGGCTTGTTGGACCAGACCAGACAAATTTTGCCAGGAAGTCACTTGATGGTAGAGGAACCGATGATAGTTACTACGTCTGAAAGATAAATTTATTCCTCTAGAAATAGAAGCTCAATATTGGAGCTTGGAAATGAGAGTAATCCAGTGAACATTTTTCTATTATATTATATTTTTTATTATATATTTCTATTATAAATTAATATTATTCTATTAAAAATTGATAACGATGGTATCAAAATTCAAAAGCGCAATATTCACGGAAAATGTTTTTTAAATAATTCTTTTTCCTTTCCAATTTTTTTTCTTTTAGCGTAATTCATGTTCCAAAATCCGTGGAAAATGCTGAAAAGAACGCGCAATTATTACGAGAATTCGCTTCCGAAACGACTTTCGATTCTGTAAACTTTTTTTATAAAAAAGAATTTTTTTTTGCAAATTTTAAAAATTCCACAGTTTATACATGTGGTATTACAAATCTTTACTGGTTTTAGTTTGCTAAATTTTCATGAAAGATAGAGTAAATTGAGATTGATGGTTTTCTTATTCCTATCTATTCTGCTTTATAACTTTTATCTAAATTTGATATTGAAATTTAGGAAAATTATGTTGCAAATTTGATATTAGAAAGTGGTAAAAATTGTACAGAAGCACATTTAACAAGTGGTGCATTTGGTGCGGACGATCTTCATTATGTATTAGATTTTGATATGGCATTTCTCGGTGCGAATGCGGATATATACGATGCACATTTGGAAAATATTCGAAAGGAATATTCATTTCTTAGCGACGACGAATATAAAGAACAAAGGCTTAAGGTTCATTCTATTTAAAAATTTCTATTCTTGTTTTTTTAAAAAATATTTTACAAATTTTTAAAATAATAATTAAATTAAAAAATTTAAGGTATTTAATAATTATTTTTGAATTTTCAATGGAATTTTCAATTTTAGATTCTAAAATTATTTATGCAAATTCCAAATATATTTGCGACGAAAGAAATGAAGGAACGTTTCGAGAAAAAAGCTCGAGAAAATATTGCACGAGAAATTGCGAAACTTTCTGATTCTTCATGAAAAATCAAAATTATATCGCTATTTAATTGCTATTTTACAAACATCATTCGTTATCAAAATAGCTTCATTTTCAAATACAACATAAATATTTAATTCCGATCCACTCAATAGCATAAATTTTATTGTGTATAATTTTTGGCATTTTATATGAAAAATTAAGCATATGGTATGTTGCAAATATGATTTTGTCGCATATAAATATATATAATTATAAATAAATTTACATAAATATAAATAAATTATAAATATATATAAATATATAATTTTATAATTATAATCGTATAACAAATAACAAGAACGTTAGGAAGAAGGAATATGAAATTTAGAAAAAAATAACGAAAAAAGCAACTAGAGAAACTAGAAGATTTGGAAATTATAGGCTAAAGTAGTCCAGTGATAATTTGAGCTCCTGGAACTGGTGGCTTTAGCAGGTTCCAGGAGCAACATTAGAGATCGCTGTTCAAGAGAGTGTACTATAGGAATAACTAAGATATTGCGCAGAACCCTCAATCGTCCAGGCCTCTAGTGGAGAACCTGAAATTAAAGATGGTCCTAATATCAACGGGTGGGTGAAAAATGGATTTATTTCCTTTTCATTGTAATATATAATAGAAATATAAAACAAAAAATTATTATTTTTTAAGATGATTTGTTTGTTTGCTCCGAATTACAACTTTGTCTCATAAAGATTTTATAACCGAACCGACTTGCTTCGCATCCGATCGTTTAACCGTTTATTTCGTCGTAATTTTCGGTGAATTAGTTTTTTTTTCATTTTGTAATTTTATTTCTTCGAGATTCGATTTTCTGTCAAAATTCCTATTTCTAAACTTTGTTAAAATATAGAAAAATGGAAAAAACGCAAAATGATTTTGATGCTATTTTTCTTATCGTTCGTTTTTTGGCAAAGGAATAGAAAAAATTGATTTTCCATCAATTTTAGTTGTCTGAATTTTCTTATAAAATAAATGAAAATGGGAAAAAATTTAAAAGAAATCGAATGATAATTTCTTTATATTATTACTATCATTTTATATGAATGTGGTCGCTTTATATTATTATTATTTTATATTATTTTTGTTGAATGAAGAAAATTTATCATTTAACTGATCGATCAGTTGATTTATACGAGGAAAAATTCCAGAAATATTAAATGAATCTCTCAAATTTCGCCTGAAATTTAATAATTTTTTTCTGCGTCATTTTTTTGCTGTAATTATTTTAAGAGAAATATATGTTCTTAAAACTGAAACGAATGTTAATTGGCTTTCGAAAAAATTGATATTTTTTGAAAAAAAAATAAATTTTCTCAATAAATTTAAATGAAAAAGTGCCAAAAAAAACTATAGAAAAAAAGCAATGAAATTTAAATAAAATTTGGCAAATTGGAAATTTTTTTTGCACCAAAAATAGCAATAATTATTGACAATAATCGAATAAATAATTTTAAAAATATTTCTAATTATTTTATAATAAATTTGACGATAAAAATTTTGTTAGACTTATATCAAACAAAGAAAAAAATTCGTCAATTTTTAAGATCATTGGATTTTTCTGAAAAATTATTTCCATTGCTATATTTGCAATAGATTTATTAAATGGGAACCTAAGTGCGCTTTTTAAAATAACTCTCTGGATATTGTCATAATAATGAAATTAGCTGAGCCAGGAATGGCGAATATTTTTGGCAAAAAAAAAGAAAATATTTATGCTACCTATGGGAATCTGATTCCCCACAAAAAAAGTTCAACATGAGAGTACGTACAATTTATGAAATAACAATAAAAAAAGCAAAATTGTGAAAAAACAAGTACCACAATTAAGGCCATTCAATAAATGTCAGAAACGCTTTTATTGAAATTTATACATGAATGAATTCACCATATAGTGCCATAAAAAGCATGAATAATACGCCAACTACCAGGCCTATGATTTGTTCTAAAGTAGCAATCAAACTTTTCTTAATATCTTCCTTGATAAGTTCATTTGTGCTTTCACGCATTTCTGGAATCTGAAACCTTATAATTTTTTAAATGTTAATTTAAATCAAACATTTGAAAATAAATCACGAATTATTAAGAAAATTTATTAAATAAAAAAATCAACGAAAAAATACAAACCAAAGTACCAAGAAGTACATAGAGATACATTCCAGAAGATACAGCGAAAACGAATTGATCGGAGCGATCAAATGAGCGACCAAGAGTTGCACCAATCATAAAACCAAAATAACTAAGAAAACCAGGAATTAAGTTAAGTAGTAAAGTTCGTTTCATCCCGAGACCTGTTTTTGTTAAAATGGCTAGCATTCCTGAAAGTTTCATATAAATTGAACATAAGATTTACGCAAAATCTTCTAGAATTTGGGGAAAGTTGAATGAGGTGGGAAATATGGCGAAAACCATCTTATTGATGAAGTTTTGAAAGGGATGAGGTAGTTTAAGACAATGAATTATAAGGAAGCTAGATTGTTTTTCAGAAGATTTTATATATACATAAAATAAGCGGATTTGAGGGTTACGCTTAGGTATTGTTCAGGCTCCTTTCTGGACTAGAAAAAAGATCTGTCCTAGAGGCAGAATATCTGATTCGTTAAAGAAAGAAGTATGCGAGTCAGCTGTTTACATGAAAAAGCTTGAAGAAGTTTCAGCGGTGTGAAATGATCATATCAAGGTTCGATAAGGTGATAAAGGAATATGAGGTGAAAGAAATTTGTTCTAAGGATATTTAAAAAATATAGCAAAATATGAATTTTTTTTTTTTAAAGATGAGGTTAGCGCTGAAATATTGCACTTTCTAGGGTGCCTGGGGTAAATAAAGTATCACAGACATGAATGGAAAATCGTAAAAGGATGATTTGAATCTCCCATTGAGAAAAACGAAATTTCAAAGTAGGAAAAGGAAAAAAAAAAAAATGACAAGAAGCTTTTAAATAATTTTAAATAAATAAATATCCCAGATTAGAAAAATTTCGAGGAGAAAGTATAATTTTAGAAAGAATAAAAATTGCAACTGGACTTTTTTAGGCCTTAGGCCTCTTTTTCCAGATATTCTAACACAATATATTAGTATCAATATGCTATTCGTTACTTGATATAATATGGCCTAACAACTATAATAATTTTCAACTTTCAAATACAAGGTAATCATCTAATAAATACCAAGCTCTTGCGGAAATTGTTGTGCGATGCATGCAATACCAATGCTAAGACCGCGAAACAACGATTTGCCAAATGCTACCCCATTACTCATTCCATCAATGAAATTATTTGCAGATGATCCGAAAATTATCATATACACAACAGAAGCAACTTCTAAATCTTCTCGGTGAACTATTGCCTTATCAACAACTCGTACCGATACATTTATTCCTTTTTCTGGAGCCTAAAAAAATCTTTTATCTTATCAGTAAGTGTTTAACATAAAAATTCTCGATTTTTTTTACTAGATTAAACTCGAATTTATTAAATTTCGGTTTTCTTTCGATATTTTGATATTGATATCATTTATTAATGAATTTTATGCATGAGAAACCAAATAGCTGATAATTTTCTTCTTCTTTGATTTATCACCACATTTATTATTTCTCTTTTTCAAAAGCTATATTTTGAAAGTATTAATAAATCATTGATAAATGTTTTCTAGAAAAAAAAAAATTATTAAAAAATGTACATGGTCGAGAATGGCTCAGTGGATTGTTGCTCTCACTTCATATGCCTATGTTCTATTTCCTGCTTTCAAAAATCTAATTGTTGGCAACCCACTTACTCTTCTATCACCAAATGATGGAATTGGTCTGATCTGATAGCGGAGCGAACCTAACCAGAAATGATGGGGCGCACTTCAAAAAATGTACATATATTTAACTGATTTAAAATGAAGATACAGGTGGAAATACTGTTACTGATTTTTTAAATACTGTTTTAAAAAATCAAATTTACCGGGTTTTTTTCTAATTCAATCCTTTTGAGAACAGAGAGCCTTCTTCGTGTTGATAACTATAAAAAACTTTAAGGTAGCAATGGAAAATAAGGTCATTTTTTATAATACTAAAAAAGTAAAGAAAAGTAAAAGTTTGTTTATTTGGTTGGAATTATTAGTATTATTATTAAATTATGTGACAATCTGGCTCACCCGTCTTGCAACAGCATTGCTAATATCAGTTAATTCAATATCTGCCTGAAAAGAAATTATCAATAGATAGATTGATGGTTTAGGAAGCAAGATGATTATAACCGAGTGTTGCTTCAAATGGGATTAACAATTCAATTTGTGCCTCTCAATGATAAATAAATATACCACTAAAAGTGATATACGGATGGTGCATCGGTATTTACCTCTACCTTTTCCCCAAAATGGCTCTTTAGCGAGAAGACATTCACCTAAAGCTCAGTGGAGTCAATCGAGTCAGAAATAATTTAAAATAAATTAATAATTTGGAAGAAAATAAAAAAAAAATAATATCTCGAAAATATTTTCGTTATTTTTTGATTCTAAGAACAATTCTTTTTCGTTTGTAATTTTTCTCATAAAATTTACATATATATTTATAAAATTATCGTATTGAATTTAAACATCACCATGTTTTTCGATTTATTTAAATTCTCAAAAATATTGGAAAAAAATTTTTTTTAAAAATAAATTTTAAATAAATCTTAAATTATAAAATTAGATTTTTTATCGTTAAGCAGTAAAACCTTAAGGCCTTCGATATCTCTCGCTGTTTCTTCGTTTTCAATCAGTTCTGGTATTGTTATAATGGAATGAGTTCGATCTTTTTGATGCATCGCAAGCATATCTAATGTTTTAGCATGGATTTTCCGGATTTTACCACGCTATAATAAAAAGTTGCAATCTACAGCTTAAGATCGCCTACATTTCCACGAATCTAATAGTGTTATTCATCGTAAAGCTGAAAGCTCTCTGAGAATTGTAATTATATCCATTAGTTTCACAAAAAAAAATCGACTAATCCACTAGTTCTCTTCTTCTTTTTTAATTTTATTATAAAAAATAGGAAAAATAGATGCAATTTTTTTTTGCTAATTTTTTTCACTTTTTTCATTTAGTTAAATTTTCCTACTAAATATTTTATGTGACCCAAATGAATTTATATAGCCCAGAAAAGCTAAAAGTTTGAATAAACCTGGTTTAAGCAAACAATTTTAGCAATTTTAATTTTAACAATATTTATCAACTACGATATTTATTAATTCAAACAAATTTCAAAATTACTCAATATTTATTGTAAAAATATTTAGTATTACTAAATTTAACTCAAGTAAAAGGTTAAAAAAAATGTTACCCTTCGCATTTCAATAAGGTATTGAAGTATTCGGTCGATAAAAAAGAAACAATATAAAGCAATAAGAGTTATTAAAGGTTTGATGACATATTTTGGCTCGTGGTTTATGTCGAGAGCCTGAAAATTCGGCTAAAATCCTGTAAAAAAAGCAGCAATCGGTTACCGGTTAAATTCGAGTAGGCCAATTCGAATTTTCTTTTTTTAGCAAATCCGCATTTGCAATTTAATTGTTTACTGAATCAGTTAAGTTATTGGGACAAAGAGCATTAAGGAAAGAATAAGAATATGTGGAGTAGGTTCAGCTAGAAAAAGAACAATTGGGAAATATCACAGACCAATAACTTACTGAATTTTTTAGGTAGACTATTCTCTTTTTAAATCAAGCACGAATATCATGCTTAATTGCAATTCACTGCAATTTTTTACGAGTAGCCCAATCAAATTTGGCCAAAAAACAATTCTTTACATAGGCTATAGGCCAAAAACAGAAATTTTTAATAAAAATCTTTAAAGCCTCATTTCTTCATGTGAATTGCCTCAATTAAATATATATTGTAAAAATATACCAGACTTAAAAATTTTAATTGTATAAAATTAAGAATAAAATTCTTACCCTTGGAATCATTATAAAGATAATCGATCCGGATAGTGCTCCAATTCCAAGAGCAACTAATAACGACATTATATGTTCATAAGCATTTTTATTGAAAAGTGGAATTAATAATAGTCCAGCAGGTGCGGCAAAAGCTGTTATCGTTACGATTATTAAACCAATGCCATAGGCTTAAATATATCTTCATTTAACTGTAAGAAACTATAAATATTTGTAGCATATTTTTTAAATTAAATTGTAAAAATGGACCCGAGATATATGGCCTTAGGCATTGGAAAAAGAAATGGCCTCTATTAGTGTCATATATCGCGCCAGGTTAAACGACATGGATCAGTAATGCGGTAATGCTGTAAGTTTCTTTAAAAGAACTGTAGAAATAACTTGAAGCAAATAATTAAAATTCATTACTTTGCCATGCAGCCGGAGGTGCTCGTATACGATTTCGTAGTATTGGCTCAACAATAGATGATGCGTTAGGGAATAATGAAGTCATAACGCATGAAATGTTTACATGAAAAGTGAAATAAGATAGAATTAATAAATTGGATCCGCCCTGCCTGGCCAAGTATTTCAGAATAAATCGGCGAAAGACAAGCAAATCAAGATGCTAAATTAAGACAACATGTAGAGCCATAAAATAGACAACTTTTTTCCTGCAGAAAAAAAGTGTAAAGTTCTAAAATTTAATATCCACTTTAATTGATTAAATCAGTTCGATTGGCGGAAATAATGGTACTCTTTTCGAAAAAATTTTTTTGAAGATTACAAAACTTTTTGGCAACAAAGCAAGCACTTAACACAATAGTGATTTTTAAAATTTCTCGAGAAAGAATATGCTAATCTAAATTTGAAACGATTTATTATAATGTATGCATTAAACAGAAAGCCTTTAGTTTGACTTTTCATGACCAAAATTTCATTGAAATTTTATATACATATTTATTATTCATTACAAAAAATCACGCCAACCGGATTTGAATTAATTGATGTAAACCAGAAAAAATCAGAGGATAGAATGGCTCAGTGGGTTGTTGCTCGATTGGGAGTGCCGATGCTGAGGTTCGATTCCCCGCAGGAGTAAATTTGTCACAAAAATCCGAGTGAAGCTGGCGACTCACCTGTATCTCTATCGCCAAGAGACTCCCTGGCATATTGTCCAACGTGACAAGCCAGTGGAGCGAGTTTAACCAGCATTGGTGAGGATTCTTAGAAAAAAATGCAGAAAAATAAACTTTACTGGAAAAAAAAATATTTGATGCTATACGAATTCTCAAAGAAGTTTTCAAAGTTTAATTAAGGTAGGATTTTATTAAAATTAAAATTAAAATTTTTTTAGCGATTTTTTTTCGATTGCTTAAATTTTACGAGGTTAAAAATCTAACAATAAAGCAATAATAATTATAAATTTTTAGCGAAAATACAAAGCACATCATTGAAAGCAATGGAGTTTTAATTACAATATAAAATAATTTTTTAAAAATTTTGCCGATTCATTTATTTGCGCATCTATCGCCGAATTAGTCCTTGGCTAGTGCGGCAAGCCTGCGACAATCAGAAATGATAAGCGTTTTAAGGAAAAAGAAATTATCTATAAATGTTGAATTACTGACGCAAAGTGAAAGCATATGTGTTATAGTAATCTCCATTTTCGATATTCGATATTCGACAAATGCTTCATTTAGGTTGATTATGTGCTTTCTTACGGATAGGAATACTCGAATAATAAATTTACTTCAGAAGTTCTTCGACACTGATAAAAATAAACAATGCTTGTGATTCCCCTACTATCAAAATTTCTGACCGTTCTAATAGCCAATGGAATTAGTAGTCTAATAAGAAAAGATGAACGTTAATCACTAACTTTACTTAATTTCACTTACTTTTATCCTACTTAACTTCACTTATTATTGTTGAATATCAAAACTTTTTGAAATTTACCGATAATCCTTAAATTTTATACTGAACAATTGATATATGGTAGATCTGAAAAAATCAAATAAAACCTGAATATTTCTAAATTTTTTATCGCATTAATTAATATTGCATGCGTTGGTACCGCAATGAACGATGGTACACTGGGTCTTATGATTTGATGGAAAAGTATTACAAAATAGCTCGCTTTCGCTAGTTAGGGCACGGTCTTCGTCGCCCACCCATAACATTTGATACAAATTTCGTTGTTTGCTTAAACCCTAAGATAGAACAGCGTTGAAAGCGATCAAGGTGCACCAATTAAGACCTCGACTGATACAATCAGGAAAGATTTCGAACGTATAGATGAACCAGCAATATATGGGCTTGGACGATGGAAAAATGAATGGCTTCTATTACGATGGCATCGGATCGAGCAGCTTGGAAACATTTTACCCTTACCCCCCTTGTGGCCGATAAAGATAGCCTAACCAATAATGGTGAGACCTGTTAGAAGAATAACAACAACAATAGAAGTTCCACATTCCTCCAAATTTTCAGTAAAAATTTAACTTCGCCGAAGATTATATTTTCCAAGTTGTTCACTAAAAATGAAATCCGAATTGGCTTTAATCAATCCAACTATTTTTCTATTAAAATTTCCCTGAAAGATTTAAATCAAAAAAAAACTTTTTTTTTAATTGAACAATAATTTATTTAATAAAATGAAAAAAAAATAGATAAAATATCTTTCAATTCAAAGATTCAACGAAAATGAAATATAATTAAGCAAAAAAAAATTGCCTCGAATGCCTTTCATTTATTCATAGCACGTTAGGAATGTAGGAATTTAATTTCAATCGTTGGAAACTATCGCTAAAATTTTTTAGAATCGTTAGAAATCGAATAACAATGAAAAATTAACAATGCATAGAGGTGGCATTAAGAAAAAAATCAAACTGTAAAATTAAATTGTTGGGAACTTATTTTATACCTAGGCGAGCATGTGTTCCGCAGTAATTTCATGAATAGCACTCGGATTTTTGGACAAATGATTTATTCCTGCGGTGAATAGAATTTTAGCATCGATGTTCGCTTTTGATAGCCATTAAACTACATTAAACTTTTCCTCTCTTTACGACCATCCGGCCAAATTTCTCTAATCCGAATAACGTTTCCAAATGACAAGCAAAAATTAGTTTTGTCCAGCAAAGTAAGATGTTAACCAGAAATGAGGTTAAAATTAGCTTTTAGAAAAATGAAAATTAAAGAAGTTTAGAGTTTTCATCTGGTGATTTTAATAGTCGAAAAGAGCGATAGTTGTTGGCATAAAACATTTTAAAAATATTATATTCACTTCGACGAAGATTATTTTATCAGCTAATAGCATTAGCATTAGTCTACCTTTTCTGATAATAATCACTAATGAAATGTGAAAAATTGATCGACTGATCAATGAGAAAAAAGCCTTCAAAAGAATGAAAATTATCAGCATTGATATTGATATTAAGTGATCAGATTTAGTACCATAGAATATCCCAGTATGTTGTTGTTCAGTTCGGTCAGCGCTGACATGGAGATTCTACAACCGCAAGATTAAACCTATTTTTCAAAATATCAATACCGCTGGTGGTTCATCCGATTTCCAGCTAATTGATTTCTTGCCCGGCCCGACTAATCCGTGAAGTAAGCTTAAATGATAGGGGCTCTTCAAAAAAACTATAAGCCACTATATTTAACACGTTGAATGCGACAATCCCACAAGAATTCAGAGTCCCTAACCCAGCAGAAAATTCATTAATTTGTGAAAGCTAATCTGATATGCTTATATATACTTATATGTATGGGATAGAACGGCTCAGTGGGTTGTTGCTCAATTGAAACCTAATTCCTTGGCACATCGCCTAATTGCGATAAGCCAGCGGAGAGAGCTTGACCAGTATTGGTGCAGATTCTTAAAAATTATATTATATACATGTACATATCTTTCTTCTCTTAACAGTACTACTCGTCTGGTTTCAAACTTACCACTTCAGCCAATATGAGAAGACTCCTTTCCCAAAGATGCACTTCCAGATATAAGAAAGCAAATAGACTGCATAAATCGCTGCATATTACCTAAGTAGCTAGGCTCGTACACACGACAACAAAGATGGTATAGCCAATTCGATAGTAGCTTAGACTAGGTGCAGAATTAAAGCTTCAGCTCCTATCTACTACAGAAAGCTACCGTTAAAAAATCCAGACAACTCACACAATTTATCCGTGACTACCGATTATCGATCAAAAATCTCTACTCGTACTCAGCCAAAATGATAAGTCTAATCAGAAATAGTACGAATTAATCATTTTGTCTGCTCCAGTCATCATTTTTTCTCCTCTTGTATTTCGTCAAAGATTGAATCGCATTTACAGAAATTTTGTATTTTTCAGAAAGAAAAGCGAAAATTTTTTATCAAAAAAATTAATGTAAGCATAACACGCAAGCGCAATTCTCAACTTACATTCATCCTAAAAACATTTTTAAGAATTACAAATATTTATTGTAAGAGAAAATCATTTGCAAAATTAATTTTTTTTTTATTGAAAATTTATCAAGGTAAAATTTTTTTGCCCATAACGAATGTAAATTTCGAATGTAAATTTTTGTGCTAATCTTCAAAAATAAGCATGAAAATAGACAATAAAATGAAACAAATTGAGATCAAAAAAATTTTAAAGGTTTCAAATCAATTAGCCACATTGCAACGCAAAGAAAAATATCAATAAATTATCCTGTAAAAAAAATGAAAAAATCTAAGATAATACGATTAGTTGAAATATAAGAATAAATATAAATATAAAAAAATATCTATGATTGTGCGAGCAATAATTAAGCAAATCATGTAAAAAGTTGTTTAGCACCATGAAAAAAAGGAAAAAATTGTAAAAAAAAAATTAATAAAAAAATTCGTTGAAAAAATAGAATAAACAAGAGATGAGACGATTAAACTGAATCTTGTTTAGGTTTTGAATGGAGCACAAACCGATTATTCTTTTTTGATCCTAAAAGCAAAATTTATCAGAAATAAAGTACTGACAATATGCAAAGAAATTTAAGAAAATCAAGTAAGACTGGGTGACACGATTCCAAAATATCAAGAAAAATAGAAATTATAAATGAAATGGAAATTTGAAAACTGCTTTACTTTTATTTACTCGAATATTCTCCGTTTTTTGTCGATCAGAATCACTTCGTTCAAGTTCTTGATTAAGTGGAATAAAGTTCTTATCATTTAATTTCCGATCAATAACTGTGCGAACGACCTGATCAGGAACTTGCGATGCACCTGCCTAAAAATTAGATAAGAGAAATGTAAATGTCAGAAATGTGAATCACCTAAAAGTAAAAAGTAAAAACGTGTGGAATGGATGCTCCAGTGAATGATTTATGTGAAGGGCTATGGTTTATATTTTTTATCTCATGAAGAAAGAAGTAAAAGCGAAATCCAGATGATTAGGGACTTAAACAGATTTCCATTCGCAAATAACGATCTGATGAAAGGAGTCAGCCAAACCAATAATAAATATACCTGAAAAAGTGAATATGCATTATTTTTCTTTTCTATAGGTGAATTAACAATTTTACGACCAAAACGATCGCCGAACCGTGGATTGCCTAAAAAAATCGTATAAAATTGTATTATGATAATTCTACAATAATTTTTTATTATTAATGAACCAATCTATTAGAACAAATCTACAGAAATGACGCTCGAAGAAAAAATTAAAAATACACCTCACAACTATCAACAGATAAAATTCTAAATTTATTAACACTTTATATTTATTAATAATTTATACTTTTAACCATCAAGATTAAATTAATACAAGAAAAAGAAATATTTTGGCATGAAATAATCAAAGATTAATTTCAAAATGTAAATAGATTTTAAATAAATTTTTAAACCTATGATCTTTCATTTAGAACACAAGCCAACATTACAAAATGAGTAAAGAAAACCACTATAATTTATTAAAATTTATAATTTTCCGTCTTAATAGTGCCCATTTGAAATCTAATTTAATTCAGATTATTCCGTGAATTACTCTGAAATAACCAGTGAGACCAGCCAAATCAGTAATAATTAGAAGATGAAGCCTGAATATATATGCCAATTACATTGAAATATACACTAAAGGCAAAATAAGATTATTAGAAATAACATAAGAAAATTTTGCTCAATACATACCGTCAACCATATTTAACTGAAACAGACGATTTGCAGCGGATGTGAGGTTGCTTTCTTCACTTGTATCTTTTTCAGAATTTTTTTCTTTTTTTCGACGTTTATTACGACTACGATTGTGAGAATTTGAATTCAAAGTTATTTGGGACTGGTTTTCCGATTCTGAACCTTCAGCTGTTCGCGAATTGCTTTTCGTCTCTTTTTCACCAATTTTGACTATTTTTGCATTCTTTTCGGGCAATTCAGTTTTTTCAATATTACTTTCCACATTACAATATGCATGCACGACCTTACCCTATAATTTAACTGAACAGTTTTTTTTATTGGTATGAGAAGCTATTATTTCGATATATTTATGATTATGATTATTTCGATATATTGATAATGAAATCATAAAAATATCTTAAATTCATTTACGGCTCGAGAATTGGTCTCCATAAAATCAAGAATGGGACCAGCAACCATATTTCGCAATTCATTATGATGATCAATCAATGTTAAAAGGAGCAGTTGCAAATCTTTAGGCACCTAAAAAATAATTTTCAGTAAATATTTGTAATATTATTTTACAATATTTTATTCTGACCAGTAAATGATAAATATTACTACTGAGCAAATTTAAAGGCAAAAAAGATCAATAACGATGATAATAATAAATGAAGCATATAAACTGATAAAATCAGCAAGTAATAACTGATAAAAAAGAACACTAACTCCTTTCACATGCTGACTTATAATGCATGAATAACAGAATAGTTGAGCAGCTTGAACACTGACCCTAGCGTAACGATTTACAATAACTTTTTCAGGAATTGGACGAACATCACTGAAAAACTCTTGTTCAGCGCTATATAAACTCTATAAGGTTATATAATTTAAAATTAAAAGAAGTAAACGAGCAAATAATGCGAACAGTAGTTTTCTTTAATTTACTTTTCTCCTTTCATATTTAAACTTATCGTTTAGGAAAGGAAAATTTCCAAGAAATTTCAAATTTCTTATTTAATCCAACGCTAATAAAATTCACAGCAAGCCACGGTTATCTCTATAGATTAACTTTTAACTTTTCTTTTTGAAAAGCTCTTAAATTAAACAAATAGAATGCTACTAAAGCAAACTTCAGTGTCACGATAATTCAACCAATATTAGCAGCAAATAGTTTTTAAAAATAAAAATTAAAAATTAAAATTTATTTAGTAGTTGATAATGAATCAACTACAACAAAAATACAAATAATGTAAAATTAAGGATGGCTTAGTGGGTTGTTGCTTAACCTGGACCGCCGATACTAAAGTTCTATTCCTCGCAAGAGTAATCCTGTCCGAAAATCCGGGTGATGCTGGCGACTCACCTGTATTTCTATCGCCAAGAGACTCCTTGGCATAGCTGTCCAATGTGACAAGCCAGCGGAACGAGTTTGACCAGTAATGGTGAAAACTATTTAAAAAAAAAAAATGAAGGAACCGAATTTCAGTTTGACAATTCCGATTACTTCGCCGCAAATCAACCATCTCACGATCCATGTGATTTCGAACGAGCCGACAAAAACTTTTTAATAAAATATCCGCAACCTAAAATCAATAAAAAATTTGTATAAATAATGCGGAAACTATTATAACTCTTATTTATTATGGACGGATTAGTTGCTTATTGTTCAATTCGAAGCACCGATATCGAATTCTGCGCCCAGCGGAAATAAAAACGTCCTTTAAAAACTCTGGTGATGATTCACCCATAGCTCCGTCAAATGAATTCCTAGCAAATTTTGCCTGGTCTAACAAGCCAATGGAATGAACTTAACCAGCAATGATGAACGCTCTTAAAAAAAAAATTATGATCATGAAAAACATAATAAAACATAAAGATTCGCGAAATCCGTGAGCTGGAGAAAATTCATCATGTCCTAAGTAAGCACAAAGTACCGCATCGCCGAAGATTAGTAATGGTTCAATAAGACGAAGGCCTGAAATTACTTAAAATGTTCTTCAAAAAGTACAATGGAAAAAGTAACGACTGATAAATAAAGCTTTATAAAAAAATTGTTCTATAATTTCTACATTTCAAAAAAATACCATAAAATGAGCTCTCGGAAAATTCAATATGAGACATGGAATCTCTTGGTGGATCGAATAAATCAACTAAAGCTTTTATTATATCCAAAACAGCAATCACTTTATCACTAGCGATTTCATCAGGCATTGCATCAACAACTGCTTGAGCCATTTTTACGCCCAAATTGTTTCTTAATGGAGTAATTGAAAATCCTAAAACAATTTTTTCGATCAATTTAGGTTTTCACTCATTTCAATATTTCAGTAATTTTAAAAATAATCATTAGTACATTTGCGCATTGGCATTTTCATTTTACTACTTTTTACTGTCAAAAACATAAAAAAAATCAATGAAATGGCACCTTGATCAATTAGCTCGAGAGCTAGCTGACTATCAACAAATGCTAGCTCAAAAATTGATTGTAAGAAGCATGTTGTTGGAGAAAAGTCAAAATCAACAATAATTTGAACAAAGTTTTTTTGACATTTAGGTGAAAGTGATAGAAATATACCAGTAGGAACCTAAAAAAATAAAAATTCACAATAATATTTTGGGAAAAAACTAAATAAAATAAACGAAATAAGTAAAAACAAGACAAAGTTGAAGAAAAAAATAAATTTATTTATTCATAAATTCATTTAAAAAATAAATTCATCTATATTCTGATTTTGCTTATAAAAATACAAAAATCTTTGCATTTGCATTTATTATAGCTATAGCTAACTGATAATGTAATATGAGCGAATGCCTAAAAAACACCCCAAACATCGTCGTTCGGCCTTGGCAGAAGTGAATTTGCGATTAAAATTTTAACTAGTCTTGAGGATTCATTTGTATTTCTATTTTTAAATGATTTTCTGACAAAATTGTCTCATTTTACTAACAACGCAGCGGAAACTAAACTGTAAATAGTGGATGATAATCACTAACCATTTTGATGTCATACGAACCTTTCGATTTAAAAGTTTCCGAATAAAAATAAAATTAACAAACTTCGCGTTTTGGCGACTGCAGTATATCAAAAAACCATGAAACAATAGCATATTTAACGGACCAGTAAAAATTATTGAGTTTTTTCAAAATAAAACCACATATTTCCTCATCCAGAACGATTTTATCTTCTAAAATAATAACAGATAAAGTAAGGACCTTCTAATAACGTTCTTATAAGGATGAAGTAACGATATAAGAAATATTTATATTTATATTAATATTTATAGAAATATTTATATAGAATACCTCTCAATCTTATAGCTAGAGCCTTAAGACATGCAAAACATAATGAACTGATTTGTTCGGAACTTTGCTTTGCTCCATTCATATCAGCTAATAATAGCAACAAACCCGGTGCAGATATTTGCTTATCATCATTTTCTAAAATTTTTTTTAAACAAAATGTTTCAATAATAAAACTTTTCTGTATTCTTCTGCACCAAAAAAAAAACAAGACAGTACAAGAAGATTAAAATGCAAAAACCTTTTATGTGACTCGACCAAATGAGAGAAGTACGTTGATAAGTAGAAAAGGACAACATTCGAAGAATCAGCGTAAGCATATAGCACATATGTTTACTAGTGAAAAGTTCAGGAAGTACCAAATAGAAAAAAATATCATTGCCACTGACAATGGCTTGATGAAGCACAGGTTTATTTATAATTGATTCATTTGAATCGGTGCTATCTGCAATTAAATTTCTGACTAATTAAAAATATAAAATATAAAAATATGACGAAGTTACGCCTAGAAAATAACCAATTACGATTTCACATTAAAAACTCTGAATTAGACAAATCAATCCAGGAGACTAAAAAATGAAAAAAATATGAGAAAGCAAATTCAGATTTTCAAATAAATAATTTGAATAGAAGATTATGGAAACATATTACTCTTTGATGTCTTATAGTGTATACGCGATAATGCAGAAGCTAAATAAACATAATTTGAGCCAACATCTCGTTCCTTATCTTCCAGAATTTCTTCCACAGCTCCAAGTAATTTTCTATAAAAAATGAAATAAACTTTAAATGCAAAAAAATTCAATGATTGATTCTTGCTTAACACTTATAATCTGAAAGTGAAAATCTTAAGCTTGAAATTTGTAAATTTTACACCAATGGATATTAGAAATATCAGACCTCAATGCAAATAGAACGATAGGAATACGTACATCATGATCTGATGTAGGGTCTTTCACATTTAATTCCAATAAAGAAGGTAATAAGCGAAAAAGCTGAAAAATTTTTTGATACCTCTATTATTTTCATTTCTAATTATTTGAATTATAGAAATAAATTTTTTTACCAAAATAATTACGAAAACCGCCGAAACTTATAAATCTTTACCATATAACTTTTTTAATAAAAAATTATAAACTTTAAGCAAAAAAAATTAATTTTACAAAGGATATTAAAAAAACAAAATAAACCTTTAAAACTTCAATAATCTATATTTAAAATAGTTTGTAAAAAATAAATATTATTGCAAAATAAAATCATATACCTTGATTGTTTTTGGAACAATAGTTTGATTTTCAAGACACTGAGAAAGTAATATCCATAGAGTTTTCTTAGGTGAAATGAAAACAAAACTGGCAATCTAAAAATGAAAAAACTAATTTTCTTAAGTATTCTTCCATATAAATAACTGTTGAAAACAAAAAATACAAAAGCAAAAACTTATTAAAGAATTATTATAATAAACATAATAACCTCTTTATAAATAGAATAAAAAATCGCTTCAGATTTTTCATCAGAATGAGCCCAATTACTTAATTTATTGATCGTGATTGATAATTCGTTTGCATAATTCTAAAAAAACGATAAATAAAAAACTGAATTAATATAATTTTCAAATTATTCTAAACAAAAAGAAAAATCTATTTTAGAAACTGCACATTTAGATTTCAGTTCAGAAACTTATTTCAATAACTAGTTTCATAAGAATCATGGACTTTTAAGATGAAATTTTGTTGAACAAAGTAGTTAAACTGCTCTATTTATGCTTCTATCGATCCAACAGTATTTTAGCCATGAAATAGTTGTCGTCTTCAAAAATTGGCATCATTAATACAAAAGTCAAAAGTTAATCATTGTTCGTCCAAATCATGAGAGTTCTTAAATTCTTAAAACTCACCATATATTTCTCACTATATTCGGGAAGACAATTATATTTTTCGATGCACCACGTGAAAAAATCTCGCATTACTTTATTCAAGTCCTGTGAATTCATAAAAAATTTGCATAAAAGTCGCAAATAACTGTCGACTAAGTGTAGATCGTCAACTTTTAATAAATTAACCAAAGGTTCGAAGCTACTAAAAGAATATTTATTTCATATTTATAAAGAATTTCATATTTTTTGTATTTGCATTTATAATGAACATTTGATAAATTAATCCTTTTGGATTATGACGAAAATTTTATCTAAATGTTTAATAGTTTTATCAAAATTATAAAATTCTTGTCCAAAAATATAATATAACAAAAATTTTGCTGCGATAAAATCTGAAACCAAACCGATGGAGAAAATCGATGTTGAGATTTCCGATGTTACAGAAATTATTTGTTAACCGTTGTATCTCTTGAATATCACAGTCATTATTGCTTAACCTTAAAAATAAATGATCACAAGCATTAATGAATTCAGCCGATTCAGAATTTACCTCCATATTTACCTGAAAAAAGAAAGAATATAGAAAAACTGGATTTACAACAATCCAAAATGAAGCAAATTAAATAAACCAAATAAATCAAATTTTTATAAATAAATAAAGTAGATTAAGACCTCGTTTAAAGCATTATTATTTTCAACGATAAAGCAATCCTTTCGCCGATTGATACAATCTTTCATATCTTGTTTGCGAGGAAAGGGCTTAAATACGAACGCATTTAATGGTGAAATTTCAGTAATTTTCGAATAATTTTATATCAAATAAGGTGATATTTGTGATCCCTTTTTTGGTAAAAGAAGAAAATTTTCGTGAGAAAATTTTCGAAAGAAGAAACATTAAAAAGAATACCACTCCATAAGTTTCATGGATGATTTCAGGCAATAAAAAGCCAAACTGTTTAAAATCTGAAAAAGAGGACAATAAGAACATAATCAATACAAAAAATGCAATTGCAAACAGAAAATTTTTAGAATTTTTAAACAAAATAATTATTCAAATTTTTTCAACAAAATGAATTATTAAAAAAATTACCAATCGTTCCAATAAGCATTGCGGCTGCAGAACGAAGAACTTCAATTTGATCTAAGTTATGCGCTGATATCAAATTTGGAACAGATCTAAAATCTGGATTCAACAAATCATATAATTTCATTCTTAATCGAATGCAAATTTATTTATTTAATATTAAAGATTAATAAAATTTATTTATATTTCATCGCAAATATTAAAGGTTAATAATGAACTATTTAAACATTAAAAATATTTTAAAAAAATATTAAATATTAAAAAATATTTACAAATATAAAAATATATATAATAATAATTCAATTAAAAAAATTAACCTTGCTTCATATGCCAAATGCAATAATACCAAACAATCAATGACTGTTTTCTTCAACAATGAACCATTACAATACACGAAAGGTTCCCATTCATTTGGTGAAACAATATCGACGAAAATTCTAAAACACAAAATCTAATTTTTCATTCAAAAATATTACTCGATAATATTCTTATTGGTTTTTGATAATGAATAATAAAAATTTGAAAATATTTTGAACTTTAAAATTTCCTTCATTCAAAAATAACGTTAGATTTATAGAAAACCAATAGATAAAAATGAAAAATCAAATACCCATTTTCAAGAGCAAAAGCCGATAATGCAGTTCGTGTAGTCAATAAAACTTTTACAAAAAATCGATCAGCGAATTCCTTAGCTATTTTTCGATTTAATTCATTCGATTCAACTAATTCCATTAGTAAATCTTTGAGAGATCGATTTGGAAAAAAATATTTTACGCAATCAAACATGCTTGGATATAAATCCATTGCATTCATAATAGTTGCTTCAAACGCCTACAATAATAAAAATAATAAAAATCCACATGAATAAAAAATAACTAAAATATATATATAACTAAAATACGTAATTAATTAATTCAAAAAATACCTCGATTAAATCAGCCATTTTTGAGAAATTCTTATGATTGTTTTTTTTTTCTAAAAATAATTTGAAAATTCAGCAATTAATGAATTATTGTGGGAAATTAAAAACGAGAAAAATTTTCATTTATATCAAAGAAAATATCAAAAAAAAATGCTAAGATGAAGCTAACATATTTAATGCTTATCAGTTTTAATCAATACTTATCAAAGAAAAAAAATTAAAATCCATAAGTTATTCAAAGGGAAATAAAAAAAAGAACTCCTTAATTCTAGTTCATCTCAATGTGACAAGACAGTGCAGCGAGTTGACCAGTAATGATGAGAACTCTTAAAAAAAAAATTCTAGTTCAACTAACAAGTTTCTTTTACGAACCACACTCCACCAAACGTCGCTCTATTTTTATGCTTTCAGTATTTGCTCCGCTGACTTGCTGGACTAGAAAGATTTTTGCCAGTCACTTGGCGGTAGAAGGAAATCGCTAGTACCAGTCGGATTTTCTAAAGACAGGTATTTTACTCTTACTAGAGGTGAAATTTCAGTATGAAACAATTCACTGAACCAAATTAATACTTAACATTTATAATTTAAAAGAAAGAAGATAAGGTTGCAACAAATCGTCAAATAGCTTTACGAGGTTTTGACCAACGATCGCAGGTCGGGAGAGAGCACTCCAGGCGATCAGACGACTCCTTGAGGACTCAGCGTTTCTTAAGCGGGGAGGGAAGGAGGACGGGGCGAGAACATGAATGATTTTATATATGGTACCGGTTCAACAGCCCTGGAAGCCTTTAGCTAGTTTAGTCACCAAGTCGCGATTAAAGCCAACGAAACCAGCAGTAATGCGAATTTCTATGCAGAAAACTATATACGACAAATTAAATCTTGAAAGTAAAACTGAGAAAATTGTTCACGAAATTAGTCCCCGTAAATGACTAAAGACCCTTATCAGTTGGTCAATTATCAGTTGTCATTTATCAGCCAATACAGACCAACTTTTACACAAATAAGGTAAATTTTAGCCACACAAAAAAAAATCAAATGGAGTCAAAATTGAATATGGGACCACGACAAAAATTGCGCGAATTTAAAACATAATTTTTCATATATGATATTTGCGCTACGCTAAAATGTCGTAGATAAATGATATTTCTCTCGCAGTATATTTGTAAATATTTTGATAAACATTTTGATAAATACGCTGTTTTTTTCGTGTATTCATAGATTCATGAAAAATATTCAAAAGAGTTAGAAAATGTGTTTCGGCTGAAGATTTGTCTTCTGATAATGACTTTAGGAATATACGCGCAATTGTCTCGATTCATTTGCAATCTGTCGTGCTAATTTCTCGTTTTCATCTCTTTAGAATCGCTTGATGCGTTGACTGTTGCGAATAAAGTTGCAAGTACCAATGTGGATCCGAACTGCAATTCGGTATTTATAGCTCTATTTCCAAATTTAGGTTATATCTATTTGTCTCTGCCACTTTTACTTTCTCCTGTGACTGCACTGGTTTACCGTTACTCACCATTACTTTATTCCTTACCTAAACCATATCCTTTTCCTTCATTGTTTTTGAAACCTCTTATAATTCTTCTTCTTAATCTCCATTGTCGCCATCGGTTTGGTTCGCTCTGTTGACGACTAGGATTGGATACGCTTCCGAGACTTCTGATCCGATGCATTGACGCACCGCTGCTTTTTCTATCCTTAAAGCCTTTTTCTCGCTAGGTAGCCTATGCATTACGAATCTCTCTCAACTATATTAGGCCAGTTCTTGATAGGACTTTCGCGCTTTTGACGCATTCCGTCATAAGCTTTAGCAAATAGCGAGAATGCGATGGCTGAAGAACATGGCCTAACCAGCCCAGAAGACGCTTTATAAAATATTCTTTAGAGATGGTACTGGAGTGAAGATGGATGAATGCAATTATGTGAGGTTCTGTACGTTTTGTAGAGTACACCTTAGGCAAGAATGGTTCAAGAATGGTTTTTTTGCAGTGTTTTCAAAGATACTCTTCAAATGATATATTACTTCTCTAAATAATAAGTAGAGATTTAACTAATTGTCAAACAACTACAAATCAAAAATCTACAATATTTTTATGAGCGCTATGAGCGTTGCTATTTGTCGATGAATTAATTTCGTTTTATGAAAATTTAAAAACAAATTAAATATTTTATTTTTAATATTCATTTATTCATTTTTTAAAATGAAAACATCAATTTCATTCTTTTATGAAAAAAAAAATTTAAATTTTTTTCGAAAAAAATTTAATCAAAATAAAATTTTTTTATAAAAAAAAAATTCAAAATAAATTGGAACTAATTTAATTTTTTCTTAATTCTTAATTATTTTCAATATATTTATTCATTATGCGAATTTCGATAGGTCGTTTTGCAAGCGAAAATGATCGACGAAGTCTGAAATAATACGGTTTGAGGAGAATTTTGAACGCATAAGTGACACCAACGATGCACGCGGATAGTGGTAAAAGGAATAATAGCTTCAGCTAATTTCAGGAATGGCATCGAATCGTATGTTAATTGCCAGTGAAGCGAACCAAATCAGCAAAGTTCTAAGCAGCTAGAAGAATTTATCCATTTATTCATTATTCTTAAATCATGAGATGCTTTCAAATATTTCTCATTCTTTTAAAATTTTTAAAAAATCTAAAATATTAAAAAAATTCGAATATTGCTAATTGCTAATTTTCTGATAAGCAATAGGAAATGATTATCAGCAAATTGATAATTTATGTGGTTTTGCGTTATCAATATTTATTTTTAGAAAAAATTTGAATAGATTTCATGAATATTATTATCATTTTGATTCAAAAATTTCCTAAATCCACATTGTTGCCATTTAGGTGCATTGCAATTGCTCTACTTGGATTTTATGCCAAAATAAATTGAACAGCTCAAACAGTGGGTGGATTGCTGTTATTTCGGAAGGCCGATGCTAAGGTTTTATTTTCAACACAAATAAATCTATCTTTCTAAAATCCAGATTATCCTAGCGATTTACACTTGTGCTTCTATCGCCAAGTGGATCCCTTCTCGAAAAATTCAACAATGCAGCCCTCGAAAATCTAACCAGAGCTTCTTTCCAGTTTGTGCAGAACATCCATTTTCAGAATTCTGCTGCTATTATTTATTTCAAAAAAATTTATTAATTCCTATTTAATTTGTTAATTTTTGTCATATTTTCTATTTTTTTTATTTTTCTAAATTTTATTTATTTTTAACTATTGTTATCAATACATATCAGCACATGGCGTTGTCGCTCTGTTTGGCTGGTTTTCAATAAATAAATCTAATTTATATGAATTTATAAACATTTATGAGGTCAAATAAAATATATAATCAATTAAAAAATAGATTTAAAAAAAAAGATAAATTTGATTTTCGTCAAATTAGATCAAGTAGATTTTTAACAGCTCTCTTACTGGTTAGGCATTGGCTGCGCTGGCTAAGGGTAAGACATTCCCAAGTCGCTCGAATTAACGCCTAGCCATACCTGAGAGTAATGGAAGCCATTGGTTTTTTCACCGTCTAAACCCCTATATGACCGACGTCTACGCTGGCTATATTGTATCAGTCCAATTCTTCTATTCCTTTGATACCATCCATCGTAGGGTTAACCAAGTATTGCGATATGCGTTAATCCACGGATCTGATGGAAAAAAAAAAACCACAACAAATATCATAGATTAAGAAAAATTCGTAGATTCGCAAATTCCTATAATGTTCAATTTAATAATAAAAAGCAAATGAATGTGAGGGACTAAATGTAAAAATATCTCTTAGCGTTAATTTCTTAGTTCTTTAAAATATCTGTAATTTAATAAAATATATTTTTTCCATGACAACATCTAATTTCATCCTAATAAACCTCAAGAGAAGATAGCGGGGTGATGTTGAGACGATTTTGGAAGGGTTCAAGTATGTGATGGCTTCGATTATTATCATCTGGGACTAGGGACTAAATCTGCTATTAAAAAAGAATTGCGAAAGGCTAGCGATCTACCAATGACAATGACAATGTTTCATGATAAGAATAAGATAATTTCATCTTAATTGCCAGTTAAACTAATCACCAAACTAGAAATTTTAGATGAAAAAGAATTATTTTAATATAAGAGATTCAAATAAAAAATTATTTTCAATTAAAATAAATTTAAAAAATTTATTAAATAGGCTTAGGCTTAGGCATAGGCTTAAAACTAGTGGGAGAGTTACGGATTCGTTAGCGCTTCGATAGATCGAAACTGGCTGACTGTTGGAACAATTAAGCAATTGGAATTATTATCGCCATTTAGTGAGGGGCCAGTAATTATAGGCTGAATCCACTGATCGCTTTGCCTATCATTTCGTTCAGATTTTCGCCATTTAGCTCGACGATTCTGGAACCAAACCTGAAAATTGATTGCGAAAAATTAATAAAAGATATTTCTTTGATTAAATAAATATGATTTTTGGAAATAATCGGATTTTCGAAAAATTCATAGAAAATTTTATCGACCTGCACTCTTGCTTCAGGCAATTGAATTCGAATAGCCAATTCTTCACGAGCGAACACATCGGGATAGTGACATTTTTGAAATGCATCTTCCAACTGGTCCAACTAAAATCGAAAGCATATTTCTTAATCGAAAGCATAGTTAACCTTAGCTTTGCATGGAGCCTACCACGAATTATTGAACGATAAGTGAGTATATTAAAATATTTGTAGGCTTGCAATCTGCCAACACCAAGAATGTCTTTTCTAGTAGTCTCAAAAATATTGCAAAATACGGCGAAAATTTTTTTAGCCATAAGCCATATATTTCATAGGGAAAAAATTGCAACAAAAAATTTTCTATTTTTCATAAAACTTAATAATTTAAATTATGAAGCTTTATTAATGTAAATTTAAAATAATGATCAATTTATAGAAAAAGTCATTATCGATTTTGCACTGAAAAAAATTTATAATAATAATTACAAAATGATAATAATAATAATCTATTGATAATAATACTAACGAAAATAATGATAAAAATGTTAATAATAATACTGATAAGATTAAATTTTGCGTAAAAATATTAAAAATTTGCAATAAATTATGAGATTTTTTGAGGAAAAATTTTCGCAACAACACTCTCTTCATTATTATTTTTCTTTATTAACTTCGTTAGCGAGTAAGATAAATTTAATTTATAAGAAAATGAATAAGTTTATTAACCGAATATACGGGGAAAAGAAAAAAAAAGCATTTCACACTTTGTTCGAATTTTATAATTCTTAAAATAATCCAATTTTTTAATTATCTTTTATATAGAATTTATTTAATTTTTAATTTAAGACAAATCAAATTTTACATTTAATAATTTCAAAGAATTTTTTCTTTTTTCTTTGCAATATAAATTAATCAAAAAATTTTTTAGAGAAAAAGCGACAGAAAATTAATTTTTTTTGCATGGAAAAATGAGCACATTTTCGAATACCCATCATTTCTGGCTTAGCTTCATTCATCTGATAAGCTCTTATCAGAACCGACAAATTTTGCCAGCAAGTCACAGCCACTTTATGATCAGTATGTACATCAGTACCGCTTCAGATGAGTCATCAGTACCCCTTGGAAACGATAGTTTTACTAACAATATCCAAGACGCCATCGACAACCTTTTCTTCAGTGATATTTTAAATATTTTATTTAATATTTTATTTTTTTTAAAGAGTTTTCACCATTACTGGTTAAACCCGTTGGCTTGTCGCATTGGACAAATATGCCAAAGAGTCTCTTGGCAATAGAAACAGGTAAGTCGCCAGCATCACTCGGATTTTTGGACAGGCTTGATTCTGCGGGGAATAGAACCTTAGTATCGGCGCTCCAGATTGAGCAATAACTTACTAAGCCATCCTACTCCCCAATATTTCGTGTTGCTCTATTGCAATAAATGGATAATAAAGGAAAATTACGTTGAAAATAATTAATTCCCTTTTAATTAATTTCGCAATTATAAATTGTAAAAGTTGCACTAGTTTGTACTTAAATAAAGTTGGCAAAAAAATGAGTTATTTTTCTTGCGGTTAATTCTTAATTATCTAATGAAATTAAATGATATTTTGATATGATAAATTTCTTATGATATGATAATTTTATAGAATAGGACGGTGAAATGAGACACGCGTTATTTTCATTAAAATCAAATCACCGCATCTTATATTTTTGCCGTCCATTAGGAGTAAAATTTGTCACTAAAAATATCAGACTAAAATAAAACTTTTCTCTCGTTCTTAACGTGATGATCCTCTTAATTGAAAGTTCTTAATTGGTTAGTCTAAGCCAGAAACGGTGAATGGTGAATGGTGAATGGTGAATGGTGAAAGAAGACGAAGAAGGAGTAGAATCTACTTGGTGCATACTGAACGTTGTTCGATTTCTTCGTTGCTTTCTTTTTGACATATTGTCTTCTATCGTCGATGGATAATTTTTGCTCAAATCAAATACATCCTTTCCATCCAAATTATGATTAGAACTGACTAAAATTATTTTATTTCATAAATTTTCTGGATTTTTTATAGCATTTCTTTCGAAATTTATTTATCCATTAATGATCGGTAAAGTTTTAGGCTTTATTGTTGGGAATTTTTCATTTTTTTGAATTTCAGGTGGAATCGATGCATTGAATTTTTTTCTTTTTTAACAGTCCTCACAATTACTGATTAAACTCGCTCCGCTGGCTTGTCGCACTAGACAAATGCCAGAGAGTCCTGCGGGGAATGGAATCTCGCCATTGGCGCAATTGAACAATCAATCCATTGAGTTATCTTATCCCCCAATTATTCAATTATTTTATTCTCATTATTCTTCATTTGTTCGGATATGGTAGAATGGCTCAGTGGGTTGTTGCTCAATTCGGAGTGTCGATGCTGAGTTTCTATTCCTAGTAAGAGTAAATCCGCCCAAAAATCCAAGTGATGCAAGTGGCGACTCACCCGAAATCTGGGTGATGGATGACTTCTATCGCCCAGCGATATTTGTGCAACGGAGCAACAAGCCAACGGAGCGAGTCTAATCAGTTATGCTGAGGGTTTTTTTTAAGAAGAAAAAAATTCTCATTAAATGTGAATAAAACCAGAAATAAAGAAAAAATTACAAGCTGATGGAGTCAAATTTGAAATCTGTCGGATCGCATCAAATGAAAATTTCTTTTTTCCATTAAATTCTAAAATATTTAAAAATTTCATATTTTCGAGAATAATCACAAAAATTCAAACATAACAAACATTTAAAAATGAGTTTTTTTCCGAAAAAATTATGCCTATTGTTGGCCGCTAATTTAAAAACAATTGAAATGTTTAATTATAGAAAAAGATTTATTATTACAATTGGCCTGTTGACTTCAAGTAATAAATTTGAGGCAATAATTAGCTGCAGAAACACCCGGTGAGTCGCCAGCATCACTCGGTTTCTTTGACAGGTTTAATCCTGCGGGGAATCGAACCTCAGCATCGGTACTCTCATAATCTTCCATTTTGCGAAAATTATGAGGCAATGCTGGAGAATCCATTTGCATTTTCTTGAAATATTTTCTTGCAAAGGAATATTTCAGATTCAAATCACATCTATGAATGTCGATGAACGAACAGTACAAACCTTCTTCGAAAACGCGCATTTCTCGCGATGCTAAAGCGCTTAAAGGTGGCAATATTGATGGCCAAATTATTGGCGAATTTCGATACAACGGATATCCAGAAAACATCGTTTTTCCCCCTACAAATAAGAGATTTTTAGTTTTCCGATTTTTACACGATTCGAAAACGATAATGAGAAATAATTTGATTTGATAATAAAAACGATACGAGCGATTATCTTTTTTTAAAAAAAATTAATTCTTCTAAATTAAGAATTTGCTTAAATTAAAATCGTTTTAAATTTTATAGGATTTTTAAAAAGTATTTAAACAACGATCACTTCATTAAATAAACCAAAAATGAAGTTAAATTATTATATAAGAATATCGCTTTAACATAAAAACTCCACCCATTGTAAAACTTTAGCTATTTTCAGTTATAAATATTATTTAAAAAAAAAAGAAAAAAAAATATAAAAATAGATTAAAATAGATAAAATTTTAAATTATTTAGTATATTATTTCCACAAAATTTTATAAATTTTATAAATTTATAAATTTTTACTCATAATTTTTACAAGAAAATTTTTAAAAAATCTTTAAAAAAATAATTGTAAAAAAGAATAAATTGATAATTTTACGAAGCTTATTGACATTTATCCTATTTTCAATAAATTCTGATTTGATTAGTTCCATTGGTTATTTGAGTAAAAAGCGGCATGATAGGGATTCAAACGTAAGATAATTTTGTGCAACGATCATATTCCACCAATATTTTAGACGGCGCTATCCATAAGGTTAATGAAAGATTCCGGATTAATGAGCTCTTTGTAACTGATGATCGAATTTGCTATGTTCGAATTTTTTTCAAAATTTCTTTTGTAGTTTTTTTTCTATTTTCAAAATAATAGGTGATAAATTTTTAGATAAAAAATTCTAAGGATTTGTAAAATTTTGTCAAATCAAATATTTAATGATAACAAATTCATCACAAAAATTTTGTGAATATGATTGAAAAATAGATGAAATATCGCAATAAATATTTGCCAAATAAGCGATCCATTAAATGAGCCTCGAAAAGAAATTAATATGCAATACGTAAAAAATCAACAATTTTATTATTAAATTAAATTTAAAATTTAAAAGCTAATATCGCCTTTATTAATAGTGCAAGGAAAATACAATGAGTAGAATGGCTCAGCGAGTTCATTTCCCTCATACTGGGACTCTAATTCAATCTGGAAAATAGCCTCATTTTCCAAAAGCCCAAATAGCGCTGGACTGACTCATCGCTTCAGCCAAGTCAGCCGAGCAATGGTTTCAGCTTAGAAATAGTTCGATGTATTCTTAGAAAAAATATAAATATAAGTAATTGTAAAAAATTAGTGGGGTCTTTTTTTGTAATGAAAGAGACGTAGCAATAAATATATAAAACCGAAATGCGTAAAATTGTCATTCCAAATTACGATATAGCGATAATAATAAGAGATTAAATTATGTTTCTCGATGCCAGAAATGATAATTTATCCGATTCGATGCGATTTGCAAGGATGAATTCATAGCAAATTTATAGATTTTAAATAATGTCTAAAGCTAAATTTAATTATTTTTTATACATTATTATAGCCGTCTACATTAATTTCAACCTTATCATCATATAAAAATAATTTTTTCGTTTCAATTGAAAACATTAAAAATTATAATAAGCAATAAACGACTGGCTCGCAACATTGAACATATTGATAAAGCTTCGTTGATAATAAAAAGTTACAAAAATATAAGTAAAAAATGAGATGTGTTCTTCAAAATATCCAAGAATAATAAACATTTGCCCGGGAAAATACCCAGGAATATTAAATGAACCAACAATAGATAAGTGACGAAATAAGTTGTATATTAGCACTGTCGAAAACGAAAATTTTTGTTATCAAATCATTCATACCATTCCGCAAGCTTTCTTGTATCCTATGAATTCCAATAAATAATGCAACTCTTATCTTAATTTAAAATTATTTTTTTATCAAGCAAAAAATTTTATCGATAAAATTTTTATCAATAATTGAGAATAAATAAGCTAATAAGATTCGTTTAACTTCGACTTACTTATCATGAATTTATTTAAGTTTTTTTTTCTTATATGATAGAAATATGTGATATGTGATAAAATAGATTATAGATTATAAGAAAGCGTTTTCGAATAAGTAAATTCTAATAATTTTAACGATAATAACGAAAAAAAAATATATACTAAAAACTCGTCGTCTATCTTCCACTTCATTGCTCATCTTCTACGATTAATTTATTTGATTTATTTTGCGCAACAAAAATTAAATTTGTCAGCGAGATTCATGCTTCGAATTTTTCCAACTCAAAAAGCACTTCGTTAAGACGAAATTCAGTTATAAAATAAATATATCCTATTATATATGCATAATAGCGATCCTTTATAATGATAATTTAATTACGCTTATATCTTTCGTCAATCTAATTTTAATTTAACAAAAAAAAAATGTAAGAAGGAAATCGAGCAATTGGCTAGGCTCATTGCTTTTTTTTTTTTTTTTTAAAAGACCTCATCATTACGGGTTCGACTTAAACTACGGTGGTGCCAGGGTGGGTCGTTAACGATAGAAGTGATACAAATGAGTCGACGGCATCATCCGCGGATTTTTGAGCAGGTTTACTCTTGCAGAGAGCTCAGCATTGACGCTCCAAATGAGCAACAACCCACTGAACCCTCAAGCTCATTATTAGCCAAAAACAAATCGTCCATGCCTTTACGTACGTTTAATTTCCTAAAACTATCGATCATCGTTGATTTTAATTTGAATTTTTAAATTTGAAAATATCTATTTAACCTAAATAATTTGGCCGTAAATGTAATAGATGAAGAAAATTAAAATTAGAATTATCATTCTTTATTATTATTCTTTTAACTCTAAAAATGGTACTTAATTAATATATTTGGTGATGAAAGGATAAATGGAAAAAATTAACGAGAAAATCTAATCCACTGGTTTTTTTTTTATGCAATAGAACTTAAAGAAAAAAAAGTAAATTATAATGAAAAAATTGGATTGCAAAAAGAAATCTTAGAAATGAGATCAGCACAAACGTTATCCGAGCTTTTTTCTGATGATCTTTTACAAGAAGAGCCATTTCCGGTTGGACTCACTTAGCTTGGCTTTTCGAAACTGAAAAATCCGGAAAGCTGATAGAAGTACGGATTATTCCCGAATATCATTCGGATTTTTTCAAATTTTTTCTCCTGAACGCAAGTAGAACTAAAAAAATCACTCTCTGCGAAACAATACACAGACAGATTATCTATGTTAACTGATATCTCAGTAAAATAGAGATGAATTAGAAAATTTATGAAATGAATGATAAATGATTAAAATTATTTTGAGTTTTTCGTTACTTTTTTTTCTGTGATAATGATAATGATAATTTTATCTGAAGTAATTAATCTTGAGTGGAAATCAAGTTAAGTTCTTTCTTGAATTCGTGTGATTTTTTTGCGTGACAAAATTTTCTAAATCAAATGCCAACTAATCGTGAATCTTTTCAGCGAAAAACATCTAAATTAACATATTAATTCAGAATTATTAATATGATCGGAAAAAAAAAAATTAAATTGCGAAAAATATTCATGTGTGCTTTAAAAAAAATCAAAGTAATTGGAATTATTTTTTGATGAAAAGAAAAATATAATAAAATAATTCGGAAAAAAATCGCCAAAACGAATTGCCTGTCTAGTCCGACAAGCCAGTCGAACGAGTGCAGTCAGTAATGATGAGTGCTTCTAAAAAAAAATTCTGAAAAAAAAACGGGTCGAATTTCAAGATCACCGATCTTTTAAAATATATTTTACCTTTTTCCTTCCGTATATTTTATATTTCATGAAATAAATTTACTTGTACGCATGAATTTTCTTGCGATACCAAACGATCCACGAAAAATTATATTTCATTTATTCAAAAATATTTCCCATAAAATTTTTTCTAAACATGAAAGATTTCGAATGATTTTCCTATTATTTCAGCGAATTTGAACGCGAATCGTAGAAGTAATTATAGCAAAAAATAATGTGCTGACGAGACTATTTGAGAATTGGGAACGTAATTAAATATCGAGTACCACATTCCACTGCTTAATCATTGCAAAAAACAAACTTTGTGCTAGAATGCAAATAAAATTTCTATAAGCCTAATATATTATGCAAAACTTTAAGGCTTAGGCTTAGGCTTAGGCTTAGAGGTTACTCTCTTCTAAACCAATACAAATTAACAAAAGTGCCAAAAAGTGTCAAATTCGCTACTCGATTTTTTGTCTCACCAAGCGACGCATTGGCAAAATATTTTTGGCTTAACCGGCTGAACGGAATTGCCGATATAAATAATTCATTGTGAAAGAGAGTTAATAGAGTTGAACGTTTCACGAAATTCAAGTGAATAAAAACTCTTCCGCCCGTACTACCGGAAATAAATAATTAAAATCGAAAATAAACTTAAAAATATTCAACCGGAAATCGTTATCGATAAGGATATTTGAATTTTCTAACGTCAATTTCATTAATTATTTTAAATATTTTTCATCAGATAAATCATCTTACGACTTCAGTAGTCATCAAAAAAATCCGACAATTACAATTACAATTTTATTTATTATACTTTTTTTTTTCTAAGAACATTGGCCACATTTTAGTTCGTTAAATTCAGCCTATTGGCATATCGAAAATAGATAAATTTTGGCGACAATTTTGCTACCTCACCCAGCACCACTCGTATTTACCATTCTCGTTCACGTTCACGTTCTTTTTTTTTTTCATGCATTCATTAATCATTTAATGTTTACCATAATATTCTCATTTTACTTAGTAAAACTACTTTGTAGTTTTTCTAAATGTGCTGGCAAAAAATCGAACCTAAAGTCGAAGCCGAACTTTAAGTAACAAATTAAACAATTATGTATAATTATTTAAAATATATATATATATATATCTATATATATATATATATATAAATTATAAGTATAAAATATTTAAAATTGAAATTCTGAGAAAAATATTAAAAAACTGAATGCAAATATTCATGATCTCGTAGTTGTTAAAATATCACTGTTCGGCTTCTTACCTCTTTCTTCTTCTTCTTTTTCTAACAGCTCGCACTGATAAGAGTGGCTCGGGCGGCGATTAGGCGTAAGTCCGCGCAAATTTCCAAGCTATTCGATCCGACGCCATCGTTTTCATCTTTATTAATAGATTCTTGTGGATGCGCTAAGCGCTTCTCTCCTTATTTTTTGAAAAATTTCCCAATCGAATAGGCACAATTCAATCGAACCAAAAAGAAGGCAAAAAAAAAGGTAATTTTTAGCTGAAATTTGCTAAAATCATCGAAATAAAATGAAAATCAAATATTATGAATGGAAATAAAATGAAAACTATTAGAGTAATAAAATAAATAAATAAAAAAAACCAACATTTCTATTATTGAAAATATAAAAAAAAAATATAATTAATATAAAAATTAAAAAAAAATTCTATCCAATTATAAAATGGGATCAATACGATATTGATTCAATTATACGGGTAATTGAGATAACCAACGAATCATTTGATTCAATTATCCGGGTGAATTGAGCGAAAATTGAATCAGAGTTATGTTTTTACTCGAACTTTGCGAAATAAAACTAACTAAGTATCATAAAAATTTGTACCAACAAAAATTCTTTTCTTAAAATAAATTTATAATAATTTTTATAAATTAAAAAAAAAAAATTCATATTGAAATAATACTAAACAAACTCCAATATTTTTATTTTCAATTTAGAAATTTAAGAAATTTAATGAAAAAATTTTTATCTTCGTTGTATTTCAACTATTTATGAGCCTAACCATACTAAATAAAATCTTAAAATTTAGGCTTAGCCTTAGGCTCCACTTTTCGACAGCAATACAATAGGTATTTATAAAAGTATCCTAGAAGATATTGAAAATTGTAACCAATAAATGAATAAAATAAATATTTGGATTCTATTCCTTGAAGCTGTGCTAATTGAAGGATATCAACGAAATTGGTTTATTTAATTCAACGAGCAAATAGGATAACTATCAAATCCACTGATTCAATTATAGAGAAAATGTAGGTAGTCCACAAAATGTTCGCCTTATTCAATTATCCTATTAAATTGAAATTATTCGACAAAACATTCCATTAAAATTAAAAACTGCATAAATATAAAAAGACTTAAAACGAATATTTGCAAAGATTCATTAAAAAATAAAATTCTAAAAAATTCGACCATGAAAATTTAATTGTTTATATAAGCAATGATGCAGACCATTGCCTTTTTCATATACATTATGACCATTGTGTTGCTCAATTGATAAAAATTTAATAACAAACTTGATACGAAATTTTCCAATTCCAGATCTTCCATCATCAAAACTCAACAAAACAAACCAAATACAGACGAAAAAATTGCTTTTTAGTAATATATTCTATTCTTTTTTGTGTTAAAAATTTTTTTACAAATTTTATGCGTTAATGTTTAAATTTTTATATATTTTTTGTGGAAATACAAAAAATAAAAATATTAAAATAAGATATTATACAATATATAACAATATAAGTGAAAAAATCCAGGTCCTTTCGCGTATTCACCACATATCACAAATCTCAAGTTGATAAGAAAAAAATCTGTTACTTTCAGGGATGAGATCGAAGCTGTAAAACTATTGAAAATCTTTAAAAAACAGATTTACGATAAAACGCCATATTGCAATGAAGTTAAAAAGCAATAAAGCTAATCTTATTTTACGGAAAAATAATTTATTGCAAATCGGAAAAATTGTTGCTGAAAAATGATAAGTGAAAATTGCTCTAAAATTTAACCTGACTGATATAAAATTGCCTTTTCGCTTCGATTCCTTTCATTGGAAATGAGCTTAAACCGTTAAAAGCGACCTAGAGTTATTAATATTCAGAATCTCATTATTAAAGGGATAATAATTATTAATAATTATCAATTATTAATTAACAATTATAATCTAGTTTGAAAAATCTCAAAATGAAATAGATGAGATAAAAAATCATTTCTATTCGGAATGAATAAAAGATAAAACAAAAGGACCTCTGCCAGTGATCTAAAATCATCGACGTACTGAGCAATATTACTCAATGAGGCATGCACAGCACCGATTGTTTTACATTCAAGAATGACAGATTCAGCCAGTTTTAATATAGCTAGTGCAAAACGAAAAAGTACCTAAAGTATTCTAAATGATTTAGAAAAAAATAGGAATAAGAAAAGCCTATCAAAAAAAATTTAAATTTCACGGACTATTATTACCTATGCAAATTTATAACAAATCAAATTTATAACAAAAAAGAAAATAAAATATAAAAAGTAGAATTAGAAATAAAGAGTAGAAATCGAAAAATTATAAAAAGAAAAATGAAAACCTTATTTCCTTCATATAAAAATACATCGAAAATTGGCAGATAAATTGTTTGAGGCAAAACATCAACAAAGCATGTAAGAAACCAACTCAAAGTGAACGCTGATAAATCGACTTCAAGTTTTTTTAGGTGACTTGATAACCTTGGCAGTTTTTCGCCAACCAAATCTCGAAGCACCTACAATGAGAGAAAATCGAGATGTGAAAATTCATTAATTAGATAAGGGATCATTCAAGTTCAATGAAAATCGTAGAAAAAAACATGCATCAGTTGCAGACATGATGAATTCAGAATTGCTCTAAAGTCGATGTCTGATATTAGTTCTTACGAACGAACTTACGAACTTGAATGAAATAATTTAAAACAAATATCCAACCTTTTGATCAGCAACAGCACAAGATAATGAGGGAGTGTAGTAATCTGGTGGCTGTAAATATTCTACACATGCTACCAAAAACCAAAAAGCATCACAATCATCCAAAAATAAAAGAGCGATAGCTGCTAAACGATTCAATCCCTGGAATTTGAAAAATTTTATTCTTAACAATAAAAATACAAACTTCTAACCAAAAATATGTTAAATGTATTAACCTGACAATACCCCACAGTTTTATTGTGAAAGCGATATGCAAATAGAACTTTTCGAAGAACACCAATCTTTTCTGAAGTAGGCTCATCAAAATATTTGTTCGTTGGCAAGGTTCGACTCAAATCAAGTTCGATCTAAATTAAAATTAGTTTACAAAAATTTCAAAAAAAATTTCAAAAAATCTGACAAATGGTCAGATAAAATCTTGAATTTGAAGTAATAAAAAAATTAGAAATAATAAAAAAACAGCAGACAGTAAAAACTTTGAACCAAACTGTGGAAACCAAATTGACGAAAATAAGGTTTTCTATCACTTAATTCTATTAATTGATCGCGGCAATAGAAAACCTGTTTCATAGCCCCATCATATTCCTCCCGTTCTTCCATGCGCCGTGCTTTACGCAGCAACAATTCGAAATACCCATTACCCAAATCAGATTTCTGGTCCCCAACAAGATGCATGACCAGGCTGAAAATAATAAATTTGATATAAATTTATTATTTTAATATAAATGCAAAATATCATGATATCATTTTCTTCAACAAATTATATAAATTATTTATAGTTATTGGTTTTTTATACAGATAACCTTCGTTATTGCGAAATATTCATTTTCATATTTACGGCAATATATGAATGAAGCAAATAACAGTGCAAAAAATATTAGCCTTTTCCAAACTCGCTTCCGATACGTTTTCGGCACACCATTCCTAATCAACGATTTCAATTCTGAACTTGGTTTTAGTGGTCGACTAACATTATTAACCAAAAAGCTGTCCCATTTCAATAACCAATCTATATATTGCGGGCTTCTTTCCTGGAAAATTGACCTTTTTATTATTTAGGCGAATTTTTTAAGAGTACAAGTAGAATACCATGTCACGACGACCGATTATTTGGTCGCTCATACTTTTTAATTCAGCAGCAAGATCCAAAACATCACCAGATTGTAAAAGTGGCCGTTTTTTTGCATCAGTTAAATAAAACCCAAGAGAATCGGTCAACCGAACTGAAAAATAAATAATTTATCAAATAACATTCGAAAAAATTGCAATAAACTGAAAAAAATGAGAGAAATTCAAGATTTCAAAAATTTACTTACTTTCATTGGTGCTTCGACCAGGCACCCGATTATTTGTCGCAAAATCTGTTTCATCAATTAGTGCTTCAATAACTCCAGGTTCAAGAACTTAAATAGCGACAATAAAAATAAAAGAATTTTATATTATTTTCATTGTAATATTTCACTGAAAGTTTCGCAGAAATTACTTCACTTCGATGAACAGCTAAAGAGAAAATAGAAACTAAACAACAACTGAAGCTCAACAAAAAACAAAGAAATTAAAATTTATTTAATATTTAATATAATTTGAAATACATTATTAATTAAGAGGAAAGTTAAAAAAATTTAACTTGAAAAAATATTTTTTACCATGATTATTCGCATTTTCAGTTTTAAAATGATTCAAAACAGTTATGTATCGGCTCTTCATTTGATAGTAACAAGCTTCGATGTCAAAATTTCGTCGCACAGCACGTTTTTCACGTTCCTCCAATAATTTAATCACTTTTTGTAAATCTATAAAGTTTAAAAAAGTTCAGACAAACTCACAATAATCTTTTCTTATAATCTGTCATAGATTGAGTAAATTTAGATATGAAATAATATAATAATCCTTTTTTCCAATATCAATAATTGTCCTAAACAATTATTTATTATTTCAATATAACACAGCACTTCTAATTCCAACTATTTAATGATTATTGTAATTAAAATTTTAAAGAAATTGGTGGCAGAGAGAAATTATTTTACAGTACAAATTAGAAAAAAAAATTTGAACCTACCCAAAACTTCTTGATTCAAAAACATATTTTGCTTTCTATAACCTTCAACTAGATCACGCATTTCATTAATGTCACATACAGAAGCTTCATCAAATATGCGCTTCATGCTTTCATCACACTTCATCCCAGCAGAATCAATGAGAATTCCTTCCGGAACAAGTTCTAGAAAATATCAAAACTGAAAATTAATAAATGATTCAGAATCATGAATGCAACGACATTCAACGATTCTAAAATTATCTTTTTAAGAGATTACAATTTTTTATATTTTATCTTAGAGTCGCTCCGCTGGCTTATCGCACCAGATAAATATGCCAGTCAATCCCTTGACCATAGAACAGAGATGAGTCGTTAGCATCACCCGGGTTTTTAACATAAAATAACTAATAAAAAATAAAGCACAATTACCTCTATCAATAAAAGAATCTTGAACAGAACTTGTGCCTTCTTCACACATTTTTACGATCAACGCTTCTTTTGATCTAACTGATTCACGAAATGCTTCAATCTCTATTCGCAATGCTTCGTTTTGTTCGTCTAATTTCCTTAAACAAAAAGATAAAAATATGACATATAAAAAGTGAATATATCCAAAGTATATCCAATGTAATAAAAAACGAATTATAAAGAAAACATGTCAAGCCAACTACAACTATGCATTAAGTGTAAGTAAGTGAAAAATAAAATGACTTTAATAAAAACCTATTTTGTTGTTTCAATGTCTCTACTTGTCTACTATACATAACAGAATTCATTTGTGCGGCTGTTAGAAGACATTCTCGTTCGAGGATAAAATCAATTCGATCAGAAGAATCTTTCAACTCTGTTAATCGTTTTCTATAAATAAAATTCAAATTATTTAAAATTCAAACTGATTATTTTTAATTATTTCAAAGATTTCGAATTACTGGAAATATGCAAAAAATATGAAATTTTTAACTTTTTTAAATCACAAATATCAAATTATCTTAACCACTATCTTGATATGCCAACTGACGATATATCATTTATGTCGAAACAATGCGAAATTTTAAAAACCGCCAAGAACAAATGTAAAAAATTTTGCATTAATCATTAAAGTACGAAGGCAAGAAAAATCTTAAAATTTACGAAATATTTAACAACTACAAAAAAGCGATGAAAATGGAAATAGTGAGTCTTAATTTGGCTAATTTTAATAAAAAACTTGAAATAATTAAAATTCGTCCTAAAAATTTCTAAAATCTACCTTAAAAAAAAAACAGCTTTAATTCGAAATCAATTTTATCTCGTAATTAGCGAGAATTCAAAAATTGAAATATTGAAATTGAAATTGAAAATGATATGTATAAAGGTTATTAAAGATATATTAAATATTAAAGGTTATGACGACTTTATTAGTGAAATATTTTCTTTTTTTCCAATAGCACTCGCTATTTCTAGTTTTAAAAAATCTCTTCGTTAAGACGAGTATCAAAACTAAAATGAAGGAATGTCAGGTTAATGTTTGCTGAAGTCACTTTTCCATCTTGCCTGCCACAATATATTATTTCATATTTCATTTAAAATATTAGAAGGACTGAAAGTGTTTCAGAATCAATCGAAATTCAAATCGCAGAAGCAATTAAGTTGAAATTAAACAATAAAAAAAATTGTTAAAAACCGAAATTGTTAAAACTGACAGCGTGTCAATTTGACGATTAGCTCTGAGAACATTTTGGCGTAAAACTGATCCCAACTCTCGATTAGCAATCAATTCGTCAGTTAATTCATAACAACGCTCTTTCAAATTATTTATTATCTCGATGAGCTAAAATTTTTAAATGAACTTAGCGAAAAGGATAAAACTTCTGGTAGAAACTGGACAATTTAATATAAGACAAACATTAGCATTCACAGTAAAATAGAATTAGGAATAAAAATATTAATATAATATTAATATTTTCACAATTGAATCTTAATTTCATTCGAAATTAAAATTCATATAAAACTAACAGCCTTACACTGAGCACACGATTGTTTTCCAGAAGAGCTATGAGTGAGTGACCTACAATTACTTTATTATGTAGGCAAATAATGTAAATAAAATAATAAACTGATTGATTTCTAATTAAATTTTATAAAATATTTTAGATGAACCCCAAGAAAGAATTTCTACATGACGGAACGATTTCGAAGCCAAAATAAATTTGTCATTGAAAACTGATATATTTTTGAAAAACACAAAATCACTAACCCTAATGATGCTTTTGCTTTTCCAAATACTCTCTTGGCCGGTTCTTCCAAATTTTTACCTTTGGTATGAGTTTCATCGACAATTTTCTCTAGGAAAGCTTCGATACTTCGCAACAAATCAATACCAGAACCATCAGATAAAGGCATTTCAAGACTTTTATCATTGAGTTCGCCTTCACAGTCCAAATAAAATTGTGACTGAGTCTTAAAAAATTACAAAAATTAAAACCGAGATAAAAGTTTTGCTGTACATTACATATATTCATTCTATGAAATTTTTAAAATGGAAAAAATCTTAATGAACTCAAAATATTTTAAGGCTTAGATTACCATACTTCGACAGACTCATTGCCCAACGATTGATTGTCCGGTGAATTATGCGCAACATCTTCTGCGGACTCAATATTAGGCGAACCCGGTGCATTTTCTTGACTATTTTCATCAGTCAAGGAATGTGACGACAAAGAAACAATCTCCTAACCGAATAAAATATGCTTTAAAAAAGTGATTTAAAAAAAAATTAAAAAATTGAATTTTCAAAGATTATCATTACATTAAAACATTTAAACACAAAAAAAAACTTTTCTGCCATCCCCCTGTAGGTGGTAATGGCCATCCTCAATTTCGAGTCCTCTATTAGAGGTCTGGGAGATTCAGAGTTTTAGAATTGCTATATCAATCACCAGAGCTGATTTCTGATTCTTGTCTATCACCAAGATATCTGGTTGACTGGTAAGTACCTGTTCGTCTGTTTGGGAGGGAGAAGACTCGCGAGATCTTTGCTTTATTATCTACGATTTTCTGAGGAATCTCCCATTTAATCTTGGGAGAATCTAAGCGATATATCGAGCTGATGTTCCTGCACAATATACAAATATATATATATTGTATATGACGTATGTGATGACTGAAGAAATAAACTTACAATATTCAACGCACAACTATCATTTTTATCGAAATGATGACGACGATTTTTTTGCAACTGCTGAAGCCATTGAATACGTGATTTATTATCATTTGTCTCCAAAATATGTTCTTCGTCACCAACACTTTAAAATAAAATAAATACTAATAAACTGCCTTTTCTAAATAATTAAGTAATCAAAGAAAAAATTAAAAATTTACAAAATTATAATATTATCTTTTCAGAATTTTTTTAGAAATTTATTATTCTTAATAAAATTTATAAGAAAAATTTCATAAAAAGATATACAAATTAACTGAGCCATTAAAGATTCCTACTGAATTTCAAAACGACCAGTCTCACGAGGATCGAAAGTAAATGCTGCACCAGATAGACAAAGTCGACCCAAACATTTCACATCTCCTTTATTTTTATACCAATATAAATAAGGTGAATCTTCAGCAACCGCGAACCAATAGCGCCGTTTTGTTGTTCCTCCAATTGTACGTTGTTCAATCTGCAAACTTTAAGGTTCTCTATGTTTTAAACATTCAAAAATATTAATTTTAAGAAAAGTTAAAAAAAATTTTTTGATAAGATTTTATTATTTTTAATCAAATTACTTATTTATTAAAACTGGATAACTGAAATAATGGTGTTATATAATCAACAAATGAAGCACACTTTCCGTATTTATTCCGAGTAAATTTAACATCCAAAAAATTTCTGATAACTTCGATTCATTTATCAATTGGATAATTTTATTACTAGGAAATAGAAGTATAGGGTGAATTTCAGCACTACTCGATTTTTTTATTATAAATTTTTATTATACGGCAATGGATAGACGATAAGCCACAACGCTGGAGATTATAATCTAAGTAATAGATATTCTTTATCTGCTATGATTAAGCAAAGGATAAAAAATGATAAATGTAATGATCTTAAGCGTTGCGCAATCGCACAATTGATAAGACTTAGGACGATAATTTTTAAAAATGATAAGAATGATAAGAAAATATATGATAAGAAGCAAGCAAGCATTAATAATCAATGAAATAACCTTATTCATATAGCCGGCAAGACGGCCAAGTATTATTGTTTCCTTTATGGACATCGACTTATAATATCACTTATAATAATTTAAATTTACAATAATAAATGAACATTTGGTTGAATTCAAATTCAAATCGTTTTATTTTTTTTAGAGGTAAAAAAATTTGCCAAGGAAATTTTCTAAAAAAATTAAAACAATAAAAAAAGGGTATTTTAACATCAGTAAACGATTTCGCATAGTACCATACTTTTTTAATGGTCAACAAATTCCTATAAAAACAAAAGACTCGAGGATTTTTTCCCTGACCCCCTCCCCCTCACCGCTAACCCTCACAACTCCCTCCCCTCTCCCTTTCCGCGATCCTTATCTGCCGAGCTATAAATAAAATCAAGAAACAATGAATGACTTATTTGGTACACTATGAAATCGTAGTGCCCGGAAAGAACGCCACAGCCCTAGAAAAATTTTTTGTCGGCCCATCCGATTTGGTGAACTTTCGTGAATTGAAATTTAACCAGATCCCTTCCTGGGAATTGCTTTAATCCTAAGCGAAAATGCAAAAATAATGACAGAAATAACAAATAATAGTTAATGATAGTAAAATGGTAATAATGATAATAATAATAATAATAATAATAATAATAATAATAATAATAGATAACAATAAAATAATTAGTAATAATATTAATAATATTAATATTAACATTATATTAACATTAACATTATAACATTATAACGTTAATAGCATTACTGATAATAATAATAGTAATAATAATAGTAACAACAAAAATGGCAATAATAATAACGATAATAATAATACTAATAATCGTAATAGTAATGGCAATAATAATAATAAAACTAATAATAAATAATAAATAGTAATTAATAGCAATTATGATAATAATGATCAATAATGGTAATAATTAATAGTAAGAATAATAAAACAATAGATGCTGAGATTCGATTCCCCTCAGGAGTAAACCTATACAAAAATCCGGGTGATGCTGGCGACTCACCCGGATTTCTATCGCCAAGGGACTCCCTGGCATATCGCTCAATTGCGACAAGCCAGTGGAGCGAGTTTAACTGGCGAGGAATCTCAAAAAAATAAATATTGATAATAATAATCATAACAGTAATAATAACAATAACACCGATATATTTCTAACATTAATAGTAAAGGTAATAGCAATAGTATTGTTATCTGATGCCATTTTTGAAATCGTCGCACATCTGTTGGACCATTTATGCCATTCGATGTATCTCCTCAGTCCATAGGTTGATTGACTATTATGGTGTCATATCATTCGCCACAAGATTTGGAATGCATCGAGGTATGTTTCACTGAATGACAAAAGGCTTGGCTTAATTTTTTTGACGATACCATGAATGTTTGAGTGGAAATTGATGCAACTGTGTGAGATTCTAATAATATCAGCCACACCAAATTACACCAAAATAAGCAATTCGATGTAAAATAAAATATAAAATAATAAAAATAATTCGAGGAGACATAGGCTGTGAAGAAACTGATAGCATCAATGGTACCAACGATAATAAATTCGATAGTCTACGTTGGTTATTTGGAACTTTTCACCTATCACTTAGTTGTAGAAGTATAAATTAATTCAGCAGTCGAATTTCGCTTTTAATAATAGATTTATTGGCGTCAACTTTAACATTTCAACTTGTAATGCCTTCATCTTAGAGTTGAAGTCGAAGAAACATATCACTCAATCATCAAATGCAAAAAAAAAATTATTCTATAGCGAATGATGAATTGAAAAAAAAAATCTATAGGAAACTGAGATAAAATTGATGATTTGATTATGAATTGATAGTGATAAATTTAATCAGAGCATCTTGATGAAGAAATGCTTTGTTTTCATTCGTTATTATGAATAAGCTAAAATTTAAATTTTTTCAGTTACTGGAAATTTATATTGCTAAATTTATAAATTTTATATAAATTTATATGATAGGCCAGAGACTCCCAAAGTAGGTCCATAAGGCCTCCTGGAAATCAATGCATCTCAAGAGATTAAGATTAACCACGGTTTTATAGAAACTCAAAGATCGATAGGAGATCAGTGGACAAATCAAATAATCATTATACTTCTTTTTAAAATCAAATCATATCAATGAAAAATAGTATAATAGTATGGCAACACATATGTTTCAGTACCGGCGTTCTTATTGCTTTGATATCAATAATTTCTGTTTATTTTATTGCAAAAAAAAAGTCTTCATGATAATAATTATTGTGTTAAATAAACGAGATTGTTGACAAAACAGAAATTATTGATAAACGAGATTAGCTGCAACTAGGTTGGTACCAAAAGACCTTTTTAATATTTATATGCAAAATTTTTATCGAGTGAAAATTCTTAAATTTTTTTAATATTTCAAAAGAGATATTTAGTTTTAATCACAAAAAATCTCATTTTCATTTTTTTCTTTTCATAATTTCTCATAATTTGCGAAATTTTCGCGGATTCAATCAAATGAAATTAATGATTCGGGAAAAAAAATTAATTCTTTTTTAGAGGAATAATGGGAAAAATATTTATAAGAAACGGTCGAAGCAAAATATTTTCTCCCAATTTCCTTTGATTTTTCGTAAATGAAAATAATTTTTAAACAAATCAAATTCGTCAGGTCAAAGGGCATTTTTTTTTCCATTTTTTGCACAATAAATGAGCCATTCTTATTTAATTTAAAATTTTAAAAAATTTTTATAAACGATTTTTGAATTATTTTTAAACTATTGTTTTGCTGTATTGTTGTATTATTTTCAGTTTTCTTGCGATTTCTATAAACAATAAAATTTTATTTAAAAAAACAACAAAATAGAAGCAATATAAAGAAAAAACATTCGGCCAATTAACAAATCTCCATTTTGTCACGAAATGCAGAAAAACAATTGTTGGAAGCCAATTTGGCCGAAACCAATTTATTACAATAATATTTTGTTTTTCCAAGAGAGTGATCATTACTTTTGTTTAGGTTTGCACGACTGGCTTGCTGTCGCACTAAGCAAATTTTCAGTTATGAAATCACTTGATGATAAGCATAATATATAAATAGATCGCTAGCGTTATCCGAAATCTTGAAAGACAACTTCATGAGTGATAACTCATTAAGGTTCGACAATGAGAGCAATAACCCATTGAGCCGCTGCCTTATAAGACTTTTCTTCCGTGGAATTTACAAAATTATCCGTAATCAGTCATCTCACATATATGTCACATTATTGTAGCGCAAGATATCTATTGTTCCAATATTTTAAACTTTAGGAATAATTGATTCGACTTTTTCCGAAAAATAGAAAAAAAACTTCGAAATATATGGATGAAAATAAATTATCATTCTTATTTGTTAAGAAAACTGAATCTTTTTTTTTGCAAAAATATTGTTTTCCAAAAATGCCCAATTGCCCAAATTGCCCAAAAATAAAAATTTTATTTCTAATAATATAGCATAAAAATTTCTAACGAATATTTTAATATTTAATGTTCGTAAAAATTATAAAAATAAAAACAAAAATTATAAAAAATTATAAAAATAATTACAAAAATTTTTCTAGTATTAAGTTTTAAGATTTAAAAAATAAAAAATTTTAATTTTAATTGATCGACTTTAGTCTAAACCTGCGCGTCATTAAAGGAAAATTTTTATATCCTGCGGATACACATTGCATCCTCAGGATTAGTCAGTAACAGTGGTGAATGCAGTGGTGTAAATCCAGTGAAACTAGAATATTTGTCCAAATGAGCAATAACAAAATAAAACTATTATTTTTGGGGAAAATACATAATGCTTTGGCTGAGTCTTTCAGCTCAAATTCCTTTAGGACTTTTATAATTTTTGTATTTTTGCTCGTTAGTTTCTTATCACAGTGACATTTACAGTAATATCATAATAATTTAACGCTAAACTACTTAAATTCGTAAATTCAGTTGGAATTAACTAGAACTTTTGGTACTTCGATGGTATTTTCCCTTATTCTTCTCTACCTCTAATGAGAAAGCACATAGGAATGTCAAGTGTTCAAAGAAGCAAAAAATAAAATAAAATAACGGAGAAAAAATAAAAAAAATAAAAGCTAATTTTATATTGCCATATATAATTCAACTTCATTTTGACCGGAAATCCTTCGAATCATTTTAAATATGAGCAATAAAAATTATTACAATGTGTAGGATTTTCAGAATTTATTGCAAAAAATTTGATTGGATTTGAAGATCTATTGTTTAATAATAAATCTACGAAAATATTTATTTATTTTTTAAGATTTTTTTTGAAATTTTCTTTTTTTTCAGGAAGAATGTAATGAATTTTATTCTTCAATAGCCACACGTTAAATTTTACTCGTTAATATTTTTCGAATAGCTCTGATAAGTTTTTATAATCATCAAATATAATAAAAATAATAACAAATAACAAAATAAATAAATTTTTTATAATAATAAAAAAAAAATTATATCAATATGTGCCATATTATTTATTAAATTTGAAACGCCGAGTTCCCAGCGATGGAATGGCTCAGTGGACTCTGGGTTGTTGTCCATGCAACAACGTTGTGAGTTCCATTTTAGTAAGGACTGCGCGTTTCTTGAAAGAATTGCGGTGATAATCACTTCGAAGTTCATTTAAAGTACGTCAAAGTACATTTTTTTTGAACTTCCACAGTACATTTTGATGATGGACAACGTGAATTTTTGTTCAATTCGGTGTAAAAAAAATTTCACAAAAAATTTGCAAATTTAACGTTCCGATTCACACATTCGTTTCACACTTCATACATGTTTTTCCAAATTTTTTTTCTTTTTTTTCATTCCTACACATCCTTAACAATAATGTCGTTTGGTATTGGTGCGCAATATTTATGGAATATGAACAAAGCATGAATTTTGCGCACTTTGAGAGAGTCATAATGATCGCTATGCGACATTAGAATGTTTTAAATAAATGTGAAATGAAGCCAAACAAGGAAATGAAATATTTAAATTTGGTAATATGTAAATTATAAAAATTAAAATGCAATTGTTTAGACCTATCGAAAAGTGAAATATGATGAAAAATGATATGAACGATTAATTTATTAAATATCCCTCTCCGCTTCTCCGCTCTCCAAATATTCCTCTAATATAAATGTGTTAAACGCAATAACCGGTGGAACTCGCCAAATTAGAAGACGAAAGACGATGTTCAAACCTCAAATATAATAATTTTATATATAAATTTAGTTTATTTGCTTTAAATAATTACTGCTTTTGGTCAAATTTACCGACACAGAATTTATCACTATATTGCATTTTTCATAGGTAGCGATTTACAAAGGAATAAAAAAAACCTTCGGCAGTAGTGTTTCAAAATGATAGTGTGCAATTACGTGCATTATTTTATTTAGGGTATGAACGGAATGCTTCGCAAAAACCGTATTTAAGATATCCTTTATAACGAGTGCTCGAATAATTCAGGTATGTTTCATAAATAATTAATGGTGGTGCAACGATTTAAGAAAATCGTAAGTACTGTACCGCTTTAGAACTTAATTATTTTCAATGGGATCAATTTAGAAAATTATTCGTCTTTTTCAGTATTATAGCTAAATTAGTTAAAATTATAAGTAGCATTTGAAAATACGCAATAGAATTGTATAAAGGAGAATAGATTATTCATAATTTCTAAATTAATAAAATCAAATTCTTCATTTACGATCATTTTTTTTCAGGATGTAACTGTAAATTTCATTTTTCAAGATACAGGTTATCAGCCGCCTAATGGTACCTTAATGGTACCATGACTATTGCATTCAAGCACATACCGAAAACCACTGAAAGCCGTAGAATGATATGATTGAGTTTTGAAGAAACGAAATTATGTAAAAATATTCTGACAAAAAAATTTTCCACAAAAAATTAATAATATGTTATTTAACAATATGTTTGCTTAAAATTAATAAATTAATTTTTTTTTGCGAAATCAATGAATATCGAATAATTTAAAAATTTTTAATGAATAAATAAATATTCATATAATGGAAAAATATGAGAAAATTTCAGGTAATGAAAATCTTATTACTCTCTGTGACATTATCAGTGGTCGTGTTGGAAGGTGAGAAAATAACTCGAGAAAATATGCCTGCGGCAAAATATTATGATGGAAAGAAATTCGTTATACCAATTGCACATAAAACGATGGAAGATATTCGCGATCGATGGTTGCAGCAAGCAATGAGTGGATTAATAACTGGAGTTTCGCTAAAAAAGTTAGGCAAATCGAAGAATGGTTGCAGTGCCATAAGTTTGCCAAGATTGCAAAAATTTGAGAAAATTTGTAATGCTTAAAGGGAGATAGAATGGCTCAGTGAGTTATTGCTTTTATTTCGGAGCGCTGAAGCTGGCGTTCTATTTCTGGCACGAGTAAGACTATTTTTTCTATTATACTGGCGATTCATCAAACCCCTATCGCCAGATGGCTTCTTGACGAAATTTGCTTGTTGCGAAATGAGAATTGAATACTTTTAGAATAAAAAAAAAGAACAATTAATTTAGAAGTGTTAATCTCAGTCCGGAAGGCAAAATTTGGCTTGAAACTTGTGCAAAAAGATCGAAAACTGTCAATGAACAAGCACGTTGTGCGATCAAAGCATTTGAATCTGATAAATTATACAAAAAAGACACCCCCTATCGAGGAACCAAAATTGCACAAAGTAAAACATTGTGTTTTCAGTTGTTCTAATGTTTTTTTTTCTCTCAACAAAAACGATAATTCAATATTTAGGAACATTTTTGTGGCAAATTAAAGAATTCCGGAATACTTTTGGCAGAAATGTTAAATGATTACGCCAAAAGATTGTTATCTCTTCATTGTCATCCAATTTTCTTAACTATCTTTGGTTTTATCACCTCTCTCCCCAATTCCCTCCCCCAACCCTCACTTACTTCTTCTTCTTCGCCAGAGAAGAGAAAAAAGTGGGCCTCTAGCACCGCTCGAGTTTTGCTCATATCAAAAAAAATCAATTTGAAGGAATTGAGCGATAACCTTCACAAAAATACCTACAGGCTATTTAAAGAAAAATTTACTGAGAAATTTACTGAGACACTTAAATTTACTTTAAGAATGGCAAGTTTTTTCGTCGAATAAGCATCACAATCAACCGAACGGAGATGAATGGATTGGCGGCTTTCATGTTTCTCGAGCAAAACGTTCCGACAATAGAAAAGCCAATATCATTTCACAAAATAATTATAAATTGTTGACAGAGAATACGAACCGTTCACCATTTGGATTTATTGCTCAATTTTTGAAGAAAAATATGCAATACATAAAGAAAAAAACTGATTCGAAACCGTTAGCTGCAAATTTTCATTTATTTTTTCATTTTCAAAAAAAAGAGATTTATTATTTCTCATGGAAGTCAAATGTAGGAAATACAATTTTGAAATGGATTTATTCTGGATTATAATCTTTGGAATTATTGTGGAATTCGGAAAGCATATGAATTCCGCGATTAAAACACCCAAATACCGTAATAGGATCGATAAAAAAATTTATCATTCTCTTCTATAAAAATGAATCGATTAATGAAAAACCACTGTGACAAGTGGTTTTTAAATTTTTTGTTTTAAGGAACCCTTTTATAGCTTTTAAGAATTCTTGTGGTTCTCTTTTTGTTTTATAAATATGGCTTCGACTCTGAGTATTCCTGAAAGAACTTCGAGGATTCTAGGAACTCTAAGATAACGCGAGGCTCCTAGTGCGGAGCCTCTTCACGTCTTTCATCTATAAGCTTTTTTATTCAATTTATTAAATTTATAAATTGATTTAACAACTATTCTATGATTCAGTAATATTTTAGTTGGTTTGCTGTAGTCGCAGAAGCTAAACAGCTAGAAGCAGAATTGAAAAAGCACGATGCATTGAAAAGAGGCTTAAGGCGAAAATTAAAGCTGTTGTCCGAAGCTCGAACTAAGGAATTATCTTTGGATGAGAGGCGCGAATTGAATAATCCAGATGTATTTATTTATTTATCTCAAACATTAGAAATCTTAAATTTTACTTTTAATGCTTTCATCAAAAGATTACTTGGATTACAAGCATCAGCTGGAAATTTTTTAAAATTATTCATAAAATTGTACTTTTTTTTAAAAAATGATTTTAAGGATATATTTTTATAAAAGATTAAAATTAATGCATTAAGATATTACCGATGGAGGGGGATTTCGAAAATATGCCATTGGTTATAGAAGATAAACTTCGCGCTAATGGGAAATCGGGAAATATTAAAGAACTAATGAAACTAGCACGGCAAGGCATATCACTCGGCATGTCATTAGCAGGAAAAAATACAACCAGTTTTGGCAAGAAAGTGCTTAGAGTAGGATCACCGCGATTCTTTTCTCTCGTACCTGATGATGATTCTGATGATACCGTAAGTCAACTTTTTTTTGGAATTTTCTCGAGGTACCATTTTTATTAACAAAGTATTTATTGGAAAAAAACAGCATTAATTTAATATTTTTCAATATTTTCAATATTCAATACTTTTTTTCAATATTTTTTATATATTTTTGACAGGTAAATCTCCTCTCACCATCATTATTAAATATGCATGACAAGGGGAACGATGCCGAAAATTTAGTCAGTATTCCCAAATTACTGAAAACTTTACGATCATCCAAATTTAAAGATCATGAAGATTTGTTGAATTTGATTTTTGAAGCGAGCGGGATTAGCGATCATTTGAAGAAGGCAAAGGTTATAATTTTTTCATACACTAATAAAAAAATTCGTCATACGAATGAATAGAAAATTTATTTTACTATAGGCTAAGATAAATATGATAAATGGGAAAAATTATTTCCTCAAAGATATTTTCGTGGCTGAATTATAGAAAATTGAATAAAATTAGCCTCCCATCCTTCGTATCGAATTCTGTTATACGGTATTCGAAAAATTCCCATTAAAATAGCTTAACATCTGCAGAATGCAAGTAGAAGGCAATTCTCGTATTATCAGCGATTCCCACCAAAATTATCAGCTTTAAAATGTTATCTCCTTTAATTCGATGTACTTCGAATAAGATGATGCCATCATTGTGTGAGTTACAATCCGTTGTAATTTATACAACAATATTAAGACAATAAAGATGAAATAAATTAGAAATTTTCTAAGAAAAAATAACGAATAAAATGCAAAACACGATAAGATATGAAAATACAGAATACAAAAAACAACAAAATATGCTGTTTTAAGAAGCCGTAATAATAGCCTCAAGAATTAATATTAAAAATTAAGAAGGCATACAGTCGTAGAGAAACGAATCTTTACAAGTACCAAGATGCTAATAACCAAGATTTTGGCAGGGCTTTAAAGAAGTACAGAGAGATATAAGAGAAAATTAATCAAGGAAAATGCATGGTGGTGCTACAACTAGGTTTTGAAGAAATAATATGGCAAAAAGAAATTTTAGAAAGCATTACTGATGGATTTTTGATTTTGAAAATGAGGCATTGATAGTGTTAAATGAGCTTCCAGAGTGCAGAGTCTTTTGCAGCTCTTAGAAAATTATTGTATTTTTTCTTCTAAAGGGCTTTTTTAAAGAATCTATTATTGGTTTAAGCTGCTGCGCTGGCTTATAACATTGGACAAATGGAGTCTCATGGAGTCTCTTGACGATAGAAATACAAATGAGTGGCCAGCATTATTTTGGACAGGTTTACTCCTACTAGAATCAAACCTCAGCATCGACGTCCTGAATTTAGCAACAAACCACTGAACCATTCTATCCCTAAAGGGTTAAAAATAGTTTGTAGGCTTTAATGAGATATGTATTCAAGGAATTAATTGTTTAAGGAATGAAGGATTTGTAGGATAAAGGATAAATAAGATTTTGAGGAATTTTTGACAAAATATAGCAATTTTTCTATGGAATCAGACGACTTCAATTCAGAAATGTCAAAAGTTGGCAACCTAAAAAACGCATTTTCATTTTTTATTGATTAACAGACAAATACTACCAAATTCTAAAATAAATACCAAACTACTAAAAATTAAATAATAATTTTTAAATATAGTAAAATGGTAAAAATGGTAATTTTAAAACTTTAAGTTTTGCCGCCATTCTTTAGCAATTGGTAAGAAGAAATTACAAAATACGCACATAAGATAATAATAAGGCAATAAGATAAAAAATATCTGCCTTAATTTCAACTGTCTTCGATTCGTGAATTTTTGCCACACTGTACAAATGCCTTTATTGATGTTTAAGGAAAAATTACAAGCAGAAAACTTGAAAAATGCCAGAGGTATCGACGGTCAACCATTGTATTTCACGAAAGAAAATGTCACCGAGATGTTCGGTGATTTCGAAAAACACAAAATTGAAACTTTCGAAAAATTGCACAAAACGTTTACTAACCAACAGGTATTTTTTTCAGTCAGCATTAAATTTTTTAATAATTATTTTAATAATTATTAAATTTATATATCAATTTAATAATTATTAATAACTTACAATTTTTATTATCTAGCTGAATTTTCATATTATTATCTTCATAGATCTCACGTTAGGGATGGCTTAGTAGATACGTATCACTCGAGAACGCCGATATTGTGGTTCTGCTTCCATCAGGAATAAATCTATCAGTCAAAGCTCCGGGCTATATTAATGATTCACTTGTGCTTTACTTGTACCAAGTGACTACTTGAATTTGACTGGCCCGACAAGCCAGCAAAGCTAACCAGAAATGGCTTTTAAAAAAAGAAATTTCTTGATACAATAATTTTAAAAAAAATGCTTAATATTTAAAATACTATTTTAAAAAATGTTTAAAAGATAAGAGAAAAATCTGGAGAGCACTTTCTATTTCTTTTAGAAAGCTGACTTGAACGATACAGGATTGACGACATTAACTCGCGAGCAATTATTCCTTATCTATGGTAAAGATTCACCTTATCAAGATTTGGCGACTCTTCATAGATTGACAAACATAACGAATGATGACCATCTTCAAAAACTCATAATGGACGACATACATGCGATAGCGAAATCTAAGAATATTGCTGTTAAAAAAGGAGACCGGCATAAAAGGCAAGTAGTCCTTTCACCTGCTGCTTTGAGTGTTAGCGTTCTTAGAGTCAGCAGAATGACGCCAGTAATTCTTTCGCCAGCTGTGCTGAGTCCTTCTGTTCTTAGTCCTTCCATTCTTGGCCCAGTGATTCTTAGTCCGGGGCTTTTCAACCCCAGCTTTTTATCTCCCAGGCTTCTAGGTCCTGTTATTCTCAGTCCCGGAGGCTTTGGTCCTTTAATATTAAGTCCCGTGGCTCTAAGTCCAGCAGTGCTATCGCCTGGAATCTTTGGTCCTGCGGTACTCAGTCCAACAGCTTTAAATCCATCCGCTTTAAATCCAGGTTTTGGATCACCTGCTGTCCTTTCACCCTTTATTCTTAATCCTGGTTTACTCAATCCCTCTGCATTATCTCCACTTGTTTTAAGCCCATTTGCTTTCTCACCTTCTATATTATCGCCATCATTCTTTTCTGCTGTTATTCTCAGTCCAAATGCTTTTTCACCTGGCATTGCTTCGCCATCACAAAATGTAACCGTTTTATTTTCGCCGTCGTTTTTTAGTTAAATAAAAAAAATAGTATTTAAACTACAAAAGTGTTTTTTTAAAATCATAATTTGAATTTTTTCTCTTTTTTCTGTTATTACATCTTTCCATTGATAACCTTATCATTAGTTGTATTTGATAATAAAAAAATTTAAATTCCAGTGATTAAAAAATAAATTATTTAATAATCAAATATACAATTCATTTCAACATATAAAAGCAAAATATAAAGAAATAGTTTCAGCTTTATAGTAATTAATTCTTTTTTAATTCTCTTTAGAAAAAATTTCAATTCAATTTTTTTTGCTAATAAATTGTGAATCGACTAATTAGTCGATAAATTCTCGATGATAAATCCGCAGAAAGATGATTAAAGCTGATTTCTTTTTTATCAGAGTCCTTTTTTTTTTAAACTTTCAACTTGGAAATTCATCCTTTACCCTTTCATCCTTTACGCGTTATTGTCGAAAATAATTGTTATCACCTGCTATCAGCTGTTATTAATAAGCTCCAAAATACAACAACTGTATTCAAAATATGGTAATGAATAATATAAAAAGTACCGACCGTGCAAGGCAGCTTCTAAAATAGGATTAGGCAAAGGGGCACCAATAAAATCTTCTACAATTAACAAAAAATTGAACCAAAAAATTCACAACACAAGCTGATAAATCATCCATACACCATACAAAATAACTAACCAACTAAAAACCATAATTTCTCTAAGTGCAACAACGACTACGGAAAAATAATTACGAGAACCAGAAATTCATCCTCACTTGTGTTTGAGCATAAACTACACATTCAATCGAAGTAGTCCTTAAAATAGCATAAATCTCACCAAAAGAACCAAACGCCACCTTGTTACCAGTCAAATAAAATATAAAAATAAACAAATGGCCAATTCAATTAAAATCATTTAAATTAGTGGACATAAAAGATTTAAAATCAATCACTCAAAAAACAACTGAGAGGCACTAAAAAAGAAAAAAATTACTGGCAATAATCGAGTTATTGCGAAACAGAGATTTTAAAAAAAGTCCATCAATGTTGTTCGATGCAATGTTTGAAATTAAACAGATGGAGTTCGAAAAAAATTATGGAATGGTATAATTATAGAAAGCCAACATCAGAAAATATGAAATTTAAACAAAACGGAAACAATGGAAACAAAAAATGGAAAACAAATTCAGGTTTTTTGCAAGAGAAATTTTGCTTTTTTCGGTTTACTTTTCTTTTCATTTTTTATTTTTTTTTTTCTTCCCTAATTTTATTTACTTTATCTTTGACAGGAATAAACAACTTTCCATGATTTCAAAAATTCGTATGGCTGCTGGGGACTCACCATTAACTCAATGGTGGAAGGGTCTGATCTCGATTGGCGTGATATCCTCAATTCCAGTGGTACACATGCAATCCGATTTTATAAGATTCAAAAATGAAACTGGAAAATAGGATAAGCCATAAATGCTATTAAAGCTAGTTGGAGGTTGCAAGCCAACTGATCACTATTCGTATTCTTTCTTTCTAAATATTAGATGGATTTCACTTGCTTGTTGGTAATCCATCTTCCTCATTTCGAGCTATTACTAAACTATATAAGGCAAGCTCCGAGCGAAAGTGCTGGCTCTATGACTGTGGTATTTCAGATAACTCGGCACGAAATGGTTTAAAGATTGTCATGTCTAAAAAAGCTCGGTCCGTTGCGATTGAGTGGAAGTCGGTAAAAAGACCGTATGGCCTATGCTCTCTTCCAAGGAATCTTCTGCAATATTTCAATATAGGTGCTTCAATATTGGACATAGAAAATAAAAATAAAAGTAAACTGAAAAAAAAAAACAAAATTTATCTTAAAAAAAGCCTATTTATCATTTAATTTTTTGTAATTTTATTGTATTCGTTTTGTTTAAAATTTGTCTATTTTATATATATAAATTATATATAAATTATATATATATATATATAATTTATAATTTATTTTCAATTTTAATTCATTGTTTTAAATTTCAAGTGAAACTTTGCTTAAATGCTTGCTATAAATTTCAAAGCACTAAAAATAGATTTTGCACAGTGGAACAGAAACGACCGCTCAGGAAATAATAAAACTTTAAAATTCACTATCATCTATATCTCCTATTCGCCTTATACGATGCTTTTATATCGAATTTTAAAATAGGTTTTTTTATTTCAGATATTTTTTTAAAAAATTTTAGCACATCCTATGGAAAGTCTTGAATGTTTTAAAAGTTTATATATATAATCAATTATTACGTATATAGTTACTTCGAATTGTAATATTTTGTAATTTCCTCTTTAAATTGTTAATTTTTTGTCATATCTTCTTTTTCTTTTCTTATTATTAATATTTATTATTTTTTATTTCAACTGTTGTTATTAATACAAGCAGTTGACGTTTATCCTACTGCTTGGCTGGTTTTCAATAAATAAAAGATCGTCCTCATCGAAAATCTACGCAAAAAATATGAACAAACATGAATAAAGTTTCTCGCTTACAATGTTAAATGGTTATGGCGAGTTTTATTGTGGGTTTGGAAATTGAATATTATATTATCCATGAGGAACCAATCAAATTATAAGGGTGATGCTACACAGGGTTTCATTTCTCGTGTGACCTGCATTTTTCATTTAATTGGCCTTATGAATCGCCAAGGCTCTACTCTATTCTAATTCGCTACCACTTAAAAACATCTTAATTTGCAACTAGAAGAGTAACACTATAGAGGTTTTCCTGAGGAACACAACTTCCATAACCATTCTCTAAACTATTGTTATTATTATATATAAAAATACGGCCAGAAGATAGAGAATCAATCAAACAATACCAAAGCTACGGTAAACAACAAGGAACTTTTATTAACAATCAACCTCTTGAAGAAAATTTAGATTTCTCCAACATAATTTCAGTTTACGACTAATTAAAATGAAAAACTTATAAAACTATAAAACTTAACTTTGTCTTTTCTGTGATTAATCCGATTTTCCGATTTATTTTTTAAATTTTTAAATTATTTAGAAAACAAGTAAAAAAATAAAATTCCATCCACTTAATTTCAAATATTAAATCCAACAAAATTGATGGCTTTTTGTTGATTTCGTTTTTTGCAATCATACAGTTATTGCCAGTGTTTTTCTTTCATTTTTGGTGCATCTGTGCTACCGTTTTTTTACTATTTGTTTTTGTGTTTTTTATTATATTTTTTATGTTCATTATTTTGAATAATTTTATTAATTTGATCATACTTGTTTATTGTTATATTTTATTTGACTGCTAACAAGGAGGTCCTTAGCCTTGGTTCTTTCGGTAAGATTTTTGCTATTTTAAGGAATGCTTTAATTTTAAGTATGTAGTTTGTGCTCATTATATATATATGTATACATTTAATTATTTTTCCATAGTTACTTTAGTCGTGGTAGTCGCTCTTCTTAGTGAGATTATAGTTTTTAGCTGGTTAGTTATTTTTGCATGATATACGAATGATTTGTTTGTCTTTGTTGTGGATTTTATGGTTTAATTTTTTGCTTATTATGCATGGCTTCACTTGTGTTCTTTCGCCTAATTTTAGTTCAGATGTTGCCACGTATGGTACTTAATATAATTTTTAAGTATGTTTTGAATATAGGCTGTGTTTGATGTCTCTTGTGGTATTTGCTTTCGGTGAATTGTTTTTATCGTCGCTTTTTTCTATGAACTATTTTAATTTTGAAGAGAGTCTTATTTTTTAAATTTTCTTTTTTGTTGTTGGGCTTATTGCTGATGATTTTTTTGTTAATTTGTATATTTGGTGTACTTAGTATATTTGTCTTTTATTTTCAAAGTTATTGATTATTTTTATCATTTGTATATTTATATATATATTTATTGTTACTTATTATTTTCTGGAAATAGACTTTGTGAGATCATTCTTTGTGAGATTTTTTAGTGTTAGTGTTCTTAAGAATAAATGGTTCTAGGTACTGTATAAATTTAAACATCGATTTAATCGGCTAGAAAAGAACATCCTTTCGTAAGGATACTGCATCTAATTTCCAAGTACTAATTCTCCCAAAAAATAAAGTTTGTCATTTTTATTAAAAATTAGAATAATTTAAGCAATTTTGTCATCCTCAAAATTGTCAATTTCATGTTGATATCTGCATGCTTTTCCATAGTGTCAATTATCAATCGCTTAATAGTACTTTTGCAGCATAACTATTGCATTCAATTATTTATCGAAAAATGTTAAAACCGCATAACAAAATGAAGATTGAGTTTTGAGGAAACGAAATTATGTAAAATTTTGATAAAAAGATGCTTTTTATATGTTGAAAAATAATAATCAGTAATATTTATCAAAACAATGTTTACATTTATATTTAAAATGATAACATTTTTGTGAAATCAATGAATTTCAACTTAACTAAAATTCTTAATGAATAAATATTCATATAATGGAAAAATATGAGAAAATTTCAGGTAATGAAAATCTTATTACTCTCTGTGACATTATCAGTGGTCGTGTTGGAAGGTGAGAAAATAACTCGCGAAAATATGCCTGCGGCAAAATATTATGATGGAAAGAAATTCGTTATACCAATTGCACATAAAACGATGGAAGATATTCGCGATCGATGGTTGCAGCAAGCAATGAGTGGATTAATAACTGGAGTTTCGCTAAAAAAGTTAGGCAAATCGAAGAATGGTTGCAGTGCCATAAGTTTGCCAAGATTGCAAAAATTTGAGAAAATTTGTAATGCTTAAAGGGAGATAGAATGGCTCAGTGAGTTATTGCTTTTATTTCGGAGCGCTGAAGCTGGCGTTCTATTTCTGGCACGAGTAAGACTGTTTTTTCTATTATACTGGCGATTCATCTAAACTCCTATCGCCAGGTGACTTCTCAGCGAAATTCGCTGGTTGCGACGAGCCAGTGAAATGAGAATTGAATGCTCTTAGATGATAAACAAGAATTTAATAATCTAATGATTTAATAATTTAGCAGTGTAAATCTCAGTGTAAAAAACAAAATTTGGCTTAAAATTTGTATAAAAAGATCGAAAAATGTTAACGAACAAGCACGTTGTGTGATCGAAGCACTTGGGCCTCGGAAATTCTATAAAATGGACCTTCCGAGAATTGTACAAAGTAAATTTAATTCAATTTCAATTGTAATTACTAGAATGCGCTAATATTGTCTCAACAAAAACGATAATTTCATGTGGTAAATGATAATTCTATGATAAATTAAAGAATTCTACAATATTTATGGAGGAAATATTAAATATTAAATGATTCTCTCATTCAGTTTTTTTCATAATTTTTGGTTTGGTTTTCTCGCATTGATTTATGCTTTTTCGCCAGCGAGAAGATAGAACTATAGAAAGTGGTTCGCCCGAGCTTTGTTAATACCAAAAAAAAAATTTGAATTCAATCATCGATTTGAATGAATTTGTGTCAACTAACATGGAAATATTTCATCGAGAACTTTAAGTCTGGTCGTTACCTCTGCGAAATTTTAACGATCATCGCAATCAACCAAACGAAGATGAATGGATTGGCGGTTTTTTTATGTTTCAAGCAAGGCGTTTCGAAAATAGAGAATCCGATATCACTTCACAAAATAATTATAAATTGTTGACAGAGAATGCGAACCGTTCACCATTTGGATTTATTGCTGAATTTCTGAAGAAAAATATACAATACATAAAGGAAAAAACTGATTCGAAACCGTTAGCTGCAAATTTTCATCTATTTTTTCGTTTTCAAAAAAAAAGATTTATTATTTTATTATTATTATTATTATTATATTTATTATTTTTTTATTATTATTATTTTTATCATTATTTTTTATTATTAATTTTTGTTTATTATTTATTATTTTCATTGTTTTTGAAGAGATTTATTATTTTTCATGAAAGTCATCATGAATATTAGAAATACAATTTTGTAATGGATTTATTCTGGATTATAATCCTTGAAATTGTTGTGGAATTCAGAAAGCATATAAATTCTGCGATTAAAGAACGTAATAGGATCGATAAAAAAATTTATCGTTCTCTTCTCTAAAAGTGATTCGATTAATGAATCACTTAACTCGGACCTCTTTTTATGAATATGGCTTTAAGCTGCTAAGTTGAGTTGAGTTATCCTGAAAGAATTTCGTGGACCCTAAGAAGCGCGAGAATCCTCATGCGAGACCTTATTTATCTATAAACCTTTTATAATTTACTAAATTTATAAATTAATTTAACAATTATGATTCAATTTATTTTAGTTGGTTTATTGTGTTAGCTAGATTTGAACAGTTGGAAGCGGAATTGAAAATGCACGACGAATTGAAAAGAACCTTGATGGGAGAATTGAAGCTGTTCTCTGAAGGTCGAATTAAGGAGCTGCTGTTGGAATTGAATAATCCAGATGTATTTGTTTATTTTTATTGAGCCCAGTCATTAGAAATTTTAAATCATGCTTATAGTGTTTTCTTCGAAAGATTACTTGGATTACAAACATATCGGCTGGGAATTTATTTAAATTATTTATATAACAAAAACTTCAGTCTTTTTTAAAAATGATTTTAGGGATACATTATTATAAAAAATCAAAATTAATGGATTAAAATATTATCATTGGTGGGGAATTTCGAAAATATACCATTGGCTATAAAAGATAAAACTTCTCGCTAGTAGGAAATCGGGGAAATTAAAGAATTGAATGAAATTAGCACGGCAAAGGCATAAAACTCGGCATGTCATCAGCAGGAAAAAATACAACCAATTTTGGCAAGAAAATGCTTAGAGTAGGATCACCACGACTCTTCGAAATATCAGGGTTTTTTGACTGCTACTCAGCACTATTGGTTAGACTGCTATAGATGAATCTAGACTGCTCAATATGTACCAAGTAATCGAAGCTTTTTCTTTTTCATCGCTCAATTCCATGTATTCTTTAATCGAAGTCTCACTTTTGATGCCATCGATCGTAGGGCTTTAACAAGTAACGAAATATGTGTTAAATCTGGCGGTGGGCGATGAAGAATGTGTTTTAACAAGACGCCTCTCTGATAATATTGTTGACGCATATTTGAGCAAAGGTGTAACTATGTGAGATTTTTTCTGCTCGGTTCGTAAAATGTACCTTAGACATAAAGAAAGAATGATAAAGAATATACAACATACCAAAATTTCATAGCCTAAGAACACAGATTCCCATTTTTTTCGAATACATATTAACAGGCGGATTATAAGTCAAATACTATTAAATTGTTAAGGAAAATTGGGGAAAATTTTGTTGATATTTCAGCAAAAATTGCAGGGATAAATTGATAAAATACCAAAGGTATCGAAGGTCAACCATTGTATTTCAGAAAAGCAGACTGGCGAAGGAGATATTTGACGATTTCGTAAAACGCAAAGTAGAAATTTTTGAAAAATTATGCAAAACGTTCACTAACCAACAGGTATTTTTTGCAGTTGTCTCTAAAATTTTCTCTTAACTACCTTTAATTAATCATCGTTATCGATATCGATATTATCAAAGCTCAGTGAATCATCATCAGATAATGATTGGAGATGCAAATCGAGTTCTCGCAACAGTTCTTATTGGCACTATACCAGAAACTATTGAATTGTTGTGCATCATAGACTTTGGAAATTCTTGGACATGAAATCAAGATAAACAGCTATAGGTTTCGCCATTGGGAAAAGGATGCTAAAAAATAAGATTGCAGAAATATGAAGATTAAGAATAATGCTGGGATGCTGGAAAATTACAGTCGCCATCCTCCATCAGAAGCCCTCAAGATTGCTAAACAAAGATTCACAGTTGACCACTAGACTAAGGAAGTATGTTAGAGGCTAGAAAGATAAATATTCTCCGAGGAATCGTCTAAGTTGTGCTCTCGACTACAGTGCAATAACAACAGACCACCAACAGCAGAAACTATACGATAATGGAAGAATATCTGGGCGAAACAGAAGATTCGTAACACCAATGCAAAATGGCTGCAAGATATAAGAATAAATCACAGCAATCTCCAACATCAGAAACAACTACCACCACAGTTGTTGATATCCAACAGTGACTCATGAATATATGGAAAGTTGGACAGCACCTGATCTTCCCATGATTCACACCTACTGGCTAAAGAAGTTAACAGCCGTTCATGAGCGGCTAAAAACATAGATAAACCATCTAATTGTGGTAGGCTTTCACCAAGATTGGCTAACAAAAGGAAGGACGATATTAATCATGAAGACATAAGGGAGACATCGTTTAACTATCAACCAATATCTTGCATCTCCACAATGTGGAAAGTCATGCACCATAGCCATTAAGCTTTATGACCATATAAGCCAGTACATGAGTGTAATTTTAAAACGAGCAAACACCACCTGCTTATAGATAAGGCAGTAGACCTAGACTTCCCGGAGAACAATCTGCAATCAGCTTGGATTGATTATGACAATGCCCCACACATGGACTCTATATATGACTCTATAGAACTTAAAAGGATTCTAAAGATGTTCATTGAGAATTCAAATAGGACTGAAAAAAACAACAATTGAAATCAACTCAAAAGAGCTTGCACAAGTGACTATCAAGTGCGGCATATAACAAGGTGATACATTGTCTGCCCTACTGCTCCTCGTAGATCTAAGCCTACTCAGTCAGATAATCATCAGAGGCGGATATGGATACAAATTCAAGAGCGGAATTCAAGAGCGAAGAGCCATCTTCTGTGCATAGATGAAATCAAATTCTATGCAAAAAATGAGACATTGACTCTTCTCCTCTATCTAGCACGAATCTACAGTGAGGGCATTGACTTTCGGATCAGAAAAATGTAGCCGGGTGGAATGGTAGTAAAGAGAGGTAGTATGGCTAATAAGGCATGGAAATTTCATCCTAAAACTAATACCTAAGACACCAGCTGGAAAGAAGACAGCTGGGGGTTGGTGGAAGCCACTGTCTTGAACGAAACTCAATGTATTCAAAAATACAAGATGGCACCAAAGGACCTGATGCAGGCACTGGAAAATGATAAAGCAGAGGAAATACCATAGCAAGGCAAGATCTCTATTGATTGTGCTACCGACAGATAATTTGTAGTTGACATTGAGAAATCCTATAAATGATTTGAAAAGACTGGACAACAATGAGGCATTGATCACAACAACGCAAGAGCAGGCGCCAAACACCAGACCCATTAAATCAAGGAGTTACCACATTAGACGAGATTCTAGGTGGAAATTATGCAAAAACGCCTCCAGAAACAGTCAAACACAGGATGAAGTACTAGCAGAACAATATGTACTGAAAGGTACGATTGACCTCCATCTCCAGAAACATCGACTTGGACCATTGCAAGATGGGGGATTCCTCAGAAAATCGTAGAGAACAATAAGATGAAGATAGGGTTGATAGGGTTTCTCAATCAAGGCAGACAAACAAACAAGTACTGGCCAGTCAACCAGACATCGTGGCAATAAACAGCAACCAGAAATTAATATTGGTGAAAAATATGGCATCAAGTTCTATGAACATTAGGAATAAGGGGTATGAAAAGTTAAAGAAAAACTAAAGATTGAAAGAGGAACTGAAGAAGATGTGGAAAATGAAGGCCAACGTAATTCCAGCGATAATTGAAGTACATGAAAACTCCCGGAAAAGTAGCCTCAGCAGACTCCAGGAATAGCATCTAACAGAAATTTCTATCCAGAAAAGCCCAGAACTCTCAATCTCCCTGATTCCTACTAGAGGAAGATGATCACTGCATGCATAAAGAAAAAGAATTCATAATTCAAATCCTGTTTTAATTCATAAGTTATAATTTTTACTTTATTTAATTTTCACATTATTATTATCTTCAGTATTCCCAATAAGGTTAGGGATGACTTGATGGGTTATAATTATCATTTCGGAGCTTGTGCTATGGTTCTAATTCTGGCAGAGCAAAATTCAAGATGATGCATTCATTTTCACGATTGTGTAAACTTAATAAAATTTAATAAGGCAGTAGACAACAAGGTTAACCAGAAATAATGACTGGTTCTTAAAAAATTCCTTTTCTTTTTTTTTCTCTTTTTTCGTTGATGCTGTAAAATATATGAAAAATACTGGAAGGATAACTATGAGAAAAACCAGGAGAATACTTTCCACTTTTTTTCAGAAATCTGAATTAAGCAATATAGGATTGACGGCATTAACTCGCCACCAATTATCTCTTATCTACGGTAAAGATTCATCTCATGAAGAATTTATTATTCTTCATACATTAACAACAATAATGAATGATGATCACTTTCAAAAACTGATAAAGTATATATGTCAGTTAGCAAAAAGGTCTTTGTCTAAAAAAGGTCTTTTTATTAAGAAATTAGATATGAGGCCTAGTTTCAATAGAACCAGTAAATTAACGCCAGTCATTCTTTCACCAGGTATATTGAATCCAAGTGTTCTCAGCCCTTCCATCCTTGGTCCAGTGATTCTCAGTCCCGGGCTCTTTAATCCCAGCTTCTTATGTCCCAGGCTTCTTGGCCCTGTTATCCTCAATCCCGGAGGCTTCAGCCCTTTAGTGTTGAGCCCTGTGGCTCTCAGCCCAGTAGTGCTATCGCCTGGAGTCTTTGGCCCTGTAGTGCTCAGTCCAACAGCTTTATCACCAGGTGCTCTAAACGCGGGTTTCGGATCTCCAGTTGTCCTTTCTCCATTTATTCTCAATCCCGGACTGCTAAATTTCTCTGCAATGTCACCATTAATTTTGAGCCCATTTGCCTTTTCACCTTCGATTCTTTCAAACGCCTAGTACTGCTTCGCCATAACAAAATTGTTCTATTTGTTTTAAATAAAAAAATAACATAAATAAAAATAAAAAATTCTTTTTTCGCTATGACGGCCTTTTTTATTTATATAAAAAATTTAAGTAAATACAATCCACAAGCAAAATTATAAATTTTCTTTATAAATTGCGTTTTGTCTTCTTATTCTATTATTGGATCCTTTTGTTGTTAATTTTTATCATTCGTTAACAAATTTGATAATAATTGAATTCCTGTGATTAAAAAATTAATAATTTTGTTAAGTAGATATGCAACTCATTTAACAAATTAAAATTATGAAAGTTTAATGCTCTTCATGATAATTATTGATAATTTTGTCACTAAAAAAAATTCAATTTTTTTTTCGCAAAGACTTTGAATTGGAAACAATTTTTGTTAAAAATAATTTTTATTAATTATTATCAATAAACTTGAAATTAGGAATTCATCGAATCAAAGACAATATTATATTGGCGATAACAAATTTATTCGGGACCAAATTTACCAATTAATTAAAATATTTGGATTACATAAGAAGTTAGGAACCAATCCAATTCCATCGCATAAATCAATTCTATATTTCTGATTTAACTATCCACTGACAGCTACGATGAGACGTTTTCACCAGTAAAGAACCATTCAGATTTAGCACCATTCAGATTTAGCACCATTCAGATTTTCACTTTTAATCGTTATTTTATTCTCGTCAAAATGCAGGAACCATAACCATAATAGCACCATAGCCATAAATCGCCTTCATAGGCTACAAAAATTTTCAATTTTTCTTGTTCAATAAAATTTCCTAACTCGAATTTGAAGAAACTAAAAATTGCTTACTGAAAAAAATCACGGAGAAAAAAAGAAAAATTTTTGGAAATATCATCAGATTATGTTCAATTCTTTGAAATATCGAAAACACGAAGTATTTTGTATTATATTAATAAAAAATTTCACAGTCATTAGGAAATTTTAAAATTTTCTTGTTCCCCCACTTCGCAGATTTTTTTTTTAGAACTTTCTCGAGAAAAATAATTTATAAACCATCTTTTAAGAAATTTCTCTAACGAAAATTTATCGAAATACTGGTTCAAAATTTGTTATAATTGTAATCATTTTCTTTTTATTTATAGTCTAATTTTATTAAATTTCTTCACTTGGCCACAGTTGGTCAATCGGCCAGTAATCCAATTAGAGGCATAAAGAAAAATGTGGCTAGTGTCGGCCTTTGCTGCTATAATCATAAATAATCTAACGCAGATGTCGCATCCTACTAACAGCCAGTATCGTGCAAATCTTGGCAAATAGCAAATACGGTGAATCCTTACTGTCGTATCGTATATTATTTCTTTTATACGGCTTAATAATAGAGAATTATGTGTCTAATTCGCAATAAAATCTTTCTTTTACTTTCTACCTCGAATATTTCTGTTTTTCTGTTCGCTTCCATGTTCGGTCGCTCTCACCAAAGTTGATCAGCAATCTAGCAAATGGCGAAGGAAAATATGTCGATCACCGACAATAATGCAATTCGAAAGCAAACATTCTACTTTCTTGTTAATCCTTTAAAATTGTTAATCCTTTAAAAAAATTTAAAAATACAGTTTCTTATTGTATAAAGACAATATGCTTATATTGGATGAAAATTTTATATTAGCTAAGGCCATAAATTCGATAAAGTTTCCGTGCCTTCAACGAAATGAACTTACGAGTAAAAGTGAAAGGTGGTACTCTCCAAATTTCTCTACAACCAGGTTTATCATCGTGGTACTTGAATGTACTCAGTCGAACTAGAAATGAATGTTGTCAAAATAAGGTTCATATATTACATTAGGAAAAAAACGGCGATAGCGTATCGATGAAACGCTTTTCGATCGCAGCGAATTTATTAAAGAATTTAAATTAAAATCGAGACAAAGTACAGATTTGTGCAAATAATTTGAAACGTCTTCAAGGAAGACCAATTCTAAAATGATGAAAAATCTATCGGTTTCTGCTTTTTGTTCTTTTTTTCAGTCAAATTCTTTCTTTTCCAATTAGTACGAATTCTTTTATATGAATCGCATGTTTCGTAATTTTTCTTGATAATTTAAGCCGATTCATTGCAGAAATTAAAAAAGCACTTATAAGTTTCCAATTTTCGAGTTTATGCTGAAATTCCCTCGAAGGTACTAATTGCACTAAAAATATAGTTCATTATTTCAAATAATCCAATGCATTGCTCTTATGCAAGGAAAATCTGGATGCAGGATCTCTGCAAATTATCAATATGATTAACATTGGAATTAATTCCTAATCTGTTATAATCTTTATTTCCGAGTGTTTGCTATAACTAGATTGTTCAGAATATTATAATTTTAGGTTAAATTCATATCCAACAAAAACTAATGGGCTAAAATTATTAAGACCTATGTGTATTACTAAACTAAGGATTCAGGATTATTCTATTAATTACTGGATTAAATTACCGAACGATGTGACTTGTGCATCATTAGCTATCTTAAAAAAGATTAAACAATATCATTTATGATATTATTTAAAAAGTTCACGTCATGCAGGAAGTCTCGATTTTTACCATCCGATTATATATAATATTATTCGAATTGTACTATTTTATATTCCGCAATTTCCTCTTTAAATGTTAATTTTGTCATATTTTCGATTTTCTTATTATTAAATTTTATCATTTGTTTTTTTTCTTTAACGGTTGTTATTAATACAAGCACATGGCGTTGTCGCCTTGCTTGGCTGGTTTTCAATAAATTAATAAATATTTATAAATTTATATAGAAATAAAAAAACATATATATATATCTGTTTCGTGAATGGTAATGATAAACAGTGCTTTTCTGCTTTTTGTCATGGTAAGAAAAACTGATAAAAGTGATAACAACTGGAATACTTTTACTATGAATCATGATCATTTATTTAATAAATTTTTAATGGAAATTTTTATAGAAATATTACTAATAAAAGAGATTAAAATTTACAGAAAGTTAATTTAAAAGTTCCGATTATTTAGAGTTTCTGAATTTCTCCGAGAAAGTAAATTTTCAATAAAACGATAAATTTCGTAAACGATTACTTTATTGACTAACGCTTGTAATCTATCATTGAATAAATGGTTTTTGAAAATCAATTTTTTAAAAAAACTTATTGAAAGATAAATGTGCCTAAATTATGGTAATCAATTAATACTGCTGGTATCGGCGATATGAATACTTGTACCAGCGTTCTTTCATTGATTTCACCATTTGTAAACGGTGTTTTGCACTTTTTTTTGCAGAATTTTATTTTTGAAATTGCCGAATACAAGATTTTGTAAAAATTTTTTTTTTTTTCACAAAAAATTTCTCTTTAAAAGCTGATTTGACCATTTTGAACTATTCAATTTTCAAAAAAAAATTTGCGATTCCGACAAAATAAAACAAAATCATTTTTCGTAAGTCCATTGATAAGAGGAAGAAATTGCTTTTCAATCTTTCGAAATGCTTCATTTATCATTTCTATAATGCATGATTAGTTGTACTAAGCTCGATAATACTTTCCAAAAAATTTTTTTTTTCAACTTTTATGCCAATTATGCACTTTAAGTGATAAGTGATAAGTGCCTGAAATAATTGCTTTTCTTAATTCACCAAAAAATTTATCAAAAAATATTGAAACGCTATCAATAATACATTTAAAACTTGTGGAGCATGACAAATAAAAAAATATTATAAGAAGTACAAATAATGCATGAGAAAACAAATGATAAGCGAATGATAAAAAATTGATACAAGCGAATGAATTATTTAAAAGATTTAAATGATGTCTGAATTTATTTCTCTAAAAGTTTCTTCCATGCGCAAATCCACAAATACGTGACTTTAACCTCAATCAATTCCCTGATATTAGGAACGGCAATAAATCATTTGGTTTACGTAAAATGCAAAAATTTTCACAAGAAAAAAATTTAAAATAAATTACAAAAAAAAACTTAAAATAAATTACAAAAAAAAACTTGAAAAAAATTTTGAAATGTCATTTAATGATTGGCGATTTTTTTACAAAAAAAGATTGATAAGGCAAAAAAAGGGAACGACTTTATCAATATCGTAAAATATGAGGACAATCTTAATAATTGCGAGATGAAGAATGATTTATTTGAAAAATGTTGAAATATTTCTGATAATATTCAGCATAAAGAAAAAGAAAAAAGAAAAAACTATTGAATAAAAAATGGTACTCTTTTAAGCAAATTCTGACTGACTAGCCCTTTTTATTGAAATCCAAAAAAAATTTAAAATCTGCTGAAGAAATAAAAATGAAATCATATACCATATTTTGGATATTTTAGAACGAAATGAAAGATTTTTATTTCCTTTAATTTGATTTTTTAATTAATTAAAATTCATAGATCTTAAAATACCGTTAAAATTTCAAAAAATCCTTATAATTTTACTATGGATATTAATAATCATATAAACTAAAGCATTAATAATCAGTGGCATTAATGATTTCTATAACCATCGTATTATTTTATCATATTGCATGAGACAATACATAAATGGGTCTACAAAAAAAAGGATCCATTGTTTCAAATAGGATCTTCTATCAAAAATTGCACCCAACGAGAAGTGTATGGGTATCTTGAGGAGTACGTGCATTATTTTATTTAGGATATGACCGCAAAACTTCCTTTTAAGAGTAAGAAATATCCAGAAATATCCAGTGCCATTTTACAGTACTTAATATTTCCTATAATATGTAGCTTCACTTTTGTCATTTATTAATTCTATCGTATAACTTTAATATTGCTCGTAAATATATAAAGTATAATTGGTTTAAAACTATAAGTTTACTATAAGGTGATATTGGGAAGTTAAAAAAAGTGTGAATAAAAATCGATTTTGGATCTAAAAAATGGCTCCATGTTTCGATACTGAAACGATACTATCAAGATTTCTCAGAATTTAACAAGTCTTTGAAGTTTGGCGAACAATAATAATAGGCAAATAAGTATATTGAAGTCAAAAAAGAGATAATTCACCTGAAAGATAGTATTTTTTTAAAGAACCTACACCATTACTGGTTAGAATCGCTCCTCTAATTTGTTGAACAAAAGCAAATATGCCAGGAAGTCTCTTGGCGATAGAAGTACAGGTGAGTGCAAGCATCATCCAGATCTTTTGGACAGATTTGCCCTGCCGAGAGTGGAATTTCAACATTGGCATTCCGAATTGAATCTCAATAAGCCATTCTACTCTCCACCTGAAAGATACTACAGAAAAAATTTTGACGAAAAAATTTCGATAATTTCCATTTGAAAATTGTATCCATTTTTTTTGAGTCAATTTACTTAAAAATTAACTAAATTTTCAATTTTAAACGATAGATTCCATTGCATTATCAATTAAAAAGTTTAAGGAATTTTAAAATATAAATTTTTAAGATGCACAAGAAACTTCTATTGTTAACCGTAGTTTTTACAATAGTCACGTCGAAAGTTGAGGAAATGACTCGAGAAAATATGCCTGGCGCTAAATATTATGATGGGAAAAAATTTGTTTTTCCAATTTCTGACGAAACGATGGAAGAAATTCTCGATCGTTGGATGCAACAGGCGATGAGCGGTTTACTATCCGGAGTTTCGATAAAAAAGTTTCATTTTTAAAACTATTTTTCCTCTCATTCTAGAAGGAAGATAATTTATCAAGGTTTATGCGGTTAATTTCCTTTAAAAATTTTCCTTTCATAATCCCATTTTCATTTTATGAGAAATATTTTAGGAGCGCCAATCTCAATAATGACGATAAAAAGTGGCTTCAAACATGTGAAAAACAATCGAAAACTGTTAACGAACAAGCACGTTGCGTTGTCAAAGCTTTTGGTTCAGGTAAAATGAACAAAAAAAATAATGAAGGTCAGAATTGTAAATGAAAAATTATCTCATTCTAGCTACTGCTAACTGCTATTATCTTTAATTTTTAAATTTTTATTAACTTGATAATTCAAGTTAAATCTTTGTTATCACCAGTAATAATTATATCATTGGGCAGATAATCTGGAAATATTCATACACAGTTCATAGTTACCCAATAGTTTGGTTTCACTGGCTGCAAGCATAAAGCCTTTTTGAGCCACTCGATTCGAGGTTATACCCTGAGAAAAGCTATTGTTTTTCTGCCTTAGACCATATATCATTATGCCTATATATTCATAACCTGAATCTGAATCTGCATAATCTGAAAATATTAATTCGAGTATTTTCATCGGCCGTGGTGAAACTCTTAATAAGACAAAAAGAAACAAAAAGAAAAACGTCTTATTTCGTCTAATTAATTTAATTTTAAACTTTTACTTGTTAAATTAATTTAACTAATTTTTTAACTTTTCGTCTGTTTAATTTTTGGCGTTTAAAAATCAAACATAAATTTTATCAAATTTAAAGATTAAAATTATGCTTTAAAAAAAATCATGAAAATTTATGCTCCTTAAACAAAGCTTTATCGAGACCTTTAAGAACGGCAAATATCTTCGCCGAATTCCGACAAGTATCGCAATCAACCAAACGAAGATGAATGGGTTGGTGGCTTTCATGTTTCTCGAGCAAAGCGCTCTAATAATAGAAAAACCAGTGTCATTTCACAAAACAATTACAACTTGTTAACAGAGACTGATAACAGATCGCCACTTGGAGTCGTTGCGCATTTTCTCAAGAAAAATATGCAATATATCAAGAAAAAAAATGATTCAAAACCGTTAGTCTTGAATTTTCATTTATTTTTACATTTTCTTAGCTGAAAAAAAAAATATAAAAAATGAACAATTAGGATAAATTTGCGATAAATCATGGATAATTATGCAATTCGTCGCTTTCGTGCTCGTTTCAAAACAATTCCATAGTGATTCGCTATATTAAATGAAATGCTAGTTATCCGATTTGAATATCGTCTACTGCTGAGCCAATCAACATAAAACTCGATTGAAGAAGAGTGGCGGTCCATTTCTGAATATAGGCAATATAGGAACTTTAACACGCCTGATATATATATGGCAAAAGGATTTATTTTACCACAATAATATGTGGCCTATCATCTGTCGATGCATTCTCGAGGCATAACCTAGCGCCTCTTCTAATTTTTCATGTCTCATGAAAGCGAAAAATCAAGATAGATTTAGAATGCTACGCTTTGGAGTAACATACCCATCACCTGTGGAATACAGCATCCATAAGACGATGTGAAGGAAAATGAAGAACTATTTCGAGAGGAGAAGCCAGCTTTCCATTTAAACTTGGGCTAATCTATGACAACTTTAAAATTTCAATGAAATGTCGTATTTACAGAACTCTACCTTCCTATAGGATCGAAAAAAAATAAATGAAGCAAGTGTATCCCAATATCTTCTTGGTGTCAATATACAATCAGCAATTTCTTCGGGGTCTCGGACTTTAGGCCTCATCTTGTTGCTAGAGAGAATTAGGCTGAAGAGAGACAAAAATTTTCCACTAGGTATTCAGTAGAATATTGTAAACAGTACTATCAATTTTTTAAAGAAGAACCACATCTTATTATTATTGCTCTGGTGGTATAAAATTCTTTTTTCAGCAGTAACTATAGCTGCTATGATCTGAAAATATAGGGATCATACCGGCCTAGAGGCCATGTTTCTCGCGAGTACCATTGTCCATAAGCTTCTGAATAAATGAGATCATTATTGATGAATGAGATCGTTAGTTGCTCGTATTTATAGCCATCGAATCTTGCATGCATCAAGAGAAAACTAAAGCTAAGCAAATCTTAAAAGTCGAAATATATTTCGTCTACGACTGAATAGTTATCATCATACTTCATATATATTTATCCAGCCGTACAGCTGCTTGCACTTTGGAGGAAAAAGGATTTGATGTACTTTTTGGATGCCCTCTCATTTTTTTGCGGTTTATGCAGCTTCAAGTTCCCAAGCGATCTATTCTAATGATCCTCTAAATTCATTGGTCGATTTTCTCTTATCTTCTCATGAAAAACGACCGCTCAAGACCTCTCCAATGTTAGAATTTTAAATCAAATTTAAATATTTAAAACATTATAATGTTGACTGAAGAAAAAATAGCTATAATAATGTGCAAAAAATAGAGATCAAAGAGGTGAAAACAGTGAATCCTTGAAAATTAATGAAAAATCTATCTGAATCTTCTTATCACTTTTTTTTGATCGGTACCAACTGATAGATTCATTTAATAAACTTATACATCTTAAAATATTTTAGTTGGTTCGCTATAGTGGCAGAAGCTAAGCAGTTGGAAGCAGAGATGAAAAAACACAACGCATTAAAAAGAGCTTTAAAACGAAAGCTAAAACTGCTCTCTGAAGCTCGCGTTAAGGAGTTATCTCTCGAAGAGAGGCGCGAACTAAATAATCCAGATGTATTCGTTTATTAAGTTTTAAAATTTTGAAATTTTACTTTGGAATTCAACAAGATGTTTAGAAGTAGAAATTTTTGAGGATGATTTAGTATAGCAGTTATTAGTGATGCAGTTTCATCAGAGAGGGAAAGAGAGGTAGAAGTGCAGAAGCACTCCTTGCACAAGCTAAATTTTTCTTATCTTGCCAGGAGCACGGACCTTATGCTTGAAATAGTACCGTACTCCAATGCATATTCGGGTGTATTTCGTAGCTCTATTTTGTTGCTTAACTAATTGGTACCTAATAGTACCTAATCGTTAATAGATTTAGGATTTTATTATTTTAATAATGAACTTATAAAATTTCTGACTACAATCCATTTCCTTAATTTTAGCATGATTTCTTCAATAGCTTATCACTTAAGGATGATAGCACTATTGGTGTTCTCCTTGTAGTATCGTTACGATAATATGAATTAAATGACTGTTTATTAAGATAATACCGAAGAAAGAGGATTTCAAAGATATACCACCGGCATTAGATGACCTACTTCACGCTAATGGAAAATCTAATAATTTTGAAGAATTAATGAAATTAGCACGACGAGGCATAAAACTTGGCATGTCTTTATCTGGAAAAAATACAAGCGATTTTGACCAAAAAGAGCTGAGAATAGGGTCACCGCGATTCTTCTCCCTTTTACCTGATGAAAATTCCGATAATACTGTAAGCCAACTTTTTTTTTTTGTTAGTTAATATTTGTTTTTTTCGATTCACGAAATATTCTTGCCATTGAGAAAAATAATCAAATTTTAATTATTTTTCAATATTTCATATATAATTTTAATAGATAAATCTCCTCTCACCTTCATTGTTAAATATGCATGACAAAGGGAACGATATTGAAAATTCAGTCAGCGTTCCTAAATTACTCGAAAGCCTTCGGTCTTCCAAGCTTAAAGATCATGAAGATTTGATGAATTTGATTTTTGAAGTGAGTGGCGTGAGTGAACATCTAAAAAAAGCAAAGGTCTTGTTTTTAATTCCATATAAATTGATAAATGATAAAATTTTTAGATAAAAATTATCGCAATAAATTTTAAAGCTTTAAGAAAATTATCATGCAAATTATATAAATCCATAAACTATGATAAACAATGGAAATAGCCAAAATAATTAGCATTCCAAGTGCTTTCAGCTAATCAATTTTTCTAATTATAACATTATTATGCTCCAGAAACAATGAATTAACGATGATAATACGCGTAATATTTTTTTGAATATTCCAGGAAAAATTACAAGAAGAAAACTTGAAAAATGCCAAAGGCATTGACGGTCAACCATTGTATTTCACGAAAGAAAATGTCACCGAGATGTTTGGTGATTTTGAAAAACGCAAAATTGAAACTTTCGAAAAATTGCACAAAACATTCACTAATGAACAAGTATATTTATATATTTATATTTATATGTATATTTATCAGTTTATCTGAAATATTTTCGTCGTTCATTTCGTTCATTTTAATAATTATTCCATGTGAACCTTTTTTCCTGGAATATTTCCTAAAAGCGCTTATTATTTCTCAATTTGCTCGCTCCATTGGCCTGTTGGAACAAACAATTTTTTTTTTCACCAAAGTATAAGTATAAGCACAAATTCTCCCAGCCATATTCTCCCAGATTTTTTAAAAGGTTTACTTTTGCAAGATTAGAATAGAATAATCCAATGATCTATTATATTCCTTTGTGCCTTACTAAGTATTTATATTTTAGAAGGCTAAGTACGGCAAAATATTGATATGCTTTATAACTAAAACATTAATAGACTAAATACGTAAAACGATAAGAACCGAAAAATAACAGAATTATTTAGCAATTGTTTTGGCCTAAAATGCAGTGAGAATATATCAAACAATCTAATAGGGATAATTTTCACTTGATTTATTTTTATTAATTTTATCAATTTTTTACTTAATTTTTATTAATTTTTTAATTTTATTAATTTAATTTAATAGTTTATGAATTTTAATTTAATTTTATTAATTTATTTTTGAAATTATATAAGAGCAGTTGTGCTGAAACTAAATCACTAGGCAATTTTTGCAGTATTTAACGCAGTTAATGAAAAAATTATGAGCCATAACTTTTAGTATTTGATAAATAAATTTCCTTAACTTTTAATTATTATATTTATTATATTCTATTATTAGCCAAATTTAAAATTTAGTTTAGACCCAAATTTTAATTTAATTTTCATTTTAAAATTTTAACAAGGATGTATTGCCATTTTCAATTTTTATTAAAATAATGGCCATAAAATAATTATTTTTTTGACCGTTCAAAACATAACATAGAAGAATAAATTCTTCTTAATTTTTATTTTTCTCAAATAATCATCAAATTAAATTACTAAAATATTAGAGAATATTTTGGTATTAGCTTTTATTGAAGAATTTTTTTTTTCAGAAAGGAGAATTGAATGATACAGGAATGACGACATTAACTCGCGAGCAATTGTTCCTTATCTATGGAAAAGATTCACCTTATCAAGATTTGATGACCCTTCATAGATTAACAAATATAGTAAATGATGATCATCTTCAAAAACTCATAATGGATGACATACATAAGTTAGCAAATTCTAAGAAAGTTAGTGCTCAGAAACCAAATCGATATAAGAGAGCAGCAGTAGTTCTTTCACCTGCTGTTATGAGGCCTAGTTTCAATAGAACCAGTAAATTAACGCCAGTCATTCTTTCACCAGGTATATTGAATCCAAGTGTTCTCAGCCCTTCCATCCTTGGTCCAGTGATTCTCAGTCCCGGGCTCTTTAATCCCAGCTTCTTATGTCCCAGGCTTCTTGGCCCTGTTATCCTCAGTCCCGGAGGCTTCAGCCCTTTAGTGTTGAGCCCTGTGGCTCTCAGCCCAGTAGTGCTATCGCCTGGAGTCTTTGGCCCTGTAGTGCTCAGTCCAACAGCTTTATCACCAGGTGCTCTAAACGCGGGTTTCGGATCTCCAGTTGTCCTCTCTCCATTTATTCTCAATCCTGGACTGCTAAATTTCTCAGCAATGTCACCATTAATTTTGAGCCCATTCGCTTTTTCACCTTCGATTCTTTCAAAAACCTTCTTTTCTGCTCTCATTCTTAGTCCAATGGCTTTTTCGCCATCGATTGGCTCTCATTCCCAAAATGTTTCTGTTATACTTTCACCTAATCTTTTTAGTTAATTAACAAAATCTTTTATATACTATACAACTATGAATTTTTTTGCTAAGCATTATTTTTATTAGTTCCTTTGATTTCGGCTTATTGTAAATTTGCATTTGTTGTTTTTGCCGATATAAATTTGCATTTGTTTGTTTTTTATTCTATCCTCAAAAATTTTTTCCTGCAATTTTAATTTCAAAACGAATTTAATTCCATTCATTTATTTTAAATATTAAATTGTTGAGAATTGCAATTAGTCAATAAATACGATTTATTTGATAGGTCGAATAAAAATTGCGCATTTATCTTCCCATTTATTTATTTAACTTTTATTTGATAAATAAATTCTTTTTACAATACAATTATAATATTTTTCGAAATTTTTTTTAAAATAATTTGAAAATATTGAAATTTCCGAAGGCACTGATAAAGCAGATGAATTATCATGAATTACATAAATGCGACTGATATATTTTCGATTGATATATTTTTTTATAAAAATCACAAATATCCACGATTCGTACTTCTATTAACAGCGCTCACCATTTCTTACCCTACTAGAAGAGGAAAATTGTTTCCATACTCTGCATTAATTGTCTAATTAATGCTCATTTTGTTGAATTATCAATGTTTGCCAGAAAGCCACTTGGCGATAGAAATATATGTGAGAATCAATAGCCAGATTTTTGAAAAATTAGAATCTCAACGCTTTCGAAGTGATAGAAACAACTCAATGAGCTCTGCTCTATTCTACTTTCAAGCCAACTATTATTTATGCGATTATCTATCAAAAATATAAATGATGAAAGCGTTTTTCGTTTTGCACCATTATGAATGGAGGTTTTGGTACCTCAGTGAATAGTGAATAGATCGATGATGAATTAGGGAGAAATTTAAAGAAACTCGAGTAATGGTGTCGATCCAAATGGCATTTCGTAAAGAGACTTGAGATCTAAATTAATCAGCAATAAATTCTACGGAATAATTTTCGAAATACAAATTAATTTCCATGAATCGATAATGATTAGTTGACAATTCGAAATATTTAAAATTGCAATAGAAATATTTAGACTTAGCTGAAAACAATAAATATACTTTAATGGCGGGTTTCTGGAACTATACTGGGAACTATTGTTAATTGATTCGCCATTTATCCGCTGGCATTTTCAGTTATTTTAGTAGTATCATTTGCTGGTAACAGTTTACATTTAAAAAGTTCAGTAGCGTGTAGAGTTTCGCTTAAAGTACACACATACGCATTGAATGAAGATAAAACTTAGCAAATGCCACAGGACATAGCTGTCTATTGAATGAGGATATGTGGTTTTATAGAGTTGGTCGATTTTCAATAAAGTTATGATATCACACAAAGCGGCCCTCCAATTTTTTCAGTCACTTAATAGCACCAAATCGACGCACCAAATTTTCTTGTTTTTTTTGTTTTTTATGAGCGAAGAAATTGTTTTTTTTTAAGTTGATTAGCTAATTTAGGATTAGGTCAACCAATAAATACTTCTAAAGAAATTTTTTTAGTGCCACCTTTATCGGCAATTTCGAGGCAATTAACCATCGAAATTAAATTATAAGTAATAATGAGTTGATGACCTATTTTGTATTATTTATCAAAAATTTCATGAAAACATGAAAATCATTTTGTGCTGTATTGTCGAATGGTGTTTTTACTTTGGTCAAGAATTTTTTATGTTGAAAAGCTTTTTTAGTATAAATTATTAGTTAATTAGAGAATCGGTCAGCATCTGCATATTTTTTTGAATGCCCTTAACATTACTACTTAGACTCGCTGGCTTATCGCACTAGACAAATATGCTAGGGAATCCTAAGGCGATAGAAGTACAGATGAGTCGCCAGGCGGATTTTTGAGCACTTTTACTTCTTCAGGAAGTAGGATTTCAACATTGATGCGTCGAATTGAATTAATAAAAACCTACTTCCATTCTATACCATTATGCCGATTATTATGTCAGTTAAATTTAAATCAAATCGGTCAAAAATCTTTAATCAAAGCTCGACATTCGATAAAAAATTATTTGTTTATGCTTGGTGGATATTTTTTTTTCTAAATCTTTCTTGATAGTACAGCAAATTCAAATTTTTGAAATGCTTCTAAACTTAAATATCTAAAAATAGATCGGTAAGAAAAATGAAATTTCTCCATCAATCTTTTTTCGTTCATTTTATTAACACCATTTGGATAATACAATTAGCTATTATTTTCTATGATTATTACTGCGTTAATAGATAATAGATAGTTTTGTAACTGACTGGTGAAAATTTTGGGACCACTCGAACCATAATAAATAATATATTACAGAGTGTGTATTATGGTAATAATATATATATTACCATAAAAATAATATATTGCAGAGTGTGCTTCGTATACTTCCATAATTAATGGATAAAATTATAATTAGAAAATTTTTTCAATTTATTATCGTCAATCTTTTATTTATTCGCCAAGTGCATGGACAGATAAATCGAGAAAATATGCCTGGATCAAAATTTTATGATGGGAAAAAGATTATATTGCCGATTTCCAGTGATTCAACTATTCAACTTTATGATCATTGGATTCATCAAGGAATTAGTTCGCTTATAGCTATTTATGGCAAAAAAAGGTTGTAAGAGGCGTAAAATCATTAATTTTTAAAAAATCAACTAATTTAAAATGTTATGAGAATTAATGCAAATAAGCTTAGCTATTGATAATAAAACGAATGAAATGTGCTTCACTTTTTCATCAATTCTAAAATTTCCCTTTTGTGGAGACAAATCTATCATAAAAATAAGTAAAATCAGAGTGGTACTTAATAATCATTTGCTCTTTTACCATCAACAAACCCTACAGCTTAATAATATCAAATTATAGTAAGAAGTCAATCAAACCATTTTATTAGCCAAAGAAGTTAACCAAACCATTTTATTAGAAAAAAGTCTGAAAATTCTCAGAAGCACAAGCACTTTAAACACTTTAAATAAACTCTTCAGCTCCTAAACCTAAATCAAATTCTAAACTAACAAATTCTACATTTTATTCCTTTACCGAAATTTTAATAGTTCATCATAATAGAGTGACAATTCTACTCGGTGCCCTTATATTTTTACATTTTTAATAAAATGCTGAGAGTACTGGTATCAATAATCACTGATGCACTGATTTATAATAGGCGAATCATACTGATATGATACTTATTTTTTTGACCTTCTTAGTTGGACAGGATTAATGCTATGCGGTGGATTCAGTGAATTTTTGAACCATTTTATATGAAAGCATCTTTTGAAAATATTTATATTAGTATTATATTATTTATATTTATACTTATATTAAAATATTTATATTTAAATATTTAATCGAAAACCCATCACCTATTAAGAAATAAACTCTTAAGAAATGTATTATTGAAGGAGCCAAAATGCATATCCTTCAAGTCAATTTCAATTCAATAAATGTTCGAAGGCATCTGATACAATTATGAAGCATGCTGAATGCATTATTGGATTATTGAAAAGTATTCCAGGAGAAATTCGAAATGAAGTTAATTTCGGTTGGTTCAACTCTAAGATGCACTACACTAACCAAAAATAAGATACAACTGTAGATAAGATGCCTAAGAATCAAGATAACCATATACCATATCGTTTATCGGATAAGAGGAATGTAGCAAGCTACATAGAAAAGATCCTTATAGATTATTTGCATCTGATTTCCAATTTCAAACGTGTTTCATTTTATAAATTATAGACAGGTTACAAATTTTAATACTATGGATCTTCATTTAAAGTACCATGGTGTCCTTTACACGAGTGAATCCGTCATTAAAAGCTGTCATTATAAAATTATCTCACCACTCACTCTTTTATCTTTCTTTAGCGAAAATATCATCTTAATAGCCAGTGAAGCTAGTATTATCAAGTATTATCAAGCATGATAAATCATAAAACCACTAATAACTAAGAATCGGCTGCATAGCAGATTATATTTCTATTTATTTTTTATCTCACCATTTTTCAATGATTAAAATTTTTAGTCCAAGAAGAATCACTGCCGAAGGCTCATAATACTTTCAAAGATGCTGGATTTAGACGCAAAGCCATTACCGAACCAAATCATTTCGTCGATAAAACGCGAACACAACGAATAATCGCATTGAATTCTAGAAGATTTGAAAAATACAGCAAAAAAACTACGAGTAAATTGATGGAAAACTCTTTATTTCCAAAAAAACGTAATGAAATTTTTAAGCTAAAAATTCAGTCAAGAAAAAAGAATAAAAACACGATGAACAAGAAGCCAATCCTTAAAGAAATCTCTATTCTTCGTTCCAAAAGTCTCCTTCGGCCAAATTCTCAAATAAGAACATTAACTTCAAAGCGCTGGAAACGAAACATTACTTATAATACTGCAAAAAATCGAAATAGTTATTCGTTACTTTCTGAAAACTCAGGACGAAGTGCTTTTGGTATTATTGTAAAGAAGATCCGCAGAATTATACACCATTTTGGTGGGCGAAGAAACCCTATATCGTTTGTATCGTTTGTTCTTTTCATTCGCATTTATCGCGTATTTCAGCTTTAAAAGTTTTCTTTATTGTTAAAATTAGCAGCTTTTCATGAAATGATAGAAATCCAAGCAGCGAATAGTCCAAAAAGTTCCTTGAGGAAAAAATTAGAAGCTGAACTTGCTCAAGCAACAAGGTTGGAATGATTTCGTCAAGTAGTTTAGATTCAATTCCCTAATTTAGAATAGAATAAGCGAATAGTGCCTTCTTTTTTCGCTACTTGAATATCCTTTTTTAAGAGTCTTCACCATTACTGGTTAGGCTCGCTCCACTGGGCTATCGCATTGGGCAATATGCCAGGGAGTCCATTTGGCGATAGAAATACAAGTCGCCATCATCACCCGGATTTTTATACAGGTTTACTCCTGCGGGAAATCGAACTTTAGCATCGGCGCTCCAAATTAAGCGACAACCATTCTATTCCCTAATATCTAATTGAGCCAACTTAACCAAATAAATAGTAACAATCCCTTATACAAAAAAATAACGACATTGGGTGCAATCAGACAAACAGATCCTTTATTATCATAGCTGAAATGTTAATTACAATATTCTCATGGCAATAAATTTATTATTCTTGATCTGATCTTTATGAAATAATTATTAAGAGCCACAAAAAAATAAAATTTAAAAATATTTTTAATAATAATTTCCGATAGAAAAAAGTCAGTCGAAAAAAAATCGTCTAATCGCATATATAGAAAAATTTATATTTGCTTTTGAAAGTAATTAAAAAATAAAAATAATTACAAAAGTCGATTAATTTAATTTAAGGCTAATTTCAGTTGGCGACAAACGATCGTCTCAATGAACAATTTAAAATCAACGATGGTGAATCGAGGAAAATTGCATCAATTGGCCAACGATTATTTTCAATCGAAGTTCACGCCAAGAATTCCGATACTTGTTTGCTTTTTATTACTTCAATTAGCTCTATTTTTGAGAATCTTTTCCAAATTCATTTTTTTCTATTCAAAAATTTACTTTTCGGTTTCTCAGTTTATTTCGAATAATTCATTTTTATCGCTAAATTAGTACGTTTCTTTTATAAAATAATTGGCCGTGAAGGGCAAACAGTTGTTGTTTAGATTAGCCTCTGAGCATTACGATTTGCACCTCGTTTACGACCCCGATTTTGCATTAAAATCCTCTGATATACTAATAGCCAACGTAAAGAAGAGAAGTGAAGAGTTTTAACCGTTTAATTTACTTATTTACTTAGTTAACCACTAGTTGACCTATTGAATGTATATCTGTTCATAAAATTTTAAGAAGGATCGTCTACCGAATGATTGGTACTTAAAGAAATTCCCGTCTCAAAATTTGAGAAAAAGAAATGTGTACAAAAACGGAAAGAAGACTATAAGGAATGCATTAAAACTGATTCGCGATGGAGTTAAATTGGGAATGCTAATGACAAATCAAAATATTTCTGATTTCGACAATAAAACTATCAAAATGTTTTCTCCTCGATTGTTTTCACTTGTGCCTGAAGGCAATTCAGGAAACCTGGTATATAAATTCGAATATATTTTTTCAAAAAATAGATTATTACCAACTCGATCACTTTTGATTCGTGGAGTGTATAGAATAGAATAGCTGAGGAGTGAAGTAGTTGAGAGGTATGTTTAATAAATTGGTAAAATTTCGGCATCTTGCTATTTCAACCTTTTGATTTGCCAATGAGGACGACATTCGGGCAGTGCTGGCTATTTTTTTACCAAATGACTCTCCATTTTTTCAACATTGTTTTACACATCGAAGATGGAATACAAAGGTATTTTTGTATTCAAAACAATATATATTGAAAAAAAAATTTCTTATTTTATTTTAAGGTAAATATTCTATCGCCATCCATACTTAGCCTTCATGATGAAGGAAGAGAAACTGAAAAATTGCTAAGTATATCAAATCTAATGCAATCATTTTTGCCAGGAGACCGCAGTGATCTCATGGATCTCATTACAGATATTTCTGGAATATCAGATGCTGTTGAAAAAGCTCGAGTATTATTTTTTCCACTCTTTAATAGTTCTTCCTTAGCGTTGAATCAAGAGAATTGTTTTTTTAACGTTGTTTTAGTTCTCTTTATTTCTCATAAAAAAGAATATTTTCCAGAAAATTTTTGATAAAATGCTGAACATATCATTAATAATCTTAGTGAAAAAAAAAATTAAATTAGTGAAAAATTTTTTCTGAAATTTCGTCAATTCTAGAATTCCATTAACGAAAATTTTGTGGAAGAAAAAGGAATTGATGGCCAACCGCTATATTTTACGAAGGAGAATATTACGGAAATTTACGGTGATATAGAAAAACAAAAAGTTGATACCATGGAAGATTTATACAAATCCTTGACGATTGACCAGGTTTGCAAAAAAAATCATGGCAATCTAATTTTTATCTTTTTAATATAATTCTATTTCATATAGTAATGACGCCTAATTTCTTAAATAAATTTCCATAAAATTTTCCACTACTATAAAAATCATATTTTCCAGCTTGCTGAAATTAATAGCACAGGATTCGCATCATTAACCAGTGAACAGCTTCGTCATCTTTATGGTTCATTGTCACCATATCATGATTCCAACGCACTTGAACGACTCACTAAAATAGCAAAAAGAGAAGGATTCATGAAATATTTAGATGAAGATATATTAAAGCTTTCTAAGGCTTCTGCATTTACACTGGGTTCTCAGAAGCTAAATGGCTCTCGAAGTAAAAGAGCAGTAGTTAATTCTCCCTTCGCTTTTAGCCCATTCATATCTAAAGGCGGTACGATTTCAACACCAATAGTCCTTTCACCAATTATTTTTTCACCCATCATCTTATCACCTGCTATTTTCGGTCCATTTATATTAAGTCCTTGGGCTTTTAATCCTGTTATTCTGTCTCCTCGTGTTATGGCCCCATTTATACTTAACCCACTTATCTTTACTCCAATAGTGCTCTCACCTTTAGCACTTCAACCATTTATTTTATCACCAGGTATTTTTAATCCTTTTGTTCTAAGCCCACTTACTCTATCGCCTTTTATCCTTTCACCACAAGTTTTTACACCTATTATTTTATCGCCAATGGTTTTAAATCCGCTTATATTGAATCCAATGGCCGCTTCACCACTTATTTTGAGTCCATTTGCTGTATCACCTTTCATATTGTCACATCAGTTTTTAACAGCTATTGTTCTAAGTCCCTATTTTTTATCACCTTTAATTTTAACTAACTTGACTGCCGTTGAAGTTATATTATCTCCAAGTGCTTTAAGCTAAAAAAAACTAGAAACTATTAATATTTTTTTGATATGATAAGCCTCTATTTACCCACATTTGGCGACTATTTATTGTTTATGGCATTTTTCAAGTTTCTAAGAAATTTTCGAAATAGCAAATCACTAATAATTTGATAATTGCTATTTACAATGTACTTTTCGAGTGTGCATTTTTTCGATTTAGAAAGCAAAACAAATTACTCAAATAATAAAATTTAATTTTATTCACAATGCATTCCATGAACGAATTGATTTAATAAGATTAATGTCGAGACCAATTTACGGAAAAAAAAGCTGACAGCGGACGACTTTTTTTTCTACAATAATAGATTATTTGGCTCAAAGAAACTTTGTTTTTTTTCACTTAATCATACAAAAATTCAATAGAAAATCGAAATTTATTGTATGAAAAGAAATGCGGAACAATATTATAATAAATTGTGAATGTCAAAATTAGAAAAATTATACGAATGTGCGAAAAACATTTTTTGCCAACAATTTTTTAGGATTCCTTTGGACAAATATTCACTCTTTTTTGCCAATATATTTGCCAATATATAGATTTTAGTTCAGACAAATTCCAATTTTGCATGGAAAAAAAAGTCCTTGAAGAAAGAGGATTCTTTTCTATCATTTAATCGAAATCGAAGGCATTTATTAACGTAAAATTTTTCTGGAAAGGAGGAATATCATTGAGAAATCATCCACGGATACTGTTTTTAATTAAATGAATTGTAAAAAGATATATCGAATGAACTACTTCTAAATCACTTCACCTGCTCTATTTTTTTTATTTTAATTTTTATTTTAATTTACACTATTTTAATTTTATAAATTTCTTAAAAAAAATTTGATCTTATGACAAATAAATGTGACAACTTCTTCGGCACAATGCGAAGATAAATTAGCGTTATGAGAAAAAAAATTTATCCAGGCTTGGCATTTTTCTTCCATCGAATAGTCTTGCTTTTTTTCTTTGTTTCTTCTATCATTTTCTGTCATCATTCAGAAAATATTATTGAATAGTTCCATCAAAATATAATTCAAATATACTTATGTACTTTATATGTACTTCGTGGCGATTTACGGTGACAGGTTTGACAGGTTTCGAAAATTTCTTCATTTTTTCTTCAGGAAATTTTTATCAAACCATGTTATGCCATATTTTTTCAAAAAGAATATCTGGAAAAGAAATGAATTTGGAATTTGAATATTTAATAAATTTGGAATAATAATTATATAAATTGCGCAAATATTAGCATTTTCACTTTGTTCTATCCTTTCCTAAATTCTTAAGCAGGTTTCTAAAGAAATTTGGTAATTAGAAATATAAAATATATCGAATTCACTTGAATGAAATCCTTCGAGCTAATGAGTTAATGAGCAAATGAAGTATTTCTCTACCAAATATTAGTTTAAAAGCGCTAAATCAGTTACAGGTTATCGGTTAATGGGAAGAAGATGCTGGAATTTTATTTCTAGCAAGAGCAAATCTCAAAAATCAGAATTATTAGTAACTCATTTATGCTTCTATCGCCATGACTTTCATGACTTTTTGATAAAACTTGTCCGCGCCAAAAAGCAAACGAGCAAGCAAAAAATATTAAAATATTACCATTATCATAAAAATATTATCATTAGTTAAATTAAATTGAATGAATTGTAAAAATAAAATAAATTAAATTAAAAATGAATCAGAAGATAAATAAAATTGATTATGAATCACGATAAAATAAATATATGACAAAAAAAGAAAAAAATTCCGAAATTCGACAAAAAGTGCAAAAATTTTTCTAATATTTCACGAATAAGTTCGTTGCCATTCTTCTGAAAACTGGAATAATAATTAAAGAGCCATCAGACAGTAATTTTTTATGTTTGAAACAAAAAATTAAAATTATGCAAGTGACTCTTACTTGTACTTCGATTCCAATGATTTTCACTTTAAATGCATTCTTAGTACACATAGGAACTGATAAGAATTGATAAGAATTGGTCAATAAATCATTCTTATTGAAATTTAGTAATTTCGCTGAACATCAACTTTAACTTTTCTCTCATCCACTATACTTGGCCATGATCATTCTCAACCTCGAGTCCTCCACTAGAAGTCTGAGAGATTGTGGGTTTCGCGCAGTTATTCTTAAACGCTCTTCCGAACAGAGATCTGTGATTTTATTCCTAAAATCTACTGAAGCCATTCTTTTAATTTAGGAGCCACACTTCCAAGTGCTCCAATATCACTGAATATATTATATCCATATATGTGTTCTTATATTTTATATTTCTTATATCTTATATTTTAATATAATAAAATATGAGAAAAATTTCTATGGAATTCTATTTTATATTTTATTTTTTATTCCGTTTTTAGGCAATTTTTTTCAAGAATTTTCAATTTTCAAGAAAAATAATTCAAGAATTATTCTAATCGCTGATGGACGAAAGCGGACGAGCAAATTTATTTCAAAAATGGTAAATATTAATTTGCCAGTTAATGCTAATTACAGATGAAAAATTAATTTATAAATTCGTTTTATTCATAATAAAACCTAAAAAAAATGATTAAAAACTTTAATGGTGGTATTGTAAAAAAATTTTGCAACAATACAGAAAAAAAATGGAATGATTCCGATAGATTTTCAATGTTTCAATTTGAAAAAGGCCGGAAAACGGTAAAATCATTTACGTGCATTATTTTATTTAGGCTACAAAAATTTTGCGAAACAGTTCACAAACAAAACGGTTTATATTTAAGATAATCAAGTCTTTTCCTCTTCTTTGCACGATGTTCAGGTATTTTTTGCAATTTTCAGCTCAGCAATACAATACTAAAATCCTATTATGCACATTCAATGTGTTCCCTTCCTACAGTATTCGATTATTTCCTATTCACTGTCTAATTCAGTGAAAAATTCTTATAACAAATTAATTCGTTGATAGTAGATAGTTTCTTTTTTATTTCTCCTATTATATTTACTTTTTAGTTGATTAATAAAAAAACTTATTATCATTAGTGATAAAGTTGATAAACCTGTTTTGAGTATGAATCAACTCATTTTTTTCAAAAAATTTAGATCTCAAATTCATAAGTTGAATATACTTAGAAATCTTCAACCTGAACTTAATAGTAACGATAATAGTAATTGTCGATTGTGATTTTCCATCTTCAGCTTGATTATTAAAACAGGAAATTCCAAACGATTATTTCTACCTCGAGCCAGAAAAATGAAGAATCAGCAATATGGAAATTTTAATTGATTTAGGAAAAGCGATATCCATTAATAATCCTTACATCTGATAAGATATAAGGAGAAATAATATCAAGGAATATTACTATGATTGGTTTAATTTATGCTAAAAAATTTTCTCCATTTTTTTTAAGAAAAAATGAGGAATAATAACTAATTCGAATGAGTATTTATCAATAAATTCTAAGAATATTTTGTGCTGAAAAAATTTAAAATTTTTCAGATAACTGAAATGGGTATAAAAATTTTATTATTAATTATGACGTTATCAAAGAGAGGTGAAACTTTGCAATATGATAAAATAACACGTGAGAATATGCCTGGTGCAAAATATTATGATGGAAAGAAAATTGTTTTACCAATCTCCGAAAAAAGCATGGAGGAAATTTTCGATCGTTGGATGCAACAAGCGATGAGTGGAATACTAACTGGCTTCTCGATAAAAAAGTCTATTTTGTCAATTTATGGAACTTCATTCATAATAGAAATACTGTTCTAAAGAATTTCGTAAAGATTTCGTAACTAAAATTTCTTTAAGAAAAATTTATTTTTTTTATCCGAAATATGAATATTTTATCTTAGAAATCTTCAAAATAAAATTTAGATGAAATTTCGCTTTCGACATCTCAAACGCGAAAATTTAGAAGTGTTAACCTTGGAAATTCTGAAAAAAAATGGCTTGAAATATGCGCACAACGATCAAAAACAGTTAATGAACAAGCGCGTTGTGTTATTAAAATATTTGATTCGAAACGATTCTACAAAAAGCGAAAGAATTCATCTTTGGCTCGAAATTCTCTTTCACGAACTATGAGAAATAAAATTGACGATGTAAAAAATATTAATTAATTTTATTAATTGATAGCCTAGTTTTAATATTATTTTTTTTTAGAGAAAAATAGCTCCATCTATTATTGTAAACTTCGCAGACTATCATATTTTCTTCTTCATAGATACAGCATTTAGAATAAGTATATTTGAAAAAATTATAGATTGCATAGCGCCGCGGATTTCGTTTTCTGTGATTAGTTTTATCTTATCAATGGGAAGGTAACGAACGGATTTTACACTAAATATCTTTGATGGCTAAGCTCGAATATTTCAGCCATTTGCATGTTTAAGAATAATGCAAAAATTTGCAAAAATTTTTTTACAACATGATCGAATAAATTAATTTTGCAGGAGTGGAATACAGGTTCGTCTTTAGTGAGAAATCCAAATTCGCTTCTCGATCCACGTTTTTCATTAAATTTCGACAATTACGGTAGCCAAGCGATGAAAGCAGATGAATGGATCGGTGGATTTCGTATTTCTCGAGCGAAGCGGTCCTATAATTCAAAACCAAATATTATTTCACAAGCCAAATATAATCTGTTTACGGTGAACGGAAATCGATCAGCACTTGGATTCATTGCTCAATTCCTTAAAAGGAATATACAACGTATAAAGCAAAAAAATGATGCGAAGCCGTAAGACTCTATTCACTTTTCACAAATTTAGCTATTAAGAAGATAAACTATTTTATTTATTATATTTAATATATTATACTATAAATTAGGACCATTTTTATAGATTGAATGATTTAACTGGGGGTTCTATTCTCAAAAGACTTCTCGTTGGTGCTTAGGGCTCAACCACATTTTTATTTCTAAACTTTTCGGTGAAAAGGTTTCCAAAAATGATGAGTATTGTAAAAAAAAAAAATTAACAAGTTGATAATATAAATTACTATTAAATTTATATTTATTTTAATCAAAATTTTGTGGAATTGAAGAATATAATTGGTGAAATCAATAATCATCAAAAATTTTTCTAATTTCTCAAGTCAATTTTCGCAGCTTTTTTTTACACCCGAACGGCACTTTTCACCAAAAAAATATGCATTGAAAAATTGGCTGTAATGAAAAATTATACGAGAAATTTAGTGCAAATGAATAGTCAGAATAACAGCTCGATTCATAGCCCTCTAATAGTTCATTTTTCTTAATTTAGATGGTTCGTCATATTAGCAGAAGCTAAGCAATTGCATAAAGAAATCAAGAAAGCTGATGCACTTAAACGAGCAATGAGACGCAAATTGAAATTATTATCTGAGGCTCGAACTAAAGATTTGTCCTTTAATGAGAAACGTGAACTCAATAATCCCGATGTACTTTTATTTAGATGGTCTCTTTTGTAAAAAAAGAAATATTTTCCACTAAATTTTACATATAACTTTGAAGAATTCAGAAGAATAAATTGCATTTTATATATTAATTTCAATAGTCGATAAATATGGCTCAAATATGGCTTCTTGGGATAGAATGGCTCAATGAGCTGATATCACTTCGGATTGCTGATGCTGTGGCTCTACTCCTGGCAAGAGCAAGCCTATCTTCCGGAAATGGGGAGGTGTTGGCGATTCATTTTCTATCGTTCCTGGCAAAATTGTCTGAGTAAGCAAATTAGCGGAATGAGCCTAACCAGAAATATTTCATGAAAAATTTTCAAATGTTTTGGTAATTTAGCTTCTATTTAGCAGAGAATATAATTCTTTCATCGATTATAGAAAGTCACCAGTAAGCTTTCATGCAATTCTTTCTCATAGCAAAAAATAAGGCAATAATTAGGCCGATTATTTTTGATTTGGCTTATTCCATTTAGTACGAAGACAAACTTTTGCCCATGAGAATGGCGATAGAATTACAGTTGAATCACCATTTTATAAGGCGATTAATTCCTGATATAGTCCGAACATTGGAGATGATAATATAAGCAATAGCAGCTCGACTATTCTGTGCCCGATTCTTCTCCATAAATCTTCTTTTTAAATATAATTTTGCAAATAATAATCAAAATAAACAAAATTAAAATTATTTATGTTTATTAATATTTATCAAAGGAATATTTATAAGATATTGCCGATGCCGAGCGATTTCAAAAATATACCACTAGAATTAGAAGATAAACTACGCGCAACTAATGGAAAATCTGGAAAAATTAATAGACTGATGAAATTAGCAAGGCAAGGCATCAAACTTGGTATGATTCTGGCAGGAAAAAATATTACCAATTCTGGCAAGAAAATTTTGAGAATTGGTTCACCGCGATTTTTTTCACTTTTGCCTGACAAAGATTCGAATGATAGAGTAAGTTTGCTTAATTATTTTTAGAAATATTCGCAAATTTAAATTCTATGATCCTTAAAAAATGTTCTTGGTTATATTTTATTTCGATAATATTTTTATATCATTCGACTGCAGATAGATTTTCTGTCACCGTCATTACTGAATATGCATGATAAGGGTGATGATGCCGAAAACTTGCTTAGTATTCCTAATATACTCAAAAAATTGCATTCTTCAAAGTTTCAAGATCATGGAGATTTGATGAATTTGATTTTTGAAGCGAGTGGTGTCAGTGAACAGTTGCAGAAAGCAAAGGTTGATTATTTGTCTATCTATGATATATAAATTTAGCTAAAAATGAAGATTAAAAAACGAAGAAGTTCCATTAGAGTTTCAGGAAAGAATACTAACAGAAAACTTGAAAGCTGCAAGAGGCATTGATGGTCAACCGTTATATTTCAGTAAGGAGAATGTCACTGAGTTGTTTGGTGATTTTGAAAGGCGCAAAATTGAAACATTCGAAAAATTGCACAAAACATTTACACCTAAGCAGGCAACTTTTTCATCTTTTCTTATTTTAATCCCTCAATTTTTAAATTAAGTTTATTTTTCAAGTTTATTTTCATCTCTTTTTTTTCTAAGAATTCATTCAGAACACCATTTCTGGGTTAGGTTTGCTTTATCAACTCGTCAGGCTAGGCATATTTTGCAGAAAGTAGATCACTCTGATTAAGCTTATTTCGCTAGCTTATCAGATCAGGCAAATTTTGCCAGGAAATCACTTGGCGACAGAAATAGAAATCACCAGGTTTTTCAAACTTTATTAAATTGCATGATTTAAATTTTCTAATCAAATAAAAAATCTGATTTTTTAATTTTTTTTAATTCAATTAATTTTTTAATTTTTTTTATTAATTTCTTAGCGAGAAAGTTGAATTTTTCTGTGAACTTACTTCAATTTAATTTAACTCGAAACTTACTTTCGGAACTTCGATATATTATTCCAATTATGCAATTAGTTCTGCGGCTTAAGAATTCTTTCTTTCTTTTAAATCAATTTTATTGATAATTTTAAAAAGTTTTTCACTTTTTTCATATTTGGTTTGCTTTACTTTATTCTATACCTTCACAAACTGTGTTAGGAAAATTGTGAATGATTTAGCGATTATTTTTAAAAAATTTCCAGTAGATTGGAAATCCAGTTGGGGTTTCACAAAAAAAAAAATTTGAGGCAACCACTGGTCTAACGCCACTAAAACGTGTTCCGCATAAGTATATTTTCCTCCGGACTAAAGCATTTCTTCACAAATCTTTCCCTCTATGAATATTCATTTAGAAAGCAGATCTGAGCGATGTGGGATATTCAACATTAACTCGGAATCAACTATCATTGATTTATGGCAAAGATTCACCTTATCACGATCTGGCAGCTCTTGAAAGGTTGTCAAATATAACTGGTGATGAATATTTTGAAAAGCTATTAATGAATGATATAAAACTGATCGCAAAATCCGAAGCTATTGCTACAATTAAAGAAGGAAACAGACGCAAAAGGCAAACAGTACTTTCACCATCTATTTTGTCACCTAGTGTGAGTTCACCTAGCAAATTGTCGCCAACAATTTTGTCGCCAGGAGTCTTAAACCCTGCTATTTTAAGTCCATCTATTCTTGGTGCAGTAATTCTAAGCCCTGGACTTTTTAATCCCAGTTTTTTATCACCTTCAATGTTGTCGCCAGTTATACTTAGCCCTGATGGATTCAGTCCTGTAGTGTTAAGCCCTTCGGCTCTTAATCCAGTCGTACTATCACCAGGAGTTTTCAGTCCTGCAGTGCTTAGTCCAACTGCTTTATCACCCGGTGCTTTGAATCCGGGCTTCGGTTCTCCTGCTGTACTCTCACCTTTTGTCCTCAATCCTGCACTTCTAAGTCCTTCTGCAATGTCGCCACTCGTTTTGAGCCCATTTGCCTTCTCTCCTGATATGCTATCACCCTCATATTTTTCTGCTGTAATACTTAGTCCAAGCGCTTTCTCTCCATCTTTTGAATCGCCATCTGAAAATGTGACAGTTGTACTTTCGCCTAGCATTTTTAGTTGACTTATGTATGGTATTTTTCAAATGTAATATCGAAAATTAAATTATTTGTTGAGAGTTTTTTAAAATTGTTTTCATTAAATTTACTAATTTATTAAAATTTATTTATGATTTTCTAAATTTGCTAAACAATAGCTAAATAAATGTAAAGAAAAGTTGCAATAATTTTTATTGCGAGAATAAAATTAATAATATTCCACTAAAAGACAACAGTACATAATGATAACGTATCTCATCGGTGTCGAAATTCTTCTCCCAAAGAGAAATAAAGGTATCTTTTAAAAAATCCAGGGAATGTTAGGGACTAATCAACCAACACTAATTGACTCTTTGGCAAGAATTTATCTGATAAGTCAGCAGAGTAATTCTAACCAGAAAATATGATTACTCTTAAAAAAAAAGGGCAAAACAATGGAAAAAAAATCAAAAACATTATTTCTCATGAATAAAACTGCTTATCAACTTATCACTTACCATTCACTAAAAAATATTTTGCAAGTATAAGTTTCTTTTTCAGTCAAAAAATACTTTTGTATTTTATTTTATATTTTTACGGACAGAGGCAAATATTCTATTAAGTGTTTTTATCAGTATCAGTATAAATGATTTTAGTGAATAGAACATGTGAAACTTTTTGGTTATCATCTTTAATTCTTAAAGATGTTTTTCCCTATCAACATCCAATGAGCTTTAGCCCTACTAAAATTCTATCTTATTCTTGAAGAAATTTTAATATCTATGTGAGGTGCCTTTCTAGAAGCCGCTCAGTCAGATGTCCCATTTCAGAGTAACTTTGGAGTCACAATAGGTGTGATGCCGAGATCCATTCATTTTTATACCGCTTAAGTCTATATACATCACAATTCCGCCTAAATATCTGAAATCTCTTTGCATCAGTCCAAATATCGAACATCCAGCTTTTAATGTTATTCGTCGCAATGCTTGGTGAGGAGCCTGTCAAGTTACTGATACATGATCCAGAATTTTCGATAGTTTTCTCTATCTATTACGACATTATGTTCCGCTATGCTTTTGACTGACTTATATGATTCTGAAGTACCAGCAAAAAATAATTCAATGCTTTTGACTGACTTATATGATTCTGAAGCACCAGCAAAATAAATGGATGTATTGCAAGGATTGCAGCCCTAAAGCATGCCGGAAGGATCTGTCACTTTCCCATGCAAGCAGCGCCAATATATACTGGTAAAATATCTTCTCTGGAACATTGCCACATTCTACGCATCCTCCAAATCTTTGCTCTGTCAACTGAATCTTTTTTTGGATTCGAACTGCACTGACTATTAAATTAAAATTTTTTTGTCAGAGAGACAATTGAAGTAGAGTTAAAAAATGGACTTAAAAAGGGATAGATTTACGAGAAATTCGAATTTAAACTTCCATAATAGCATCAGCTTGATTGTGAATTAATAAAGGGTTAATAGCGTTGAATGAATGATATTGCTAATTTATTGATATGATATGACATTATCTTTATCTTATATTATTTTTTTGTAAATTCATTGCCGGTCGAAGAAGTGCCCGATTTTAAATACCTTGGGTCCACTCTAATACAAAATAGCCACACGGCAGCTAGAAATGAGTTTTTCCGATTGACGAAACTTTATGGAGCCGTCGTGAATTTACCATTAAAACAAAAGTCTGCATCTACTTAGTCGTGATTCCTTCGATCTTACTATTAGACATTCTAAGACATGGCCAATGAGAGCGGAAGAACTACCTAACTTTGACCACTTTCGTCTAAGGTATATTTTAGGGTTCGTCGAGCGGATAAAATATCAGATAATCGGATCCACCTTCGTTCAAATACCACCTGTATTAATAATGTTATCATAGAGCGTCACCTTCTGTGGTTAGGCCACATTCTCCGTCGTCCACCACAAGAGTTGTCGCATATTTCGTTACTTGCTAAACCGTGCTAAGCAGCGTCAAAAGCGAGGTCAAGACCTGGACTGATACGGTCAGGAAAGATTTTGAACGCATAGGTGACCAGCAATATATGGACTTTGACGATGGAAAAAGGAATGGCTTCTATTACTGTCGACGATGGCATTAGACCGCGCCGTTTGGAAATATCTTACCCTTGTAGCCATTGGAGCCAGCCTAACTAGTAATGGTGAGAACTATTAGTTAGAATAATCTATTTTCAGGTTCATTTATCTTCACACTTGGAATACTTTTTCATTCTTGCCTAATGGATTTTACTTTCAATGCCCTATAATTAAATCAACCATGCTTGCGTTCAATCGCATTAAACTGAATTTACTTTTTAATTATCGTTGCAACAAGCATAATAAACTGCAATTGCACTCTTTGGCGAATAATTGGCAATCTTCTATTGCACATTTAATCATATGGAGATGAAATAATTGAAGCAGCAATATGTTATATTTAGATTTTATTATTGCATAATTTTTGGCTATCTTTAGATATATCAACGAGAATTTCATCCATAAAATTGACGATCATAATTTTAATATCTCCAATATTTGCATATTTGATCACATTTTAGAAATTTTAAATAGGTTTAAAAACTTGCTTTTGAACCACATTATAATATCTCTCTTTTACGAAATGTCTGCATTGGAGATTGAATAAGAATATATATAATCTTTTTCAATTTTAAAATTTCAACCCGACCGAAAAAAATTTTAAAATTTTGATCATCTGTAACAAAAAGAATCGTTTTCGTTGATAAAAGAGAAAATCTAATCGAAACGACAGTTATACATTTTTAACTATTCTCAAACAAGAGTCTATTCATGTAAAAGAACTATAAATTATGTCTTTTACTTTATTATTTTATCCTTTGATTTATCGATTTTAATTAGTAGTAAACTCATTGATAAAGTGATAAATAAATAAGTAAATGAACGATATCAAAGGGCTATATCATTAAGAATCATTAAGAAAAATTCCAACATATATAATATTTATGAAATTTCTACGATGGAGAAAAAGGGAGGAGAGCGCAAATTTCTGGAATATGGATAATAAAAAATATGGATAAAAAATCTCTGAAAAGCTATTTAGATAATGTTTATAAGCCAAAGTATTATAATTATAAATATAAGATAATAATTAAAGATAATAAAAAATTGAAAAATTCAAAATAATCCAAGAATAACAATTATTCATTCTCTTCTTTATTTAGTATTTTCTGTTTTAATTGGTTCTGTCGACAAAATGCGATGAATTGATGAATTGTTAACGATTAAAATTAATTATTATCCATGCAATGCCTATGCTTTCGCATTTTTTTAAACATTTTAAAACATTACTGAAAAGTATTCATGATAATAATGATAATTGATAACAAAAGATAAAGTGATAAAAAAGTGATATTAAAGATGATGAAGTCTTATTGCTATCGATAATATAAATGAAGTAAGATGAAAACCAAGAATGAAAACCAAAAAAAGCAGTTAAAAAAGATAAAAAGATAAAAAAAAAGCATAATCGGTCCACAGCTTTTACTTTTATTCCATTTCACTTCGAATCTCATCATTATAACCAACTATTATAAAAAAAGTTGTAGAAAATAGGGTATTAAATTATTCGTAATTAGGCCATCATTGTTACAAAAGTTTATCACATTATAAATCTCGTTTAAGAACATAATTTATAATTATATAATGATGTATTTAATCCATTTGTAAGAAACCTTAATCATTTGTGTAGTTCATATTATATCATATTCTTTCTACTATAATCTTTTTAATATTAATTGTTTATTTTAAGTTTATTCTATTATCAGTAATTGATTAAGATTATAATGGATATTTGCCATGAATTTCCCAACTTTGAGATAGAATGGTTCAGTGGATTGCTATTTTCATTTCAGAGTATTATTTCTCTATTACTGATAAGAATAATTCTCGCTTGTACGCCAACTATAATTCGTCTGCTCTTATCATTTAAAGTCTAACCCGAACTAGTGAATATCCTGAGAGAAAAAAAGGATATAATGAATCAGCTAATAATTGCTAGCATTGTATAACATATAATCCGAATGAGATATTGAATAAATCTGTCTTATTGATAATCTATCCACGTTAATTTTATAATTATCATTATCATTAAATTAATTAAAGTTTTAGTGTAGACGACTCAAAAATATTTATTTTTAGTAGAATTTTAATGCATTGTACAATTTTGATAATCAATTTGGGAATTTTATTTTTAAAAATATGTTGCGCAGAATATACAAAAGAGAATATGCCTGGAGCAAAATATTATGATGGAAAAAAAATTTCATTGCCTGTGAACGAAAATGCAACATTTCTTTTATACGACTATTGGATTAATCAAGCAATTAGCGCATTTCTTGCATCTTTTGCTACTGAAAAGTACCATTGTCTTCTTTCGCTAAATTTTACAGTTAATTGAATCCAATCGTTAAATGAGCGATAATATTAATAATTTTGCGAAAATAATTTAAGGGAAAAAAATGCAACACGGAAATTAGTTATTTGCCAGAGTTCTAAAAAATTGCAAAATTTAACCAAAAGTCTTATTATACCACATTATGAATGGCTCAGTGGGTTATTGCTCAATTTGGAGCGCCGATGTTGAGGTTCGATTCCCCGCAGGAGTAAGACTGCGCAAAAATCCGGGTGACGCTGGCGACTCACATGTATTTCTATCTGCCAAGGGACTCCATTGCATATTGCCCAAGGCGATAAGCCAGTGGAGCAAGTTTAATCAATAATGATGAGGACTCTCAAAAAAAAAAATTACTACATTACCTTTTGATATAAAAAAATTCATCTCTAAAGTAATCCAATTAAAATTGAAGCTAATGCCATTCAACCGAAATTGCCGAATCCATTTAAGAGATATAACAATTTCTTGGATTTAGATTCTAAATACCGAAATATAATTACTAAAGGTACGAATTGCTATCGAATATTAAACTAAATGGATTCGATTGGACTGTTTAGCCATTTTTTAGCGCTTTGTTAAAATATGTTTTAAATATGTTTTAAAATTTTAGGATTGAAAACTTAAACGAAAGATATCGAAGAAGGTTAGAAATCTGTACAAAAGCATCCGACACAGTTAAGAAACATGCAAAATGTGTTCTTGATATTATCAATACTTCAAAATCAGCAAAACTAAAGGATTTTGTGCCACGAAGTGATTACTTTTTCAATATTTAAAGCAATATTTCATTTACCAAATTTCTATATTTCTACATTAAATATCTAATTATTAAATATTTACTTATGTTAAATAGTTAAATTATAAAAATTATAATTATATTAAATTGTATCAAATGAATCTTTGCTAACTTCCATGCTTCCATTAGCAAAATTTCTATATCATTTTCAAAAGAATGAAATTGGTCAATTTAAATGGAACTGCCACTAAAATTTAAAAATTTGAAGCTGCCACTATACTATTATGTCCACCATACTTTATTGCTAACTAATTACTTCCAGGTTCTCACCATAAACAATCAATCAAAACTAAATTGTTGGGTAAAAATGGTAATATTCGTGTAACATTACCACCTCTTGATCAACGAGCCTTATCAATTTTTTCACAAGCAGCTTTAAAAAAACTTCATAAATCTGAACCGATTTTGAATAGTACGGATCGTTGGCAAGGTGGATTTCTGGTATCAAATTCAGCCGATAATTTCGATGAATCGATTAACAATCCATTAAGGTCTAAGCGCGATATTGTAGCGAAAAATAATTATAATCTAATATCGGAAAATTCTGCTGGTACTCTAATAGGATCGTTGATGCGCTATATGAAAAAAACGATCCAACAATTCAAGAATAAAACCAACACGAAACCGTAAGTAGCAATCAATTTTTTTTTCTGAAAATAATCATTTCTGGTTAGTCTCTTCCGCTAGCTTAACGAGCCAGAAATTTATTTGGCTGCAACTAAGTCGCCAATAATTTACATTTATTTTTACTCTTCTTGAATTCGTTCCGAAATGAGAGCAATAATCCATTGCGAAATTTTGTTCAAATGCGAGAATTTCGAAAAATATTTTATTTTACAACCTTGCTAAATCGTTTTTTCAAAAAACTACAAAATCGTATGGAATTAAGATGGCGGGTAATTGTCTCCGAATTAACCGATCTGTCAAAGAGGATAAAGAAAAACGACCAAATGAAAAGGGAAATGAATAAGAAAATGGAAGAATTTATGTTATCTAAAAATGGAATAGCAATCGAAGACAGAAGTCGAAAAGATTCGACGGTTAGATTTTCAAAAAAATTTCCAAAAGAAATCCTTTTCTTTTCATAAACCAAATTACTAAAAGGTCAATTATTGACCTTAAAATATAAAAAAATATAAATGTATATAAATAAATAAATATAAATCTTCAATATAAAAATTATTTCTATATTTCAATAAAAATATATTAAAAAATTATTGTCATATTTGGATAAAATCATATGATATTCGTTCTTTTTTTTCAAAATCTTTTTCTAACAACAATCGCCATTATTGATCTGAAAAGGCTAAAATGGCTAATAGGGTGAAATTCGCTTGGCTATAGGGTAAGTCACCAGGTATCGCAATTTGCACCTTGTGGGTCTGCGCTCAGAAATAAGGTCAACAACCCAGTGAGAAATTTTATCCAATATGAGTGAAAAATTCTCGGCAAAGATTAAAGTAAAGTATAAAAAATATAATCTCTAATAGCAACAAACCGATTTAGTCCTATCAATGAATTGGAACCACGTTTATATTGCCTTAAATAAAATTCCATTTGTTCAACGCATAGCATTTGGTCAACTGTACTTTATCACCATTATCACCATTATGCACCATTTTGTTATTTGCTACGAAACAATGAGCAGTGGACGAATGTGACGGCCAATGAGAGTGGAAGATATTAAGAAGTTATCCACCTCTGACCAAATATTTTACTTAATCGCCGAGTGGATAGATAGAACATCTCATGGTTGACATCCATCTTCGTTCAAACATATGCATTTAAAATATCGACACAGAGCGTCACCTACTTGATTAATCATAGCGTTTTATGGCGGTAGAAACTAGGAGAGCCAATCAACAATTACTTACACCGGCACGATCAGAAAAATTTTTGGTCCCACGATATATGGCTCAGACAATGAAAAAAAAGAGTGGTTTCTTTTAATATCAAATATGGCATTACATCGAGCAGCTTGGCCTTATAGCCAGCAAAATCAGCCTAACCAGTGATGGTGAAAGCTGTTAGAAGTCATTCATTCACCTTTTCTCCAACGTTATCTTATCGATTTATCTGCTTTTATTATTTTTTGTGGGCTTTAAAACTTCCAAATCATAAATCTACTAATTTTTCGTACAGATTCAAATTATTTATTAAAAAAACAAAAATGGCATTTATTGCAGTTATCTGAAACTCTTAATAAATTTCCCGATATTCCATATGAAGTCGAAAATATGCTAAGACGAATGGGTAATACACCTAGAAAAAAGGGAATTTTTGAAGCAATGAAATTATTTCGTAAAGGTGTTAAACTTGGAATGTTGATGACTAGCCAAAATGTGACCGATTTCGATCGAAAGACTATTAGATTCGCTTCTCCACGAATAATGCCCGTCGTGTCGAATGCTCAGGACGATGATGAGGTTGAAGTTATTCCTTCTATAAAAAAACCAAATTTTTATTATATTTTATTTTTATAATAATAAATAATTAAGGAAAAAATTATGGGCGAATCAAAGTTTTTAAAAAATTTGCATTTCTTTTATAATTGATAATTGGAATTTCGAAAAAAAAATTTCATAAATATTGGTTAGTAAATTATTTTAAGAATAATTCAGTGAAAATGATCACAACAAATTGCTATTTTCATTCAGATAAAAATATTATCACCTTCGCTGTTAAGCTTGCATGATGAAGGAAAAGGATTAGAGAAAATGCTCAGTTTATCAGGTGCAATGAAAGCAGCAAAATTATTAGAAAATCACGATCATGATGCGCTTATGAATTTCATTATGGAAGCAACAGGAATCACAGACGCTGCTGATAAAATTAGGGTATTTCTTTTTCATAAATGCTCTAAATCTATTGCTGAATTGTAAAAATTATTTTCAGAAAATTTTAGCTTTTTGGAAAATTTTTAAGAAATTCCCATTTTGCTTGAATTTATCAAATTTCACTGGTGATTAATTTTTTTTCTAATATTATATTTTTTGAATTATTTCTATAAACTTAAATTATCAGGTAAATTATAATCAGATAAATTAAATTTAATTGAAATTTATTTTAAAGTTAATTTTTTGGACAATGAAAAAAAGATTATTTAGAATTTCCAAAATTCCTTGAAAATGAATTTAATTGGAAAAGAAAAAAAAATGAATAGAAATTTTTAGAAAAAAAAATTGGCGCAATTGGATGAAAGAGAAAAAAAATTTATTGGAATTGATGGACAGCCAATGTATTTCACGCGAAAAAACGTTACTGATTTATATGGAGACGGTGAAGCTCAAAAAATTGACGTATTTGAACAACTTCAAGAATCATTATCAGATAATCAGGTAAAATATTAAGTATAGGAGAATCGGAATTAAGCGCAAAATATATTAATTTTATCTGATTGACTATTTTTGGATTGACCAAATTTTCATGTATTGCTTCTTCTTCTTCAGATAGATAAATTGAATACAACTGGATATGCTATGATGCAGGCCGATCAACTTTACACACTTTATGGACCAAATTCGCCATATTCTAGTCCAGAAGTTCTTGTTAAATTCGCAAATCTAAGCGATGATGAAATTCTTGAGAAACTTATTATTAGCGATATTGTTCGTTTATCAAAAAGTGAAAAAGTTTTTGTTGAGAGGCATAAAAAACGATCAAAACGTACAGTTGCTTTATCACCATTACTTAAGGCAAATCTTATTTTGAAACCAGCTACTGTTTCACAAACTATTGTTCTTTCACCATTGGTTCTAAGCCCTATAATACTCTCACCTGCCGCATTAGGGCCAATTATTCTTAGCCCTTGGGTTTTTATACCTCTTATTTTATCGCCTCGTGTTCTTTCTCCACTTATTCTTACTCCATTAGTAGGAAGTCCTGTAATATTATCACCTCTTGTTCTCCATCCGTTCATTCTTTCTCCAGGCGTTATGAATCCTTTTATCCTTAGTCCTTTATTACTATCACCACTCATTTTATCGCCTCAAGTATTAACACCGCTTATTCTTACACCTCTTTGTCTCAATCCACTAATTTTGAGCCCTGCAGTATTATCACCTTTGGTATTAAGCCCTTTTGTACTTTCACCACTAATTTTATCTAGCCAGCTATTATTTGGACTTTTTTTCAGTCCTTACGCTTTTTCACCCTTGATTTTGACGAACCTAACCTTAAGTGCAATCGTTGCCTCACCTAGTTTCATGAGCTGATATTCCTGATAATATTAAATAGCGCTTATAAAAAAAAAAAAAAATTTCACATTTTGCCATTCTTTTTTGATCTTTTACTAAAATTTAAGGAGATAAAATAGAATAAGTGTGGCCCACGAAAGTAAATGAGAATTTAGTTTATCAATTGTTGTCATTTTATCAATTATCAAAAAATTGAAAATTTTTTAACTCATTTTCATCCAAAAATATATTCATATTTTGAATGAAATGAGATTTTTCTTTGATAGAAAAAGTTTTAGATAATCGCCAAAAGTTCGAAAAAAATTGTTGTATTTAGAAATAATATAAATGGTAATATTTCATGTAATTTATAAATTTCAATGATTTTTTAAATTATTATTCGATATTTTTGATAAATTTATGATAATTATTGTATTTTTAATGAATTACAATAATAATTACAATATTATATTATTATTAGTATCGTTCACGAAACTATTTCATTAAATAAAATACTTAATCTTCTATAGCTATAAATCTTGCTTGCATAACTTTCGGCAAACTACGTCCGCAATACTACTGAACAGGTATTAGGCATAATTTCGGTTAATATCATGGATTTTTCATGGACTAATTAAAGTCGAATTTTGGAAAAATTCAGATTTTTGCTAGCCATCCACGTGTAATCTCCCTTCAAGGAAATGTATGTATAAATGCTTTCCGCGAGATTTGTTTATTATTTCGAAAGCGTCTATGCGTAGTTTTATTTTATATATTAATATGGGGAGATATTTTATTAATAACTAAGCAATAATTGAAAAAATATATTGCACTTAAAAAAATGAATTCATCAAAGATGCAAACAATGTTTTTTAAAATATCAATATCCTTGTTTTTTTTTGCTATTTTTTTCTTTTCTTTATCAGTAGTAAAGGTGGAAATTGATAGGATCAAACGAGGAAGATTATAAAAAAGTTATTTCTTATCATGTTATTTCTTATCATTTGTAAAAAAAAAAAGAAGTACATGTGGCCTATTGCGGCGAATGGTACAACTGTGGTTGTAAATGTCGAGTAAATTTTACAAACCTCTTGTGAACTATTCAATAATTTCAAGGATTGTGGTAGTGGTGCAGAATAAAATAAAATAAGCATCGAAGGAATCGTAATGTAAGGAACCTAACTTGAACAGAAAGGCTGCATTTTAGTAGTTGGAATAATAGGAAATGATTGGTACTTTTCTAGTTGAAATGTGCCAATCACTATTCGCTTTTGGCTCATTCCAAGTCCTATTTGCTTACGAACGTCGATTTCAATGGTACCAAACATCGATTTTTTGTATTTTTCTTCATTATTTAGAATTTATGGCTTAATTTGCATAAGTAGTAAAATATTTTCCTCTTTTCAGGTATTTTCCAAAATTTTACACGTGAGATTAGTAATCTTTTAATTTTACACGTGAGAGATTTAAATCAGAAATAACAAATAAACCCACGTTGAATGATTAAGCCTAGCACTAAAGCGCAGCTCCTTTCCAATTAAGCTAAAGTGCAGCTTTTTTGCGGTCTTTGGTATTTATTCGAATAGTAAAAAATTTTTTAATTCTTTCAAACCGTCAATACAATGCCACTCAGCCCTTCTCGCAATTTCATAATTTTTTTTTCAAATCTGATTGCCAATCTTTCTTATAACAGCTCTCACCATTACCGGTTAGACTGGATCCAACGGCTGGTCCATATATTAGGCGATGGAAAAAGGAATGGCTTCTATTACTACTAGCGATGGTATCAGACCGCGCCACTTGGAAGCGTCTTACCCTTATAGTCGCTGGAGCCAGCCCAGTCTGACCAGTAACTCTGAGAGCTGTTAGACGAAGAAGATGTCCATATATTGCTGGTCCATCTCTACGTTCAAAATCTTTTCTGACCAACTCTTGATTGGCCTTCATTGATTTTCAAAGATTCGAGTGACTTATGCTTTTTGTCGCCACGTAATTCACTAGCGAAATTTGTCTATTCATGACAAGTCAACGATATAAGAAGAATTGGTAAAGCGAATGATTTTCAAAATGGCTTTTCTGAAATTTACGACATAAATTAGAGTACGTTAGTGGCTTGAAGAGTATTAGCCGAGCTCGAATATGGCGGATAAATCACGCTTTGTCGAGCGGAAGTGTCGCCGAACGGCAAAATCGTTTTGCCAATGTTGGTGTTTCAAAAGTCACTGGCTTGACTCACTTGATTTCTATCACCAAATGACAGGTGAATTCTCTGGAAAAAAAAAGTATTTTAAATATTTTTATCAAAATTTCTGATTTTTACTTTTTAATTTAAAAGATTTGATAAAATTTTTTGCACCTTTAAAGCCAATTAATTGCTTGATTTACGCAAAAATCACCAAAAATCACCCGTGGTTTATGGCATTCGATACGAATCTCGTCGTTTCTTGCCAAAATTCGTGATATTTAGTCCAAAAAATTTCTTCTTATTGATTTTTAATAGATAATATTTTTATTTAAAAAAAAAACAGTTTGATGTTTACTTTAGAAATTTTAGAAGAAAAATTTTAACGAAAAATTTTTTTTTCTTAATTTTCAAATTTCCTAACAAAATTATTTATTTAATTTATAATATTTTAACAAAAATTTAACTTATAATATTAATTATTGATAATTAATTAATTAATTAATAATATTGATTTAAATTTTATTTAAATTTTATTTTTATATGTTTTAATTTATATATTTTTAATTGTCAGAAATTACAATAATGAAACAACGAAGAGAACTCTCTTTGTGGCATTTGCAAAAAAAACAATTTATTTAAAATTTTAAATATTATATTTTTATTTCATTTTGCTTATTAATTCGTCAAATTTTATTTATTACCATTGTTTTTTTTTTTTATAAATTTGATTGTTAAGAAAATACAATTCACAAATGGCTCAATGAAGAGGGGGTATTTTAGCAGTGTGAAAAGAGGCTGCAGTGGCAGACGACAAATATGCGATTTATCGAGTTGTGCATGAGGGGTAGGGAATGGAAAATTCTCAAAGCAAGTGAACCGCTGAAAATAGCCTAAGGAAGCGAGAAATTTTGGCCATATTTGGCCGCAACGCTCAATTTCAGAAGTCGGCTATTTATTTTATCCACTAATATTGCATATCATTTATTTGCCTACTTTCATCGTGCTCGAGCTATTTACTTTACTTTATACTTGAGTAAATTTACTGGCTTTATCGTAGTTATATTTCAGACATCATAGTTCATAGAAAAAAAGTGCGACTTCGATTATCAGTTGTTCTGTGATAGCGTCGAAAGGATTTCGAATGACCGCATAAGCCAAGCTTGCTTTAAGGAGAGATCCCGTAATGTCACCATTGTTTATACCTCTACATTATGCTTATGCATGATCTTTATAAAAATGAATGCTACTAGTATAGTACTAGAAGCAGTACGATCATAAATATGTAAGACTAAATACGTAGTACAACATTCTTTCGATGTGTCACCGGAATATATATTCGCTTTGCTGAGAAGTATTTTTTTTTAAAGAGTCCTCACCACTACTGGTTAAACGCGCTCCATTGGCTTATCTCATTGAGCAATAAGCGAGGGAGTCCCTTGGCAGATAGAAATACAGGCAAGTCGCCAGCATCACTCAGTTTTGTACAGGCTAACTCCTGCGGTGAATCGAACCTCACCACCGGCGCTTCTAATTAAGCAACAACCCACTGGGCCATTCTATTCCCATATTTATGAGAAGCATATTTATCGTCAGACGTAAGATTTCAGTACCAAAATCCAATTTTCTGGAACTTTTCCAGTGCACTTAAATTCAGTCGTTTAAATTCTTCATAATTTTCTCTACAAGTTCAGTATTTAGTGCTAAATAATCACACCTATTTTGGCGGTCATATATCATTTAATGTTATAGCTACAGCTAAGATCGGCTAGCTCGCCAGTTGACGATAGGTTTTTTTAAGTTATCGAAAAATTATTTGAATCACCTATTCACCGAGCACTGCTGGAGCGGCCATTGGCTATTAGTCTTTCGAAGTTGCGCAGTAGTAACTGCTGAGAGAAAATTCCCATTGAACTTAATATGGCTCCAAATGTGGAGACGACGACTTGAATTTTTTATAAGTGCTATGGACCAAAGGACCAAATAATTCCAAAATTTCTCGAGTTTTTTCTCAACCTAAAATGTGATCTCGATTATCAGTGGCTAGCTGATAGCATCAGAAGGATAGGAGCGGAAGGAATGACCGCATAGTCCAAGCTTACTTTAAGGCGAGTTCCTATAATGTCATTTTAATATTTTCGTAATAATTGATTTAAGTTGTTGGACGAGATAAATTTTGCTAGAGAGTCATATAGCGATGGAACATTTAAACAAGGAAATAAAGAGGCTTGCTTGGACTGAAACCTTGTTTCCGTACTCCGAAATAACAACTGAGAACCACTGAGCCATCCTTCTACCAACGTTGAACTTTACCTTTAATTTAGATAATGAAATTTCATTTTGAGTACTCACGAAGTTCTTTCGTTTAAAAAATGATCCTTTCCTACACTTTATGAAGAAAACAATATGTCGAAATGATATTTAGCATTTTCTTCGTTCCTCATATGAAGCCAAATATTGATGTGGAGTTTCGGTGCAAATGCCAGTTTCTTTCAGGAGAGACCGCTTATTTCCGGAATTTTGTATGAGAACTAAAATATTAAATATATTTCTTTGTTCCTTTGCTTATCGCATTTTTTTTAAAGAGTTTTCACCATTACTGGACAGTCCAATATGCCAGGGAGTCCCTAAGAATAACAGTTGAGCCGGATTTTAGGACAGGTTTACTCCTGCAGGGGAGCAGAACCTCAGCATCGGTGCTTAGAATTGAGCAACAACTCCACTGAGCATTTCTATCTTTATCGCATACAGTTCTTTGCAGCCGGAAAAGTTTTTTTTTCAATTTTTCATTCTCATTGGAGCTTAGTCCGTGTAAACTTATTAGTAATGCATAGCATTCATAATAAAATTCGATTATTTTTTATTTTTTTGCTTTAGTGCAATAAAATTTATCAGATGATAACGATTCTTCATTTCTATCATCATTTATCACTAACTTGGCTGGGCATAGAATGGTCGGAACCATTGGACCATTAGATATTTTTTTAGAAAGCAAAGAGCTTAAAATAATTTGCTAAATTAGAAAATAGAAGAGGAAATATCATATTCGACAAATTCACGGACTAGAAAATTATCACCACATTTATCATCACTTTTTAACGCTTTTCATACTAATTTCTCACCATATTCACCACCAATGCACCATAATTTATTATTCTTTCATCACCGTTCGAAATTTAACTATATTCTCTACTGAAGTGCCCTTTAATAATTCCTCATCTTTTCCTTTTCTTGCACCTCTCTATTCTTGTAAGTAAAATCGCTAAATTAATATACGATCAATCGTCATTTTTCTTTATTTTTTTAATATTTTAAATATAAGCAGTTGGTTAGTGATTTTTTCAAATCCCCTCCTCTTCCCCCTCTGCGTCCCCCCCCCCCCCAAAGCATTCTACTTTTTTCCATTAAATATTAGCCGAGAATGAATTCACATTGAACTAAATTTTAATAAATCTTTTTTGGAAGTGATTTGGAATGCTTCTCTCGGATATCGTGTCATTTACTCATTAATTTTAAATCTTATATTCGATTTTATTTATTTGCTAAATTTTCTAAAATCTCTTTTCTTTTTATCATAATTTTCATTTGTAATTTTTATTTTTATTCTTAATTATAATTATTATTTTAATAATTATTTAATAATTAATTATTTGCCCGAATCATTATTTAGTTATTTAATAAATTATTATTAAAATGTTAACGCCGCTTTGATTTACTATAAAATTAATTAATTTGGTATTTTGATAAATTTAGAAATCGTAAAATTGAAATTTTTACGAGTAACGCTTTTATTTATTAATTAATTCACTAAAATATTTTCCAGTGCGTAACACTCTTCTGACATATTTAAATATACTTCAATGCATATCCATCATTGGGCGATAATTGGCGTAGCGCGTTGCCAAATAATTTGAGCATTTAAGCATAAATTTTTGCAATTTTTTCTTTTATTTTTCATTATTTCCACCTATTTATTTATTTTTTCGATATTATTTTTATTTTTTACAAATAAAATATTATAAATATTTATTTTAATAAATATAAATAAATTTTTGTTATTATAAAATAATAAATAAAATAAAAATAGTTCAACGCGAAGACGTTTTTCCAATTACCAATTCGATTCATTCGCTTCAAATTCATCCGCATTAAAATATTTCTAAATTTACGAATAAATTATTGTAATATTGAAATATTGAAATTTTTCTATTCGAATAAAAAAATTTGAACGAATAAAATTTTTAATTTTTTTCTTTTTTTTCTTTATTTTTTCTTTTTTTTGATTTTATTTTTTTTAGATAATTTTTTAAATAAAAATTTTTTTAAAATTTTTTAAAAATTCTCTCAATTTTCAGTTTTCATTTGAAACGAACGAATCTTTGTAGCCTTTGCGATAATCCTAAATAATTAATGCAAATGCAATTATCAGAGGCCAATGGAAAATCGATTCGGGAAATCATTTTAATTAATCGAATATATATTTTTCATACCAAATTAAAAATAGAATATGTGAATATGTGTATGTGTGCATGTATGCGTACGTGATGTGTGTGTGTACATGCACTTATGTATGTATGGTGTGCGTGTATGGTATGTGTGTATATGTTGTGCATATGTATTTGGTGCATATATGCATATGTGGAGTGTGTGTGTGTGCACTTATGTATATGTTTTGTGCTTGTATGATGTGCGTGTATGTTGTGCATGTGTGTGTATGTGGTGTTTGTATTGCGTATACGTGTGTGCTCTTATGCATATATGGTGTTGTGTGCGTGTGCGGTGTATGGTTTATGTGTTGTAATTATGTGCATATATGTGAAAATGCATGCATGTGTGTGCTTGTGTGTATGTATGTATGCATTCTCGATTTTGATGGTTTCCGTTGTTTGACGGTACTTATGGTACTTAATAGAGTGATAATATTATTATTTATTAAAGTTAGGCCATTAGTATTTCATTTTAATTTTTTTTTTTACTGCTGTTACTGGTTCTGCAAAACTCGTTTTTTATTTTATATTTCATAATCATTTTTTTCGAACGGCGAAATTATTTTTAGAAATTTTTAGAAGAGTGGTGAATATGAGAGAAAGGCGGATAAAGATTTTTTTTTTGCAAAATCATTGATTGTATTTAATATTTTGATAACAATTTATGGTTTTTGGTTAATAAAAAGTGGGTTGGCTGGCTCATGCCTGGCAGGTTCTGGCTCATGGCTGGCAGGTTCTGGCTCATGGTTAGATGTTTCTGGCTCATGGCTGGCAGTAGAAAGGCAAGAATGTTGAATAAATTGATATCAAATGAAATGAAATTTGTATTTTATTGTAATTGCTCTTCCAAGATTTTTTTGGATGTTTCGATTTGTAATTTGTTATTATTTATGAAAGGTGATTTTCGACGGTGAAAAATTTTAGTCCATTTTACTGGAATATAACCGATTCTTTACTTATACACTTTTTATTTACTTATTTTTTAACATACAAATAGGAATAATTTTAGTTTCAAAATTGTTGCCAAGAAATGTTTTTCTTTTCTCGTTTTTCTTTTTTTATATATTTTTGAAAAAAAAATTGCAAAATTATTTTGAATAGAAAAATTCGGAAAAAGAAAATTTTTTTTTACAAAAAAATTTTTTCAATTTCGATTGAAAAATAAATAAATTATAAAATTGATTTTTTAGAAAAAGAGAAAAAATTGTAAAAATTTTCATCGCAAAATCAATTTATTCGCTTAATTTTAATTTAATTGGAAAAAATTTTCAATAAATATTTTTAAAAAAAATTTTTTTGCAATTGAGAATTGCGATGAATTATTTAAATTTTTATTATTTTTATTACTTTTCTTTTTCGGTTAAAATCGAATTGAATTCGAAACTCGAAATTTGCCACTTATGGAATGATTTTAACAGTTGGAAAGTGGAATGTAATGATGAATTTTTTTAATGGAATATAAAAATTGCATTTTGAGAAAAGAAAAAATTTTCTTTTTTTTTCGCTAAATTTTATTTAAAATATATTTTAATGAAATACATTTTTTTTATTTAAAATATAAATTGATTTATGAATTTTCCTTTAAAAAAAAAAATTATTTTTGCATAAAATTTAAAGATAAATCAATTTAAATAATTAAGAATTTTTTACAATAATTAATTATAAATATTGATGATTGTAAATTTCGAATTTTTCTCGTTGCCAAGGAGAAATATATGAATTATGAATTTTCTAACTGAATTCATATAATATTTATAATTAATTTTTTAATATATAAAATAATCCATGGTTGAATATTTCACATGAAAAATTAGTCACGAATCGCTTAAAGTAATAATGCAAGATTTCGATGCTATTTCTCGTTAGTTTCGCTTCGCTAGCTTATCAGATCAAGTCATTTGGTGATAAGAGAATATAAATGAGTTGGATTTTTGAGAGAGGTAGGCTTGCCTATACTTGGAATTTTGCAATAAAAGCAATCACTTAGTGATAAGAGAATGTTAAGTGAAATGGATTTTTTAGAGAGACAAGTTTACTAATCCTAATGGAAGCTCCGAAATGAAAGCAATAATTCACTTAGCCATTTTTTCCCTTTTTTACAGTGAAAATTTCTTTTTTAAAAATTTTTTTTGTTTTTCTGATTTTTTCTTTTTTTTTTATCTCCCCTTAATTTTTTCTGTTTGATAAAAATTATTGCCAACTATAACCAAACAGAGCTATTAATTGCGCAATAGGTTATTATTTAATACGATTTGATATAATTATAATGATTTGCCGTAATTGTAATAAATTTTTATGTTATTTGTCTAGTTTATTGAGTAGTTTAGAGAGACCTTCAGAATAAGCTCAAAGATAGAATTTTGATAGTTGATTATTTTCTATAAGGAAAGGAATCGATTCTTAATTTGTCGGCGAGAAGGCGTATCGCATCGTTTATTAAAAGTGAAATACTGGTACTTTTGCTAACAAGTACCTCACCTATTTCTAAAGACGATTTCATATTGAACTCTTAAAAAAAAAAAGCTAAAAAAAATTTTTTTTTTTGCACAAAATTTTAGAAAAAAATTTATATTATATGGTTCATTTTAAGGTAGGAAAAATTAATTTTTCCATTATATTAAATCGCTAAAGATGATCGAAAATTTTTGAAGAATAAAATAAATACGCACCAGTTTTTACGCGATTCTTCTTGATTTTTCGCATTCATTCATTCATTCATTCATTTATTTATTCACCGCTTAATTTTATTCACCGCGAATCGCTCACCAGAATTATAATTTATAGCCAATAAAATGCGCAATTATTCCATGCATATTGACGGTGATTGTGATTCTCGTTTCAATGCTGTTAAACAAACATTCAGGTTGGTTTTTTTTTTTTTGACATAATAAATTTTTCTATTTTGATCATCGTCAAGTTTTTCTTTTTTTAGAATTTTCAATTTTTATATGTATAATTTGACAGTTGAGGCATAGAATGGCTCAGCGGATTGTTACTTATTTCAGAGCGGCGATACTATAGTTCTTTTCCGCGTAGGAATAAACCTATCCAAAAATTCGGGTTATGGTAGCGGCTCACTTGTACTTTTTTTATCGCCAAGGGACTCTCTGCCATTTTTTATAATGCGATAAGCTAGCCAGTGGAGCGAGTCTAACCACTAATGTTTTGAGAAATCTTAAAAAAAAAAGAATTTGACAAAATTTTTCGAGTTTTTTCGAGTTTTGACGCCAATCACAGGGTTCAGCAAATAGCGAAATATGCTTCAGCTCCTGTGGTAGAAGATGGAGAACTTGCTCCTAACCAGCGAACGTGATCTTATGTGATGATAGTATTAATTTTAATGGTATTGTGAAGATAGATGCAATTATGTGAAATTTTGCCTACACGGCGAACTCGTAAAATCTATCTTAGACATAAGTGGTCAACTTCTACTCTCATTAGCCATGTCTCACAGCTATATAGCAAGATCGAGGTAACTGAGAGAATATAGACGCAGATTTTCGTCCTCATGGGTGATTTCGCGACGGTTCCATAAAGATTTCGTATTTTTAGCATTGCTAGCTATCGTTATCCAGATTGTAATTTAATTCTTTCTCTGGCCATTTCGGATTAGAGTGATCCAAGATATTTAAAGTCGGTCATTTCCTTAAGCGGCAATGATTTGATAAAAATAGGTATTTTATCAGCCTTTGGTTTATTTATACTGATTATAAGCCCAATTCTCGATGCAGTTGTTGACACATTGTTTACATTGTTTAATATTATTTGCATTTTACTATAATTGTCAGCAAATTTGTGAATTATTGGCCACTGAAAAAGTCATTTTAAGCAGTCATTTTTCTTTAGTGAAAATTTTACGAGTCGATTGGAGAGTGAAGGTGCCGCTTTTGCTGTTTATTTGAACGGTGAAAAAATTGTTGATTTATGGGGTGGATATGCAGATTCTTCATCCAAAAGAAAATGGAAGGATGATACAGTTTCAGTTTTATTCAGCACAACAAAGGTTACACTGTACTCTATCAACTAATCTGTATTTTCGGAGACAATATAAAAAGAACCAATATCTGCCATAAAAAACGATAACTGAATGAATATTTTAGAGTATAAGTGCAATTTGTATCGCGGTTCTTGTGGATCGTGGCCTTCTTAACTATAAGGATCTTATTTCTAAACATTGGCCAGAATTCGGACAAAATGGCAAAGAAAATATTACTATTGAACAATTACTTTCTCATCAAGTATTATTATTTTAATACTTCTATTTTCTCTGTTTTTTTTCTATTCCTCCTCATTCATTAGGAAAAATTTATATTTTCAGGCTGGTTTGGCATATACTGATTGTCCTATTGAAGAAATTGATGTTAAGGATCACAATCGTATTTCAAAGATCTTTGAAAATCAAGTACCAAATTGGACTCCAGGGCAGAAAATGGGATATCATATGTTATCAATCGGTTTTCTTTCAGATCAATTGGTGCGAAGGGTTGATCCAAAAAAGCGATCATTGTCTGCCTTTTTCGAGGAAGAGATTGTCATTCCTAATGGTTTTTTTTATATTTAATTAATTTTTTGTTTCTTCTAATATATTTCATAATTATTATGGTAATATGGTAATTCGTGGCTCATAAAAGCTCATTTTTTCCAAAGAAAATTTTAAAAATCTATCGCTTTGTCGGAACATATTTCAGTATTCACTGAATGCAAGTGTAAGGAATATTAAAAAATTTTTTTAAATGAATTTTTATGAATTACGAGAAAACTGGAATTTCTCAATATAGGTCTTGACCTTCGCATTGGTACTTCTCCAGCACTGGAACATCGAGTTGCAAGACTGGCTCATACATCAAAATTTGCTGCGGCTCGTGAAATTTTGGAATATCCAGTAATTTTAAAATTCTTATGGAATATGTTCGGTGCATCTCAAAATAATTTCTTTTGGAATGCGATTAATAGGCGTAATTCGCAGAGTCAACAATTACTAAACAAGATAACGAGTAATTTCGCGTGGTTGGGAAATGTAAGTTTTTCTGTAAAAAAATTTTTAGGACATCATTAATTTAGAATTTATTGAAGAGCATTTTCATTTTCTTATAGTTAAATTTTTGCAAAAATAAATTTGATTGAAATGGTTGAGCTAAAAATTTGAAAATTTCAGGATGTCATTTTTCTCAATAATCCAGATATTCGAAGTCTTGACATACCAGCAGCAACTGGAGTTGGAACTGCTAGATCGCTAGCGAAATTACATTCGCTAATTGCTACAGGCGATCTTCTTAAAGAATCCACTGTCGATCAACTACTTAAACCGGATATCTGTGATGAATTCGATATTGTCTTAACTTTCCGGCATTCGAGAGGCAAAGGCTTTATGTATACGAAAAATCCCAAAGTAATTATCTTTACCCTTAAATATTTATGAAAAAAAATTTCCTATATATAATCGTATTAAAAAATTCTAGAAGGATGAAAAAGAATTTTGTTGGTTAGTCCGATTCCCGTGGCTAAAAGGATGAGACATTTCCAAGTTATTCGATTTTATCTTAGTGATTCATTTAAAAATTATGATGAAAAAATTTTAGAAAATCTATTATTGTCAAGGTTGATGTAAAATTGGTACCACTTTGGTGGTTTTATTTTGCAGGGTCAATGGATGTTTGGGCATCCTGGAATGGGTGGTCAAAATGTAAAAGTTGATATCAAAAATAAGGTCGCTTTTGCTTACATATGTAATGGTTTGAAATGTGGTGCTGAGGATTATACAATGACATTCATGCGTTTGCAAAAAGCTCTTTATCAATGTCTCGATAATAATAACTTACTTAATGACGACGTTTCCATTAATGAAATACCAATAGAGGGCAAGAATAACAGTAAGTTTTTTCTCCTCCTTGTTTTGCTTTTCGTTTTATTGCATTCTTCTCCTAATACCTATCATCTCTGGTTTATTTCTTGAAGATAAAAGTACAGTAAGATTTCCAAGTACCATTTTTAATTTTAATGGTTTTGTTAGAGAAGAGAAATCGAAATGATGGTAGACTACTTGGTACCACTTAATCATTTAATTAATTTCCATTTTTTCAAAAAATGTTAAGTGGATTTCAGTTAATAATCGTCATTACTTATAGTTTTTGGATGATCTATTTTCTTCCTATAAATTTTTTATAAGCTCATTTCTATCGCCTATATTTCATTAAATAGCGAGATGTACTGCTGTCAAAAAATCTGATATCGGTTCAGTTTTCTTAATGATTTTTTTCAGAAAAAATTGATCACTTAGAAATGGAACAAAATCGAACCGTTGAGATTGCAGAAAATTGAAATTTTTAATAAATAAAATTAATTCTTTCGACAATGCGTTCCATGAAGAAAAGATTATAATTTGGAAAATAAATATTTTATTTTTTATTTATTGTATGTATTTTGCTTTTTCAATTAAATTTTTATCAGCTGTTATCATTTAACTTTCTTTCCACTTTATGAGTGAATTAGTGATTTTATACGGTGATGTGGATACATATCCGATTCGGTGAAATATTGTATTTTTTCATGATATTTTCTGGATTCTTTGTGCTCTTATCTATTAGCTTTCTCACTTGTATGCCTTTTCCTTCTTTTCTTCCTTCGTTTTTTTTTCATATTTAACCATCTCGATTTTAGGATCGATTTTTGAAAAACTTTTTATTTTTTCTTAAATTTCCTTCTTTCCTTTTTTTTTATGATGCACATTTTGTTTTCTACAATTGACATATATCGTATTTATTTCAGTAATATTTTGTTTTTTCAAATATTTGAAAAATCTTTCGCTTAAAGAATTAGAATAGATTCATTGTGATTAACTCAAACTATTTAACAAATGGTACTTCGTTATTCGTCTCATCGATTCTCGCGATTTTGTAAGGATAGAATAGAATTATCTATAAATAAATATTCATTCCTTTCGTTATTTATGCGTTACTTTTTAATTTATTCATTCAATTATTTCCTGTTTTTTTATTTATCTTTATTTTTCATAATAAATAAAGCATCATTCAAAATTCCAATTGAAAATTCGCTTTATACGTTCAGTTTTGGAGCGAATGATCCAGTCGGTATAAAGTAATTGTCCAGCGGTTGGTCTAAAATCCAATTTATTTGACAGCAATAGCTGCGTTGTATACCACATCTCTGAATCGAGTGGAATATGTAGCGATGATTTTAAACCATGATAATCAACCTAAATATTATTTATTAATCAGTAAAATGAATTGGAGAAATCCGTTTTGCTCTGCTCATTAGGCTAGAAAAAATGAATCAGGAAACGCTCGGCTTATTTCATGTTCTTTAAACAGGAAATCAATTACTTCTCCATTCTTCTTTCGATTTGGCAAATAACCTATTAGGCATCGATATAAAATAACTCCCACTGCAAACATATCCTGCGGAAATGCTTGGATTCTGTAAGTTCTTATGGCTAATAGTGATGATTTATTTTAATTAAATATGCACTCAACTATTTTTCTAAAAATCGTAAAAAGTATAAAACTAACTTTTCACCGTAAGTTTCTGGTGCTCTATACGAACAAATTCGATATGGTTTTATGATCGTATTTTGCGAGATCATTTGGCATGTCGATAAACCAGCCAATCGCCCAACCATATTGTGATCAATGAGAATATTGTCGATATAAACAGAACCGTGAAAAATATTCTGCCTAGAAAATTATCATTCATCATCCATTTAAAACTAATGATAAAAAGGTCCATAGAACCGGAAATGTGTGAAGGTGTAATAAGGTGTCGATGAGATATAGGCAAATTATTGTAGAGGATGCTGGAAGATGAGTTTGAATGGATGTTAGAAGGATTGGAGAAAGTTCCAGTGGTATACCAGTGCACCAGTTTTATACCACTATGATATAGCGGGAATTGAAAGAACATTGTGGGGATGTACGGAAAAAGATTCGTGAGCGTGTCAAGTGAATGCTTGAAATAGCGATTTGGCAGATAATGGGCATTGCTGCATTTTTTTTTCAGGTATTTTAATATTAAAGCATTTTACAAAAGGCCAAAAAATGACTATAATTATGTGGAAATTTTTTTAGGTTAATTAATTTATTGAAAAGGGAATTAAGGGAAAAGGGAAAATAAATTAAGGGAACAACTGGAATTAAATATATGCAAAAATTGCAAAATTGCGAATTGCAAGTGCAAAAACTTTGAAAATCAGTAGAAAAACTGGCTCACGAGGAAATTGTGGTACTCTAGCAATATCTTCGCAGGAAACCCTCTTGTGTCCGTTCATTTTTATCATATCTTCCGCATCAAATCCTCTTTATTCCCATCATAGTTGCTTGTAAGCCGACAATTTTCACGGACAATTTTTATCCTTTCGATGCTACTAATTACCAGAATATTCCCTTATCATCATTCACACTAGAAATTTCCCGTTTTCTAACCAGACAGAAACATACCACAATTGTTAGAAGGTACCACAATTCATGCAAACCTTCCGATTAAATTGAAAGTCAGATGCAGTAATGAACGGGAAAAAGTGGTAGAAAAGAAAAACGTTTTGATAAAATAAACCACAACTGACGCTCTTGGCACCAGTTAATCCTCATTAAGAGCTATTAAAATGTACTAATTTCATTGATCTTCGTTAATCTTTTTAAACATTATTTGGACATTATCTTTGGGTCTCTGAAGTCCAAAATATTTAATTTTTAAATTTCTTATATATTTTTTAAAATATATATTTATATTTATCCTTAAATAATTATCGTTAAATAATTCTAAAATTCTCCCAAGCCGTTTCTTTATGTGTTTGAGCCACGACTTTCTAAAGCAAATACTTTTGCATATTTTGTAATTTTTAATATATTTTTATAAACATATTTGGTTTAATTACCTAAACTTGAGATTGCTATTAAGGATAAAATTGCTGTGATTATATTTCACCAAATAAAGTTTAGCTATAAAAAATATTGTGGAATAAACTATAAATAAGACGTGGCAGGCCAGCAATAATCCACGATCTCCCAAATTAGTAACGTCACAGTTTTCCGAGAAAAAGAGGTGAGGTCGGGCCAGTCCAGAATATCGAAGCTTTAACTAATATTTGTACGGATTTTTATAATTCAAATTACTAGCAAGTTGTTTTGCCTTTTTTTGAGATAAATTTAGACGATGCATTAATAACTTGAAAAACTCGCAATAATACTTTAAAAAACAGTTTAGATATATCATGGATAATGGATTGAATTATTGGAAAATGACAAAAATCAAGTGGACATCACCAAATCAATGCGTAACCTTTGTAGAATCCATTTTTTTTTTTTTAAGTAATCGTTGATTTAAAATAAAAAAATTTTGAAATTTTAGATTTTAGATAGCCAATTATAGTAATTTTTTTAAAATATAATTAACTATAATTCATTGAAATTTATTTATTTCTTGAAGAAATATGAACTTATGCAAAAAGTGGAGCGCAGTTGCAATTCCACATATGATCCTTGCAAGATATTGACGATGTAATGGTATAGGATGTTGCGATTTTAATAAATCATCTAGTGAACCCATTTCGCACCATTCCATTACCAATAAATTTGCACCAATCTTCAGCTCTTTCTTATTTTTATATTTTTAATAAATTTAATAAAATTTTTTTTAATTCCATTAAAATTTAATTTAAATCAAAGTAAAGAATATTGTGGAAATTTTGCATGAATGTTATGCATGGAACTAATGAAAAAAAAAATGTTTCTTTTTTGGATTATGCATTATATGTTATTTAAGCGATTAAATCCGTTTATTTAACTAGAAATTTAAATTTTAAATAGATTTTTAAGAGATTTATTTTAAATTTTAGAGCAAATAGTTTAAAACTATAAAACTATAATTTAGCGCTTAGCGAGCATTTAAACGAAGATAAAATCTTACAATTTGATTTGAAGTGTAGCAACGAGACAGAAATGATAGGCAAACATCTACGGACGATTTTTCTCGAAGCCTCTTCGCCTATAATTAGTGAATTGTTGAAAATAATCATAAATAAACAGGCTTCCTTCGAATATTTTATGTTAAATATGATAAATAATCTTTTTTTATTTTTAAAAAATTATAATTTTAATAATTTTTAGAAATTTAAGAAAAATAACCTCATTTAAGAGAAAAACTTCGATTTCATTTGATGAAATTTTTGCTATAAATTTTTTGCCAGTAATCGAGAAAGCAGTAGCAACTCTTAAATCACCAAACATCATCGAATATTAATAGAATATTTAGAGAAATTAAAAAACAAAAATCCATCTAAAAATAGGAAACAAAAAGAAGAACCCATATATTTATACTTATCTTATCGACAAAACTTTCTTACTGGATTAAAAAAAAATTACATAAAAAATTATGAAAAATTTATAAAAACATCGAAGAACTACGTTAATCCGCAATGAAATCAATTGGAATACGGTAGAAAAATTCGCTTGATTATAGTTCCCTCAATTTCAAATGCTGTTCTACCTCTCATATCAGATCAAATCGGAGCCATAAATTTCTTATAGATTTGATAAAATTTAGTGATAGGTTCATTTTCATAAAAACTTTTTCTCTCTATATATAAATTGGAACAAAACAATAGCAATAATTTTCATAGTTAATAATAATTTTAATAATTTTCATATAAAGCATAGTTTAATGAGATTTGTGAACGAATTGGCAGTGGAAAGCTGATTATGGTTGATAATTTACTTTAAGTCAGATCACTCTTGTAGCCAGCGGAGCCAACCTAACTTGTGTAATAATTAGACCTATTAGAAGAAGACAACCTCAGATCACCCACAATTTTTATATTCCCTGGCGTAAATATAAAACGTGTCTTTAAAAACTAAGAACCCACCTACAATATCTTTAGGAAGATATCATTCTTACCAAGTTTTTCTTTGCCTCTCAGGACTTCTAGTCAATAGAGGAATATTAGGAACCAGAAATAATGATTGAATGCTCAAAGAAGAGTAAGAAATAAAACTTATATAGTTGAAAAGATATGCGTAAAATTATTAAAAACCTTCCTTCAAATACATCACAACAACTTGGGATATGGAGATTCGATTGGTTCGCTTCGATTGATCCTCTATTTCTTCGTTTTTGAGCGATTTTTGCAATACATAAATTTAAATTAGGGATTATTTTTATGAAAATTGCTTTATTCTCTAATTAAAAAAACAAAACAACATCAACATGCTTTGCAACGATAAGCGATCTTTTAGCCATTGTTTTTTACAAAATCCACCAACCATTCTGGATTTTATTCTCCTCAATATCATCGGAATCATGCGTAGGGCATTTTAAATAAATTCCAGTTTCCTCTAGAAATCTAGCAAAATCAACATCGTTGCCGGAAGCGATTGGATCATTATCGGCTAGATCGGAAAAAATATTTTTCACATCCAAAAATTTTTATTTGTATATTCAAATTTATGTTATTTTATTTTTGTATCTTTTATCAATGCATTTTTTTTTCACAAATTTTATACGCTTATTTTCTATCTTTTTTCCTTTTTTTTCTACTTTTGTGATAAATTTTTAAATGGAACAGCAAATGAGGATTGATCTATTTTACTTTTCATTTTTATACGACATTTTTTCGTTTCGTAAATTTTCTTGAAATAAGCGATCAAAGTTCGTTGTAAATCTTTATTCTACGATTATTACGCGATAAAAAAACGTCGTTTTTCATAAAGCTTCATGTAAAATTTCAAAATTTTTTTCTTTTTAAAACCATGGAATAATCCATTTCAAAAAAAAGTGATGCATTACCTTTTGTCATAAAATTAGAAAAATTTTCTTCCATTTTACTACATTAAAGTGTTAAAAAAAAATTCAACCGAACAGCGGTTGTTTTTCAAATTGTTCTCTGAAATTTTTTTAAAATTATTCAAATTTTTTAGCATTTAATTTTCTTATTTTCATTCATAGAATTATTATTTTTAGATGTAAAATAATTCAGCAAAGCGTTAATTAAGAAAAACAAGGAAGTATGCTTGTTTTACTCTATAAATGAAAATATTAATAATAATAATTTTAATTAATAAGAATTCTATAAAAATTATTTGATTAAAGGAAGTGAGAGAAGGAAATTAGCAAAGAAAATGCCTAAAGGACAATTCTAATAGAACTGACATGTACAATTTTCCAATTCGAAGAATCTCGCTTTTATCTATTAATTGAAGTGTAATCTCGAAGAATTCGAATTTGTTTATTTATTTTAATGGGTAAAAATCTTTATTAAGATTTTTCACTTATTTCATATATCCTTGGAATTTTTTTTTTTTAAGAGCCCTCACCATTACTGATTAGATTCGCTCTGCCGGCTTCTAGGACTACGCAAATATACCAACGAGTTCTTTGGCAATAGAAATGTAGGCGAATCACCACTTTCATCCGGTTTTTTGGACAGGTATATAGTATATTCCTGCGGAGAATCTCAGTCTCAAAACTCCAAATTAAATAACAACCCATTGAGCCATTCTGTCCCACATATCAAATAGTTTTTCTTAATTTTCCATTATCAATTAATTCGCTTTCCTGTGTCTCATCTTCATTATTTTCAGTTCAGTGGCATTTGTAAGTAGGAACCATTTCAGCTTCTTTCAAAGCATTCTTATTTATCTTATTTTGTTAAGACTTTGCGTTTCTTCATAAGACTTATTTCCTATTCATTGGACTCTTATCGCTTATCACTCTAAGACAAATGTGACAAGGATTCCCTTGGCGATAGAAGTATAGATGACTCGCTCAGATTTTTGGACAGGTTTATTCCTGTGAGGAATCTCAGCACTTCGAATTGAACAACAATCCGCTGAGCCATTTTTATTTTTTCTATCATTGGCAATGGCCTTTTTGCAATGAAATTTCGTCAAATCAAATTTGAGAATATTTCAAAAATCCAATTTTTCGATTTATTAAATAAATTTTTAATTTGCAATTTTTTTTTTTTGTAAATCGGATATTTTGGAAATAATTTTCTTTATAAATTTTAAGCATTAATATGAAATAGAGAGTGAATTTTCTAAGCTCATTGATGACCTTGGATCGTTATCGGCCAATAAAAAAAAAACAATATTATTTGATCTAAAAAGTTAAAAAAGTGTTATTGATCATTAATCTATGATCACTTAAAAAGAATTGTGAAAATATTTGCGAGTTTATTATGGAAGTCATCCAGGATCAATCATTTGTGGTTAATTGCCAAATTATTACAAATATTTAAAATCATTGCTAAATTATTCAATAGTATGAATATTATCAATTATCAGTGATGATTCTAGATAATTCTAGATGATTCGATAAAACTCGTCGATTAATTCGATTTCCTCACATTAATTCATTGATTGACTACAATAAAGAATTAGGCCTAAACGAAAAAAAATTGTGAAAATTATTTAAAGCCCTATCATATAAACTAATCTTTTGGAAATTGTTAAAATGTATTGTTGTTTAAATATCAATATAAATAAATAAAACTCTGATTGTTCATTATCATTCAACACAAAGTGATAAGTCGATAATTTTGTTTTTTTTTTTCATAGGTATATTTAATTCTTTTGTGGTTTCTATGTTTCGGAAATTTTGTAGAAATGTAAATATTTTAAAAATAATAACAGTTAAACCAAAAAACCAGAAATGCATCATTTATAATTATTTCAGTTAGAAAACAAACATTAATGAAACGATGATTTTCGCTTCGAATCGAGTAAATCGTAAGAATTATTTTCGTATTATTTATTCCAATAATAATTCGACTAATACAAAGAAAGAAATTCATAGAATTAAATTTTTCCGAATAAAGAAAAATTTTTCCGAAATAAATAAAAATTATATGAGATTATAAAAATTTTATGAATATACATGCATGGTGGATTTATATTTAATATTTATAATAAATTAATTTTTGTCGTTTTCGAAACAAATGAAAAGAATTCGGCAATAAATTTTTCAAAACATAGCCAAAGATTTCGAGGATTTTATTCGATGATCGTTGCTCAATTTTAAATATTTGCGAAAATATCATTTGCTTTAAATATAAAATCCTCTTCTCCCTTCCCTCAAGCTCGCCTTCCCTCTCCTCTTTCAACTCTCCCCTCCTCTCGCCCTCCCCCCTCCCCCCACTTCCTCCCTCTTAACCCTCAATTTCTCCATATTTGCACTAAATATAATTAGCTGCGATATTTTTCTCAGCAACAGTAATCAAGTAATTATGATTAGTGATTAGGTGATTATTTGCTGATACTTTAAACTTTGACATTTAACATTTAATTTTTTAAAGTCAATTTTAATTTTAATTTTGTGGCCTAAAAATGAATTTTTTATTTACCGAAATTTATTTAAAATATTCCATTTTTTATGCTTTTTTAATGAATTGGCAATTTTTAAGATAATTTTCATTTTTATCATCTTGGTTTTTTTAAGATTTTCACAAAAAAAATTTTAATAAAAGAGAAGAATTCACTGGAATTAAAATATCTTTTCTAATATGGAAAATATTTTACTCGTATTTCATTTTTATTATTATTATCAGAGTGATTCCTTTTATATCT